AAATATCAAAACGATTAAAAATGGATGACTTTGAAAATTATGTTTTAAAAGATTAAATTGTTATAAATTTATTTATTAATTAATTTTTCATTTAAACTTTAGATAGAATTATAATTATTATTTAAAATTTTACAAAAAAAGATGCAAAATTGGAAAATTTCACGATTGTTTTTACTAATTAAGAGAAAAATTGATTAATACAGAATTTATTGAAAAATAATTGAAAGAAAATAAATTTGTAATGAATAATGAAATTCATACATATATACATATATATTTTTTTTATTTATCTTTATTTATCTTTATTTATTTCATATTATATATATATAGAGAGAGAGAGAGTCAGACTAAACATTTTTTATTGTTTTAGTCATCGCAGACAGCATTTCAAGAGCAACATAATGTACCCGAATTAGGAGACGATGAATTGTTCTCCGCTCTAAACGACGATATGCCAGAGGGTATGGAAGGAATGGGAGATTTTAACGATATATTCAATGTTTGGCCTGAACCGGGTGCAGGCGGTGGACAAAGCCCTAACGGAAGTCCGCATCGTCCCGAAGGATCACCGCACGGAGGAGATGGCGGTGGATCGGGATTAGGCAATCACGATGGCCCCGGTAGTCCCTTTCCTTGCAGTAATACACCAAGAGTAAGTTTAAAAGAAAGTCTTTATAATGCAAATCGCTTATAGTGTTAAAAAAAAAGATAAGAATGTTTATTGTCTAAGAATGAATGTTTCTATTGTCTAAGCATTTCTCGTAATATCAAACTTTAAAATTTTTGGGGTAATGTGTGTGAATTGAACAATGAAATATTTATTATAAATTTCTTAATAATTTTTCTGTTTTTGATTTTCAGTTCTTTCATAAAACATTTATATAGTGATATATTTTCAGAAAAAAAATAATGTTCAAAATGTTTTCAAATCTTACATTGTTCAAATTTTAAATCTCTTGTAGTGTCTAGACAACAATAATAGAGATAAATCTAATATAAATTAGTTACAAAATCTGCCTTAGAGTTTATTATTAATCTTTGTATTTTAAATTCATATAATTAACAATGTTTATCTTATGTTTTAAATAGTTGAATTGTTTTAATATATTAAAATATTAATTGTTTTAATATATTAAAATATTAATTTTTATGTTAATATTCATAATTTCTTTAATATTCAGATGAAAAATATGCAGAAAAGAATCAATAATTTATTTAGAAAATCAATAACTTGTTAATGATTTCTTTCTCTTCGATTAAGTCTGTTATTGCTATATTGATGTAAAATTATATGCATACTTTGATCATCTGTAGATAGCGATAGCTGAGCAAACGGAAGAAGTTGGCACTCTTCTACAGCAGCCTCTCGCTCTTGGCTATTTAGTATCGACTGCGCCAACCGGACGAATGCCACCATGGTTTTGGGCAGCTTGTCCTCATCTTGAAAACGTTTGTCCGGTATTTCTGAAAAACGCGTTACATCTGCACAGTCCTGCGATACAACAGAACAGCGATGATTTACTTCAGCAACAAAGCGCACCCACTGCTCATCCGTTGGACTCGCAATATACCACCGACGTGCTTAGGTTTGTATTCGTAATTATATATTATATATATATATATATATATATATATATATATATATATATATATATATAATTTTTTTTCACAATTTCTGTTTTTCGAATATTTGTTAGAAGAGCTTGCGCCGAATTGTTATTAAAAATAAATTATCACGATTGACAGGTACGTGTTGGAAGGATATAACGCACTGTCGTGGCTCGCTTTGGATGCGAACACCAAGGACCGATTGTCCTGCTTACCAGTGCATGTGCAGGCGCTCATGCATCTCTACCATGCGACGGCAGCTCTCGTCTGACCCACACCCTCTCCCGTTGTAGTGCAGTATGTGCACCTCTCTCACGCACTCCTTATTATACCGTCACTCGGGGCTTTACGAGAGCAACTGATTTCCTATGCCCTTTTACCTATACTACGTTAGTTAGGTATTTAGAGAGAAAGAGATTGTGTCTAGGTACAGAGTACGATCCTTCTCGATCATATGTAAAGAGAACCGAGAATCTTTTTTACTCGGAATATAATTAACACGACACACACATAACACACAAGGTAACACGATGAATGCAACGGTTGAAAACTTCAAAACCCGATGAGAACGAAATATAACGCGCGCTCGCGCGACTCTCTTTACCATTTTTCTATTATATAACAGGCGAAATAGATTGTACTTTGTGTTTACGATCGTATCTCGTATTTCATAAGAGAAATGCGCATTCAGTACGACTATTGCCAATAAAAGCAAATGTGAAACTTGAATGATAGAAACGAATGTATTACAACAACAAAAAAATAAGAATGCAAGTGATGAGAGATATCGTGAGAAAGGAAGAAAGATAGAACGAAAAGAGAGAATGGGAATGAAAGAGAGAAAGAGAGAACAAGAGAAAAGTATGAAAGAGAGGGAGAGAGAGAAAAGTTGAAAAAGAGAGTGCATAATAAGAAAGTGATTTTTCGATTGCCTCTCAATCGATAGATAGTTGAATTACAAATCAGAATCTCTAGAAAAATTACGTAACCAAAAGTTTTTAATTGTAAATTAAATTTTGTACAAAGCTTTTATTATTAATGACGATGAAGTAATATAAATGATATTACGTTGTTTTTTAATTTTATATAGATGATATAAAAAAAAGGAAAAGAAAGGTGAACTTCTTTTTTATAAACGATGCCTCGTATAAGCCCCCGATGTGAGATAAGTATGATGATTATAATATTATATTATGCTCGCGCGGTACTGGGTCGCTGTTATCATGTTTCCTGGACCCGTTAGCGCAATTTTTCGATGCTGTTTGACAAATTTTATTCAGATTAGGTGACCTCTATATATTATACATACATTATAGTGTAAAATATTGTTTTTAAATAATTTATGAAGTGAGACATCGCCGAGATTAGGTAATTGAGAATGAAAGGGGAAAATTACGCGAGAATGAAAGAGAGAGAGAAAGAGAGAGAGCGAGAGAGAGAGAGAGAAAGAGCGAGAGAGAAAGCAAGCGAGAGTGAAGAAAGAACGAGCCAATTATGCATGATTGTTTTTTTTTTCTCCAATTTAACTTTGAATGAAAAAAAAGAAAAGACATGAAGAGAGCGAGAGAAAGAGAGAGAGAGAGAGAGAGAAATGTGGGGCGCGTCTGAGTGGAGCCACGGTGGCCAATTGCGTCAGTCGCATAGTACAAATATGACTTGTACATAGAACCCCTACTCCCTAATTAATTCATTAATTTACTCACACACCCACACTCACTCTGTATCTATAGTATTTATTACTGGGTAGTACGTCATTATTGGGATTATTATTATTATTATTATTAAAATTATTATTACCATTATTATATTAATATTACGAAATACAGTTTTATGTGTATATATATAATTACATGATTTTTTGAATTTGCAGTGCCCGAAAAAATTACGTACATTGCAAGCACAGTAGAAATAAAATGAAGAATATTTTTCATTTCTATAAATAAAAAGAAAAAAAAACATTTAGCACACATGATTATACTAGGAGTCGAACTAATTGGGGATTTTTCACGTACCATGTGGAATTATTTGTATCACTAGGTTTTCCGAATTCTGTGTACTTATATTCTTGCTCTCATATATATATTTTAACTCAAGAGAACAGAAAATAAAGTAGGCATCTTCAATGATATATACATATTAGTAATAAAACAAACTTGTTCTCTTTCGTGTAAAAGCTAACTTTGTTTAAGATTAGATGCATTTATGGTCATAAAAATCATTATCATATTTAATATCTTATAATTTAAAAAGTGACATAAGAACCAACTAAACTGATATTCCTTTAAAGGAGCATATCTATTGTGCTTGCAGTATTTCCTTCTCCTTTTATTTTGCGTTATATCTATGGCTCTATAATATTCTTCGACTAACATAGATACGTATATAAGGAGTTCATTTATCTAAGAAGTACGATATATCACACTTTTCGTCTGAGAACATATTACACTCGTATCGTTGACTCGTATGACTAGTATCGTGTATAAAATAATCTTATTATCTATTTACGATCTATTTAGTGTATGGATTAATAGAGATGTAAAAAAATCGGGGTTTTTTTAATAGAGAGCGTTGGAAAAAAAACATGTTTTTTTTTCATTGAAAATTTGTTTTCTAGTTTTTTCATTATTTTAATGTAGTATTTTTCTTCATAAATCTTTTGTTAATATAATAAAATTATACGATAAGAAACTAGCAAATAAGAGCCACCGCTCACCGCGGATGGTAGTGCGTAAAATTTTTCTTAAATTATTCGCAAAAATTTAAACGTGCACAAGGCATATATATATATTTTATTTGGTGTATTTACCAAGATATAGATTCTCATTTTTGAGAATTCTATAAACCCCTTCTATAATTTTTGCGAATAATTTAAGAAAAATTTTACGCACTACCATCCGCAGTGGCTCTTATTTACTAGTTTCTTATCGTGTTGTTTAATACATATAGAGCCCAATTCTTTAATTTATTAATAAAATTATAGTTCTTGTATTTTTTTTTAAATTAACTATGAATTAATGATACTTCTGTCACAAATCCCATCGTGATGATACGATTCGGATAATTTTCGATTGGGTGATTTTTAGTAGATAATTTTTATTATACATTTTAACTGAAAGTTATACAAACTATGTATTTAGTCATATCTTTTACACGCAAAAATCTCAATAATTCATTAAAATTATTTTCGATAAAAATATAAGAACTTTAATTTCTATTACAATATTAAATTAGTGACTAATGTACAGTTTTAAAAATTACAAATTGTTTTTATCTATAATAAAGATAATTCATTCAAGTTCAATTTTGATGTTTTTAAGAATTTACCTATTTAATAATAGTAATTATTACATAAGTATATAGTCAATTAAAATACAATTTACATTTAAAATATATTTAAAATGGCTAGTTTGAATCTATCATCTTCTTCCTGCTATCATTAAACAAATCAAAAATAATAACAAATCAACTTGCAATTATCAAAAGGTAAAAATGTTAAATATTTAAAAAAATAAAATTTTGAAAAGGCATGTTTTTTTTCACAAAAAAACCGCATTTTATAAAAAACGTTTTTTTTTCTATTTACATCTCTATGGACTAGTATTCGGTCAACGTTGACGGTCGATCCGCAGATGGTTTTTCTAGACCGTGATTGATACCGTACGGTCTCAGGTGATAAATCAGATATTCGAGAACGTACATCATGTTTGGTGATACATAATGAAATGAAACTGCGCTATCCGAACAGCAGTTTAAACCATCCTTGGTATCGTAATAGATATACTTCCAATACCAAAAGTTTTTGTCCACATGATTGGGTATCAAGTGATGCTCTGGCACGAATGGAAAGAATCTACCCCGTCCATGAGGATCTCTAGTGTCCATCGCTCGTACACCGACCTTTTCAAGACATTTCCCCATCTCTACGTCCTCCGCGCCACCATTATCCGACCGGCACTTGGTTTTATCGGGTAAACCCACTTCCACGAATTTACGTAAACCTTCCTTACTAAGTACGTATCCTGCTCCACCGCTCATATAGCCTTGCTTTACAAAAGGCTTAAATCTGCAGCCAAAATATAGTGACGAGTTTGGATTGTAAGATGATAACATATATCGCAGATTTTCCACTATTACATACCTGCAAACAGATTGAAAAATTCATTTGTAATTACATATATATATATATATCACAATAAATAGTAATATAATCTTTTTAATTTTATCTCATAATTGTGTGAATTAAAATATAACATGCGCATGTAAGTATTTAGATGCATAGCTCTCTCTCTTTCTCTGGACATTATTTTTGTTTGTTCCTTTTTTCTATTTTTTCAGTTCATTAATATAAAATAATTATAAAATAATCCCAATACAAATATGTAATTTCAAATATATAAATATATAATATATAATTTCCCAAGACAAATATATAATTTCAATGAAAATTATAAAAAAAACAGGTTGTTAGTGATATAATATAATTTTATAGACTAATATATGATTTTAAAGACTTAATATCTCTGAAACCTGTATATCATTTTCTGTCTTTTTCCTAATTCATCTTGTTCTTCAAATATTTTAAATATATATTTTATATCCATTTTGATTATTAATATTAAAAAGGCTAATAAAGAATTGTTAGTGTACATTTTTAATTATATATTAAAAATAAACACACAACATATTATATATATATATACACACACACACACACACACACACACAAATACTTACGTATCATCATCAGCTTTCATGAACCAATCTACTTTGTCTTTGTACTTTTCGTAAGCGTATTTAAACGCTTCTTTGGTTTTCGCCCACAGATTATCTCTACCTTCTTTTACTGGGAGAACTACAGTAGGTAAGCTAGCATCTGAAAATAAACGACATATATTGTTGTAAGCTTTTTGTTCATATCACAACACTTTTCTTCTATAACTTTTTAAAATGTTGTACCTTCTGCCGAACTCATGAATAATAGTATGTTACAGCGTTTGCCCCATGTCGCTTTCACGTGACGAGCCTTACTCTGATGATTCTTTGGGCCAGTCATAATCCAACAAAGAACACGCACTTTTTTTGCCATATCTTGAGCTATCCTATCTTCTCCTTTATGAAAATCTTCATCTTCACCATGAAATTTCACTTCTGTTTCAGGACCAATCTATTGAATCATCAGAGATAATCAAGAATTTAATATATAAAAGTCCTTCCATATACTGGATGATCATATGATAAATTATGATATCTGTTTACGTAGATGTTTCTACAGTTAAGAAAAATTTTTAAACATTTTTCCTCATTTAGTTTTTCGATTCAGCCATTCTTTAAAAATTAGCATAATTATATTTGACAGATTTTTCCAATTTTCATAAATTGTGATATTTATAAAAATTTAGACATCTATAAAAATAAAGAGATTTACAAAATCTCTATTTATATATTTGATATTTCGATATCCAAATTTTTATTGTTTAAATTATTAAAAATGTGTTGTGCAACAAATCAATCTTTTATTAAATGATTTTATTTGAAAGGACTCATAACAGTTTCTTAAAAGTTTTATTTAAAATATAAAATAAAATGTTCTGTATACACATACACTAACCTCTGACTCCAGTTCTGAATAATGATGAGGATCTCTAGAAAGACCAGAATTACCCGGCATCCACCTGAAAATGTGTGGTACATCTCTAGTAGATGTAATAAGCAGACATGCCGATAGAAAGCCAAAAGCCATTCCAGCAGCGAGTGTCAGTATAAAACGCCGCCCACTTCGACCACCTGTATATAAAATTGGTTGTAAATTATAAAATTATATTTTCAGATCCGTATCTACAAATTACAAATTAACATAGATAGATTTATCCATTGTTAATTTATCCATAATCTCTAAATATTTTTCATACTTTAATATTCTAAAATTTGAGTTTTAGGATTGTATAAATATGAAAGATATATAATAAATTTGTAGAGAACTCTCATTTATTTACTTTTAATAATTTCATGAAATGTTTACACACATGTACATTGTCATATTGTAAAAAAATTCTTTTTATTATTATTTAAACAAGAAAAATGTGTGAATAAATCTATCTATGTAAATTAAAAGTCTTTGTCTTAAGAAATTTGCTGAAATTATCACACTTGTAATTCAAGCATATAGCATTTATTATGTACAGTATTTGTTATAATCATCAGTGTTTATATTTTACATTATAAATAATTAATAAACAAGATTTTAATATCTCTTAATTTGGATTAATTTTGCAACATGTAAATAAAAAATTAATGTAAATAAAAAATACAAGGCATAATTTCCATTTTGACTTTTAATAAAATTGGATGTCTTATAGGAGAAGAGAACAACTTGACTATTGACATTTATTTAATTAGATTTATTTAATGAAATAATTAAGTAGACACCTACCATCAAAACTGGGAAGCCGTTGTTGCACCATGATATATAATATAAAGTGCAATTTAACTCAATAAAGTTATAAATATTTCAATATTAATCTCTTCAATATCTAGAATTTTAATGTCTTCAGTACCCATTTTTATTTGTAAAAATGCATGACGTTACTGATATTTTATTTGCTTCCTAAAACATTACAAGCATATAATTAGTATGTGATTAATTTGATAGAATCTTGCATTTAATTATTCATATGGAATACAATAAATATTGAAGAAATACTTGAAATACAATATTTATATTTTATCTTTATCTATTAATATCAATATTTTACTACATACAGAGTGTAAATGAATATCTGTTGCAAACTTCTAGGATAGTATTGTAGCTATCTGTTTTGACATTGTTAAACATTTTTGTAATGCAAATAAAGTTTACTAAACATAGTATTAGGAATAATTATAATAATAACTTTATTTGCATTACAAAAATGTTTAACAATGTCAAAACAGATGGCTCATAATAACTTTATTTGTTCCAGTTTGCAGCTCGCAACGGTTTCCAAATATGAGTTCCTTATTAAAAGTTAGTCTACTTTGAATCCTCTACATATCCTAGAAGTTTGTATTCAGTAATAATATTCAGTAATAGTTTTAATTTACACCCTGTATAATAAAATCATGAAAAGATGAAAAATTATACTATTATATCTATATATTAATAGTGCATTGTGCAAATTATGTTATTAATGTATTATTAATTCTCTTTAATTTCTTTTTTATATTATAATTTATTACTTCATCTACATACTTTTATAACAAATTAATATTGTATCAATTGATGATTTCAATATCAATAGCTTTCCCAGGTGAAATTTGCAAAATAAATTTATTCAATATTTCACGATATTCATATACATACTTGATAAGTGGAATGTTCTGATAAGATAATACACTCTTCAAGTCCATGTTTTAAGATCATTAAGCTTATCCACCAAAAAAATTAATGATCTTTGTAACACACATTCCTTCTATCTTTAGTCAAGAAAGATAGGTAATATCAATAAGTTTTTTTATTATATGATATTCTGCAAACTCTTTGATTCAGAGATCTGAAATAAAAATAATACTGAAAACACAAAGAAGCAGATAAATAATTTATATCTGATAACAAATTTGTAAAAAGCAAAAGCCACTTGAAAATAATATTACTTTGTACGATAATAATAAAATTGATTTTACATATTTCTCTAATGTATATAGGCAAGTCACAGTAAATAATTTTTAACATCACATTGTTATTTTAGCTCTTTAGCTCTCTACTGTTGCACTGTCTGTACTGTTTGCATACTGCTGAGATATATGAAATATTATCTTCAGTGGGCAAGCAATTTATAACAGAGAGATTGGTGTTAACTGCTTGTTTAAGTGCTTGTATATAACAAAGAAAATATGCAAAAATATAATGTCCTAGAAAAACATATAATAGCTTACTATTATGCAACATAATAATGGAACATAATACAAAATAGTAAATAGTATATAGAATAGTATATAGAATAATGGCATATATATATATATATATATATATATATATATATTACATACAAAATCATATCAAATAAAATAATTTATAATAACATTGTATATATATTGACTTTATTAATAAGGTAAAAAATATGTAAAAATATAAAAAATATTAAAAATTTATATTTTGATGATAAAAATTACATTAAACAGAAAGAAACAATACATAATGAACTTTATTCCTCGATAGTCACCAGTTTTTTTATCTCACTGAATTCTTATCTATATTATTTAAAATTATAATTATATAATTTTAAAAAATAACTTACATAATGATAAGAAATATAGATAAGAATTCAGTGAGATAAAAAAACTGGTGACTATCGAGGAATAAAGTTCATTATGTATTGTTTCTTTCTGTTTAATGTAATTTTTATCATCAAAATATAAATTTTATATTTTTACATATTTTTTACCTTTTTAATAAAGTCAATATATATGTACAATGTTACTAAATTATTTTATTTGATATGATTTTGTATGTAATATATATATGCCATTATTCTATACTATTTACTATTTTGTATGTCCATTATTATGTTGAATAATAGTAAGCTATTATATGTATTTATAGGACATTACACTTTTGCATATTTATAATTAATATTATGCATATTTATAATTGATAATTAGATAACTCTATAAGCTTTCATTTCTGTAAAGCTTTAAAATAAATGTTTTCAGTTATAACATAAAATGTAACTTGTGTTTGTCTAACTACAAATCCGCATTCAACTGCATTATGCATATTGAACAATTTTATTCATGAGCTTATTCACCACCGATAATGCCAGGTTGCATGTCATTTATTTCGCTATCGTATGAGAAATCGCGCGCAATTAATCGGAAAACTTAACATATAATTTAGATGCATCCGGCATGCACACATGTCTTTCTTATTATAAAATCATTCGATCCTGTTTACTCTATCAAACGTGCCGAATGCGCTTAAAACGTCATTGGTTCGAAGATTAATTATAGATTAATAAAAATCAACATGTGTGTGCATTCGTACAGGATATGCTCCGTCAATTGTTAGCCGACCGTATCTCTTCGCGGAATTCTGGGAAGCCTTCAACGATAACATCATCCCGCGAACATTCCTTACACGAGCAATGCATATGAACAAACACACAAGAGGTACTCCGGGGTGCATTTGGCGATGCGCGTCTCTCGCAGCGAGCGTGTACATGCGTGCATGTGTGTATGTACTTTGTATGACGTATGCATACGCACCGATTCTTAAAGATCCGTTTATCGAGGCCGAAGTTTCCATTTCAACTCACGACTTACTGTTAATATGCGGCCGATAACGTCCCGTATCACTCATTTGGGGGAGGAAGCGTCGGAGGTGGTGATGGCGATACGACGTCCAAAACGATGCGTGTGTGCGTGTCGTATCGCGCGACGCGACGCAACGCGACGCGACGCGCAATCTCTTCATTACAGCACCGAGAAAGATTACACACTCGTCAGTATCGTATTCCTCTCCTTTCACCGCGCGGATGCGAGTGTTATCAATGTTTTTTCTCGCCAACTCTGTTATTTTCCACAGATCAGGCTAATTACACGCTCTGGTGGCCGATGACAGAGAACTTGCTCACGTGTGCGACTCGCGGGTACAGGTCCTGTCAAAAGCAACGACATGTGATGATGCGATGTGTATATGGTATGTTGTTTTTTTTGATTGACGGAGAGTCGATCCGTGTTGAATGAATAACACCTGATCCGCTGTCGCTCGCGGGATGACTGCCAATTATTATTTCGCGATCGTCGGCCATGCTGACAATCCATTATTCGAAATAGAATTCAATAATGCTGGGAAGAGAGAAGACGCGAAGGTTAGTGTTTGAAGGTTAGATTTTGCTTCAAAATGATTATGCCCTCAACTTGATTTTCGGGGTCATTCGTATTGTTTTCTTCAGAAAGAGGATCATTCGCATTTAAATCAATTCATCGCTCATGCGGCGCTCGATCTTGTGGACGAGCATACGTGGAAAACGACGAACATGCATCTTAAAATAGTAGATAAGTTTAATCAATGGTTCGTCAGCGCTTTCGTGACAGCGACTCACATTCGATTTGTCATGGTGCACGATAGCAAAAATGAGGATGGAATTAAGAATTTCTTCAACGAAATGTATGAAACTTATATAAAGGTAATTATCACCTTTATAATATTTAGAGAGGATTTATTCAGTCTCATTTAATTATCACACGTATATTATACAAGTTTTATTGGAAAAAATTTTTATATCGATATACTGTTCTGTTTCAGTATTCTATGAATCCATTTTACAAGTTTAATACTCCTATCAAGTCTGTAGGATTTGAGAAAAAGGCACAGTTGTATGGCAGGAAATATTTATCTTCGTAAACTTATAACAATTTAGTTGAACACAAGTTTTATAAAAGGGTGCTTATAACTTATTTGTCTTTGTACTTTACTTAAAAAATTCTTATATACATTACGAAATATATTAATGGTAGAAGTCATAAATAAATATGTATATATTTTAAAGAATGTTTCATTAACTAAAATGATTATGCTTCTTTCTATTATTTTTATACAATATATTGAATATTATCAAAGAAAATTATAAATTTATATATTTCAATCATATACAATGAATATATAATTATATAATTATAGAGAAAGTAATAAAATTGTTTAGATCTTTAAGTACAAAATTTATATGATATTTATATAATTATGCTACATTTCCTATTCCAGTTCTAGATCTTGTATCTGAAATATAAAAAAAATATGTATATATATATGAAATAAAAAAATATACATATATATATATATGTTTGCAAGTCAAAACATTCAATGCAATGAAATATAATGTATTATTTTATTACCTCTTGTACTTTTTGCATTTCTTGAGTTAACAAGTTATCTAAAATTTCCTGGAAGCGTTGTTTCAGTTTGACATTTTCAATATTGGCTATTTCAATTTCTTGTTGTTGTCTTCTTTGTCGTAGTTCCGCCAATTCCGCATGAAGAGTAGCAAGACGTGAATCTAGATTTTTTAGGCAAATAAAAGTTGAAAATTTATATTGTTCTATAAATGCAAATAATACTTATTTAAAATTACCTTTACCTTTAGATATGGATACCGTTGGTGATTCCGTGTAATTATCCGAAATAATATATTCCGCATGAAATTGCTCCAATTTTGGAACTTTTGTCGAAGTAGCATCATCCTGTTGCTTCTCAGTTTCCGTATCACCATTGTTGTCATTATGAAACATTTCTTTACTAAATTCAGTAACTAATCCACTGCTCGTTGTTGCATTATTACTTGATCTTTCAGAATATGCAGCTTGCATGGAATTTGAGTCTGAAACTCTACTATCCGCAGTAAGATGACTATTTTCATCTAGTTCCATCACATTTATGTTAGCCTCTTCATCGTCGTCTTCGCTATCGCTCACAGGTTCACCAAATATGTCATGTTCAGCTAAAATAGAAATTAGTTTTATATTTTAAGACTAACTCCTATATTTTTTAGAAGCAGTATGTAAATCATCACTCACCAACATCCAAACTCTGAGATGTATTTCCATTAATATTTTCCCGTTTAGTCTTAACTGTGCCAGATGATGATACTTTACTAGGTTTTGACTGATCTTCATCTTCACATATTACTTCCCATTTAACATTAACAGCATCATTGTCCTCTCGTAATAAACGTTTAACTTCTTTCTCGATCTCAGGTGCTTCTACATATTTCTTCTTCAAAGTTTTTCTAAATCTCCTGCGTCTTACATTTTTACTGGGCGGTGTTATACCATGAGGCCAAAGAAATTTTTTATCAACTTTGTTTGGATCTTTCTTCTTCTGCTTAACAGGAGATTCCTCATCTGTTGCAGTATGATCATCCTCTTCTTTACATATCAGCATCTGAAGGATGTCACAGTAAAAGCATTAAAATGCTATATATAAAATGTTTTATGTCACGCGACACTACAATATTCTTTCAGTTTACCTGGCATATATCGGCAGTTTTATAAAAGCTTTTGTTATCAATCGTTTTTAAAGATTCCACTATTGTCGGTAGATCTACAACCTATGAATAAATTCATCTTTATGCACATATATTTTTGTGGTTTCAATTGAATGTATAATAATAAGATTAACCTTAGAATGGAGCAACCAGTGATCAAATCTGACTTCACCATAACGCATATCATTTTCTAATTTTATCATCAACCTATCTTTTAAAGGTAAACTGCTACGTAAGGCTTCTCTTAGTACTCGAGCAGGTTCCTTGAAAAGAATAAATAATTAATTATTTATAATCTTTGATTTTAAATCACACACGTAAAATTAAAAAAAAATAGATTGTATCAAAATGCAAGGACATACCGATGGCAGCCGCAAAATAAACTGGCTCTCTAATTCAACTTGCGGTTCATTGCGACCAGAGAGAAACTTGAGAGCGGCCATCCTGAGACGTCTAATTTGGAAATTGGAATCTCGTTCGTACTACATCCAAAGTGTCATCCGAGCATGAATAGAATGTGGTAGAATGAAGATAACTCTGTTTTTCCATAGACATAAGATACATAGATTGTGATGTACAAACTATATGCCGATTTGACACAGAACCCTCTGATTGGTCAATCGTGCCTGGTATAATAAAAATCCCTAAACACCGGTCGATTTGAATGGTTGTATCTCATTTATACATTTTACGTCTATGATCACGACTCGCTGCTAGATGCGCATGTGTGGATGAGATTTGCCCCACCATTTACTGCGCATACAAACATGATGTACACATGAACGAATGACAGGTCCAATGATCTAATCTCGAGACTCGGGATCGCAACGCGGCCGTAATGACTCGTTATTGCACGTACGAATCCATTGGAGGGAGTGTAATAAAAACATAATCTCAATGCCTAGAACGGTAGTGAATCATCGTGAAAGCGTGAGATCACCGTAGAGTGGGTACAACAGACGACGACGCGAAAGTTGACAGGCATCATGGAAGTGCTGGATCCGAGCGTTTCTAGAGACGATCAGCCCCTTTGCGTCAACGATTCTCTAGAGCGAGGTCCGTTTAATTTTCTTTTAAACATCCGCATTCTTGTACGCTTATATCTCTGTACGCTTACGTCACTTACATAACTGCATATCGTTCTCGCACAAATAACAGAGACGCTTGCTCAAGCCGTTATCAACGCGACGCGTTGTGTTTGGAAACAAAGGATGATAATGACATTAATGATTATACGAGGGGACGTTATTAAGTTCGTAGATATTACAAATGAAAATAATATTAATAAAATAATAGTAATATTTTTATATTTTCAATATTTTTAAATTCAAATGTCACGTCATAACTTTTATTTTTTTTTTTTTTTATCAATACTCGCGAATATGTGCTTTGAGTTTAGAGATATGCAAAATTGATTTTATCGAGTCCACACTTTTCTGACCTTTAGTTGATGTCATTTTTAAAAAACAAATCAACAATTATTGTTTTGAAAATATTAGAAGAAGATATATGCTGTCAAATTAGTAATGCTATCAAAATTTTGATAGATTTCTTAGGTCACTTTTATAACTAAAATTATTTCGAGGAAATAAATATACATAAGAATTCTAATTGACACAAATAATTTGTACAGTATCACAGTTATTAAAATTTCTAATGACAATTATCATTTACAATTATAATTTACACAAATTTTCATTGTTAGTCATTCAGCAAGATAATCAATGATTAACTACAGTATTTAATTAAAGTATAAACTACAGTATTTAACTACAGTATTTAACTAAAATGACTTGGTTCTATTTTTAGTACAGATTAATATTTTTAAAAAATAGTATTTTTAAGGTATTTTATAATAAAAGGCATGAAATAACTTAAAAGGCCACAGTACACACTTTTGCATAATCATAAGCATAAGAAAATTGATTGGTTCATTTTCTTATGCTTGGGGATCAATTAATTTCCTTATTCTTATGGTTATGTGCTTATGCAAAAGTGTGTGCTGCGGCCTAAAGACTTTGCAAAGTCTTACATAATATAAGATCTGTTGTGCATAGATACATAATGAAAGGTTTTCATTTTGCAATTGTGTATTTTAGCTCTTTTTTATTGGCAATATAAAGAGAGTTGAACCTTTATTCTTAACACTTCTTAGCTACGATTCTTACCTACGATTCTTTCCTTTGACATGCCTTCTGCCAAATGGAAGATCCATCAAATTGACAATTGTTAAGAAACCTATCTTGTACCATCAAAGTATAGAGAGTATTTTATTGGCAATACATAATTATACTATTATTTTTCCAGTTAATACATTGCAGATTCCAGCAGATACCAAATCATGTATAAAAGCACGTCATACATTGGGTTTCCTGGGTTTTCTTGGCTTTGCCCTTGTTTATGCTATGAGGGTCAATTTATCAGTAGCCATTGTCTCCATGGTTAATCAGACAGCGATACCGCATACCGAGGATAATGATACTAGTGATGTTTGTCCTAAAACTAAGCCAATAAATGGAACTTTTATACCGGTGGGTTTAGGTTTGTTATTTTTTCAAATTGTTAATTTGTTGATTTATTATATTGTTATTTTTACTTTTTTAAATTTATATTTTAAATAAAGAGTTACTTCGCTAGGTCATTTAGATATTAATTATCATTTGATATTAATTATCATTTGATATTAGTCATCCAAGCTTTTATCTCATTTTATACAACTGAAATATATACACATAACTTCTAGTCATATTATCTTCTACTATAATATTAATCTTTATAATATAAATCTATATAATTATATAAATTTATATAATAAGAATCTTCCTTGTTAACATTTAGATATTTTCTATAATTTTATATTTTAAAATTTCAGTTATTGACATAGTATATGAAAAGCAATAAAATATTTATTGTAAGCAATAAGATATTATATTATAATTATTGTAAATTTGTTAAATATTTTTCTACTTCTATTTCCAATTATTTTATTAAATATTTATGTAACAATATTTATGTTGTCATCATGAAATATATTTTCAAAAAACAAATTGTTTAATTAATATTTGAAAATTAAAGTTATTTATATTATTCATTTCTTTATAAATTAAAAATATTAATTTAGTAATTGTATCTTTTATAGCTTACAATCAAAGCTTTTAAAATATATCATATTAGAAAATTTATTTCCTACTTTTTCATTTCATGATATTTTTATTATTCTTTATTATAGTATATATAATTTGAAATAAATTTTGATATTTTAGAGCGCGGGAGAATTTGCTTGGAATGAAAAGACTCAAGGTATCATACTGGGTGCTTTCTTTCTTGGCTATGTGACGACAAATGTGCCGGGTGGTAGGATGGCCGAGAAAATGGGCGGCAAATTAATTTATGGTCTGGGAGTGTTTCTGACTGCTGTTCTAACAGTGATAAGTCCATTCGCCGCATATTGGGGTTTAATACCGTTTTTAGTTGTACGGGTCGCAGAAGGATTTACCGAGGTAAATGTTTCGTTTCTTATAAGATGTATGTCGCATATGCGATCAGTAATTAATATTTTTTTATAATACAGGGAGTAACATTTCCTGCGATGCATAGTATGCTGGCGCATTGGGTACCACCATTGGAGAGAAGTAAATTTGCTGCTATAGTATACGCAGGTATTATTTTTCTGTCCTTTCTTCTCCCTCTCTTCCCTCTGATAAATATAACTATTCGAAAATATTTTTATTTTCTTTTTCAGGTTCGAATTTCGGAACTGTTGTTTCGTTACCAGTGAGCGGTTGGCTGTGTTCATTGGAATTATGGGGCGGTTGGCCACTTGCATTTTATTTATTTGGAGGACTTGGTCTTGTATGGTATGCATTCTGGTTGATATTTATATACGATACTCCTTCGCAACATACGAAAATCGATCCTTCCGAGAAAGCATATATCGAAGCTAGTGTTGAGAAAAAAGACGAGGTCGGTATTATATTTAATGTTCATACGCACATATTATCAGTAAGTTTGGCTTAATAAGCAAATAATTTTAGAATGACGATTCGGGAGTACCTTGGTTATCTGTCTTCACTTCTCTACCTATGTGGGCTATTACTATTACACAATGCGGTCAGTCTTGGGCATTCTACACTCTTTTGACCGAGTTGCCGACGTACATGGACAAGATTTTGCATTTGAATGTACAACAGAATGCATTCCTTTCGGCGTTACCTTACTTGAGCGCTTGGTTGGTGGGACTCGGTATTTCGAGCTTTGCGGACGCGCTCCTCGCACGTCGTCTGATCTCGCCCTTGACCTCGTTCAAATTGTGGAACACGGTTGCCTCGTTAGGTCCCAGTCTCAGTTTCGTCGGTGCTATCTGGGCCGGATGTGATCGTATGACCGTGATGTTGATGCTCGCAGGATTAGGCTCTCTTCAAGGCGCGATGTACGCTGGAAATCAAATGAATCATATCGCATTAGCGCCTCGTTACGCGGGAACTTTGTATGGATTGACAAATGCTGCAGCAAATGCGTGTGGCTTCTTGGCACCTTACGTTATCGGCAGTATAGTAGTGGGACATGTAATTATCGCATATTCTTTGTTTCAAATTTATTTGTTGAGATATAAATATATATGCATGTATTTGTTTTTCTTTTGTATTACAGGAGACACTTGCACGCTGGCATACAGTATTCTGGATGGCAGCAGGAATAAACATGATTACTAATTGTTTCTATTTGTTGTTTGCATCTGCTACTGAACAGCCATGGAGTAAAGGTGATAGTTGATGACGACATCGCATTAGAGACGCGATATTAAATGTGGAAAATAATATATTCTCTAATCATGTTGCACACAGTACATTTTAATTTGGATGGCCAATTTTTTATAATATTCGGTATAGATATTGCCGATTATTTTTTTGTAAAATGATTTAATATTTGTTAATATCTTTTTAAAGTTTTTATAGTCTAATCGTATTTATCATTAAGTGATATATACAATGACAAATGAGTCGTATTTCAGTATTATCAATTTCTATCGACACGTGATAATTATAGATAGCGTTACCCGTATGGCCTTTGCTTTAGATGATTGAAATTGTTATATTTTTTTTACCAATTTTGTTTTCAATCCAGATTCAGATGGCATCAAATATGAAACGTGGGTATATAAAAATATCTGCAATTTTATAAAGAAACTAAGTAAATACAAATCTTAAGTTTGGCATATATAGTGAATGTTCTTCTTCCAGTTGATAATTGGAAAGGAAGTGATTATATGTGTAAATTAAAATAATTAGAATAAAATTTTCAAAGCTTCGTTTTCGAAAAAAATAATTTTAAATTTTAATAAATTTCAATAAATAATGTCTTAAAATAATAAATTATCATGAAAAAGTTACATATAAAATATTTTTATTTAATAGAATAGTTTCAATAGCATAACTTCTTTTGAAGCAATTCGACGAGGCACAATACAAAGTCATTACAAGTTCTCAATACTTTAGAGAACAGTAGATAATAATTTTTCAATTCTAATGTCAATTTTTTTTCATACAAAATCTTTCCTTTCTCGATTATATTACCAGAGAAATTTCTATATAAAAATGATATTTAATTTTGCAAATATGTTGTACTAGATATATGTATTTCACATACACACATGTATGTACACGACAATACACACAATAGATAAAAACACACTTGAAATCTGCTATATACACATGTGTTTTATTATCTGATACATAAAAATTATATGGACGATAGATTACAGAGAATTGAAATTATTAGCGATATGAATATTAAAAATTTTTCCTTTTTACTCATATAATTAAAAAAAAATTATATATATATATATATATAATTTCTAAACATTTTGAATATTGTCAATTTATTATTTTAAAAATAAAGGTATTATTTATTAATAATGCCAAAGAGAATAAGTAAGATAAAGAACTTCTATTATGTAAAAATTATATAGGAGGAATTTATTCTACACAAAATGTTAATATATTATTATATATTTCTGGCAGTGAGAATTGGCAAAAAGAGTATAAAATAATATATGAAATATGATGTGAAATAAATGATTTTGTTCTTAAAAACAAAGATATATATGTATAATTTATATAAATTTTAGTCCAAATATATCGAGATAGAATAAAAATCATTAGGAATTGTATCTAGCACGATTAACAAGTATATAATATATCGCATAGATATCTTTAATTTGAATATTTTTAAGAATATAAAACTTTGCATAACACTGTGTGTATGCAAAATGACATAATCGCATTTTAATTTCCGAGAAAAATATTAGAATAGTCTTCTATATGGATAAACGTACAAAAATTTTTCAAAATATATTTATCATGTTTAAATAAGTGATAACAATAATCAATTATTTATATATAAATTTTTTAATCATGTTCGTACCATTTATCCAATAAATATTGATGTTAAAATACATATACATTTTGCACCGTTTTTATAAAATTTTTCTGTTGTGTTTTATTTCAATCCAATTTGTTTAAAAATTTTCTGAGATAAAAATATTACATTTATTTATCATCTATTAAATTTAATATGTGTATTCTATTTAAGTGTATATGATGTTAATTCCTATCATCATATAGAATGTTAATAGGAATTAACATACAATTAAATAGAAGATTATATTAGACAGGAATGTTAGATAAGAATAAAAATTATATTAATCAATTATGTGCATTTTCCCCGTTTATTAAGTATAATTTTAAAATGAAAGAAATGCTAACTTGTATTTAAATCATCTTTGTTTTTTGCAGTAAGCTCAAAAATCATATCTCGCATGCGACTCAAATCTGTCAATTCCGCTTTCATTCTTTGATTGTCTTTTTCTTTTTCTAGTATGGTTTGTTCATGCGTTTGTAGCATTTGCACCATTTGTTGAATTTCTTGTTTAAGTGCAGATATATTGCTTTGATTTATTTCTATTTCTGCATTCTTCTTCTCTAAAATCTACACAATATAAAAGTTAATTAACATAGAATAGTAATTTCAGTTTCATGTAAAAAAAAGTTAATTTTACCTGTTCCTTTTTGCTGAGAGAATCTTTTATGTTTTGTAAATGTTTACTTAATTCGTGATTTTTATTATTTATATCTGTAGCTTTCTTTTCTGCGGTTAAACGTTCGTTGTCTAATTCCTGAATTTTTTTATTTAAAATATTAATCTTACTTTTGCTAGCTTCTAATTCATTTGTACATTGTATTAACTTCTTATTTAAGTGCTCCAAATTTGCTGATTTTTCTGTCACAATTTTTCTCAATGATTCAATTTCCTAAAAGCATGACGAAAAAGTGTAGACATATTATAAAAGAAAAAAAATTATTATAACTGCATAGATATTTCATATAATTATAGCAAATACTATTAACTAACTTGTTTTTTTACGAAAATTGCTTTCTTCGATTGCTCTTCCTTCTCATGAAGCGTTCTTGTTAATACAGATTTTTCAGCTCTTATTCCTTCCAAACATTGCTGAGTATCAAATAATAATTGATGTAATCTACTAGACTCAGCTACTACTTGCGCTAATCTGTGTTGAAGACTAGTACCGTGATTATTCGCCGCTTCTAAACTCGATTGCATCGCTCTTTCGGAATGTCTCATTGCCGCTAACTAATTAATTACAATATAACACATATAGATATACTGTATACAAATTATAAATATGAAAAGAGAACAATTACCTTATATTCATATAATTCCATTACTGCAGATGTCGCAATATCATTTATCTGATTCGATTCAAAAGCTGATTTGAGTTTGGCTAGACATGCATCAAGGCGCTCTTCTTGTGTGACGGAAAATAATGGTGCCAGTTCATTCCCGGTATAATTCAGAGATGACTTATTCGTGACTTCCAATACATTATTGTTACTTTGAATTAACATTAATGGTTCTAATTCTTTCATGCAAACTGCCACTGCAGAAATACTTGTCAAACAGAAATTTCATATATACAACTGAAATTTCATATATACTACTACTACTATGTTAAATGAAAATATTAAACATTTTTAATGCATGAAATATTTACCATTCTTGTGGAAATCCAGTTGATGATGTTAACTGTAAGACTTTTTGTTTCACTTCCTCATCACCAGTGAATAATGCTAATGCTAATATCATTTGTATTTGCTTCCTACTAAGTAATTCAGAATATAATGTCAACCAATTGGAATGACTTGTTGCCAAATCTGCTGTCAAAGCTAACGCATAAATGTAAAGATTGATGGAAGCATTCTGCAAAATTGGAAATAGGTATTTGATACAACTATTTAATATTGTATACACATTTTGTATTAGATAACATACTTGCACGAAATTTCCGGTCCAATCTCCAGCGGCGGAAAATTCATTATCTAATACGCGAATAAATATTCTACGCATCACGTGTTCACTAAACGATTGCATAATTTTTTTCTTAAATGCAGGAGTTTTAATCATTTCTTGAAATAGTTGCATCAATTCAGCTTGTTTTGTTTCCATCTCTGCATTTTGACTTCCATTCTGTTCATTAATTTCATCTTCTGGATTCGTTATAAGCATAAGAACAGACGGATCTACCTCTGTTAAAACTTCCGCGCAAGTTTTAGTGCGTCGTGAATCGATGATGATGTTTCGTATAAGTGCTAAAGCTTTGGAGCACACCTATAATATTTGAACAAAAACTTAGATTAAATTATTTTGTTTTTCACCATCTCAAATCTCCAATTATAAAATTAATAAAAATTGCAATAATAAATTTCATACTTGTTCTACAGGCACCCACGTCATAGCCGATTTTATACAAATAGGATATAAAGGAATTAAGACACATAATTTCAGTTTCACCAATGACAGTAAAAATTCCATCATAACAGCAATGCATTCCGGATCTGTATTTTCTTCCAAAGTGGCTAGTATATTTTTTACATCTCTATCATAACTATAAACAAAAAAATGTAGTATCCTTATATATTATGTTGTACAATTATCTAATTTGATAGACTTACTTTGAATATGTAAGTAATATATTTCGCGAATGCTCATTTTGCACGACGTCGTTGAAAAAATCGACAATGTGCCGCAATAAAAAAACGTTTTTTTGTTCCATTGCTGTTTTAAGATTTGTGAAAGTTATCGACGCAAAGTCCATGATATATTTCTCAGAAATATTTGTATTGGTTGGCTCCAATATAATTAATAGTTTGCAACATTGTACACTAGTATTAACATGCTCTTGTAGTTTTAATAATGTTCTGATGAATGCTTTGGTATCGATGGTACGCATCAATGTATAAACTGCTGGAAGATTTTTATAACACAAATTTACCAGCACTCCTAAAGAAAGTGCAATAATCTCTTCTTCCTTTGATTGTACTACCCATTGAGTTAACGTAGAGATTAAATATGAAAGATAAACTTCTTGCCACGATATTTTGATTCCATATGTTAATTCCTGAAGTAATTTTAATACTCGTATCCTTTTCTCAGATGTCACATTTGCCTACGATATTAAATAAAGAATATGTATTAATCTAATTATTAAAAAACTTATAAATAACTTTGATAATAGAGAATTTTGATAAAAATATATTTCTTTGTAAAAAAATTTGTTATATGTAACAGGAGAATATAATATTAATATTTTATACCTCTAATAATCTCGCTAATATTGGTGTAAATTTGTATGTATGAATAAGCGATTGTCTAGCAGGAACATTTCTGCAAACATTTTGTAAAACATCTACAGCACTCCAGATCAAAGTGGACCGTGATCCTACAGAATTCATAAGCTCGTACAGACTCACATAGAATTCTGCAGCTATGCTGGTTCCAGGATCAAATACATTCAGATCCAGTGACACGCTTATTACCTTAAAAAAATATAAATTTATAATTTAAAATATTTATAATTTAAAATCTTGTGTGTTTGCAATTCTGTGATTCCAAAATATAATTAACATAAAGATAAAATATTGTATAATATATACATATATATAATATTATAATAAGTCATAATATATATTTACTCCAAGACTTCTTTGTATAGCAGATGTAGCACTTTCGCTGGGATGCTTGGTATAATCTAAGGCCGCTGATATAAATGCTCTCATGTGTTGATACTTCTCCATATTATGTTCGAATATTTTGACAAGATTTACTCCTCTCAGCTAATGTATATCGAATATAAAACTCGAATTCTCTCGAAAATTTATATTAATCTCCTGATCCACGTCGTATCAAACGCAAATTACACAATCACGTGTCAAAAGTCAACGAAAATATTTATTAAGAAAATATTTATCAAGAAAATATTACGAGTCTCAGTTTAGCATAGTTTAATACTTTGTTGCTGCGCGTATTTTCGAATCGCGAACGAAGCCAACAGATGTAAGATGAATCGGTTCGAATCGTCCATTTTTAAAGATCCGTCTAATTTAAATTGACTAATCGCATTCATTGTTGCCGCGCGGGCCAATCAACGAATAGCATAAAATGGAGAATCGGAGCGGTATTTTTTTTTATCAAGTTGCTAGAAATGTATCACGGAGCATGCGTATATCTAGTGAGGTATTCGCTATGGATTTTAAATTTCACATTTCTAATCGTTCGAAATGAATTGGAATAAAAAAATTTCATTGTACATACATTGAAAATGTTATAAGTTATCGTATATATAACATATGAATAATGGACGGAACCTATCGCAAGTGACAGCTGATCCAGCCTATCCGAAGAGGATCGAAGAAGATCGCATTTCGATGCGTCCTTGCTATTTTCAAAATTTCCCCTCGTCCACAGGCCCGTCTGTGTATTTTATACGTCTATGATCAACATACTGCTTCCTACTTGTCGTAGTAGTCGGTACGTATACATTCGTGAATCGCGGAGAAGGAAAAACGGCGGAGTCGCGAGAGAGAGAGAAAGAGAGCCGTTCGACGTTTCGAGATTCAGCGTTTCCGGTTCCGCGAAATCGACCGAGTAATCGAGCAGTTGACTGCGTCGCACGATCTACGGAAACGGAGCAGAACGAGTCGACAAAAAGTGACGCAGCGCCGTATGCATCGCGCGTGTCGGTAATCTTCCCCTTTTCTCTCTCTGTCTCTCTCTCTCTCTCTCTCTCCTTCTGTCTCCCTCTCTATTTCCCTCCCTCTCTCAACGGCGTGTCAAAGTTCCGATCATTCGCTGTCGACGTATGTTCGTCGCTGTCGTCGGTGCTCATCGATGTAGGTTACGGGAGGAAACGTGGAACGATAGCAGGATTAAATCGTGAAGGTGTAACGAGCGATAAAACCGCCGGGACGTACGCCTCCTCCCGCAGGTTGTGCGACGATATCCAAGTGCGAGTGAGAAGAGACGACGCGAGAAAGAGGGAGAGAGAGTGAGCGAGAGGACGAAAGTGCGAGTACAGTTGACGGGATCGGTTCGCGCGCGCGCGCGCGAGAGAGAGGAAGAAGGAGAGAAGGAGAGAGAGGATTCGTCTTTGGAGTTTTTGCGTGCGTGGTTCTGTGTACCTTGTCTATCCTAACTCTTCTCGCCGACTCGGGAACTGTCATAAATGTACACGTTCTACATAGATTGCGCGATTTATGCTCGATCGACGGGCCGATCTATCGGTGGCAAGTGCTGACTCGAGCCCGACTCGGCTCGCGCCAGTGAATCGACGTTAATAATCGTCGCGCAGCGTTGCGCGTTGCACCTGTCGTCATCGCCGTTGTCGTCGTCGAAAACACCATCATCGTCGTCGCCGCCGTCGTCGTCGTCGTCGTCGTCGTCGTCTCAAGAAGCAGCTAGCCAGCGCGGCGCATCAATCTAACGGCGAACCTCCTCAACGTAAACAGGTTAAGCATGCTCTCGAGACTCATGATCTCCACCTTGGCAGGTGTCCGTCATCCTGAGAATGCGCGAGCACGAGCGAGCGAGATAAGAAACGAATCGCTAAATTATAATATCCTCCCCACCCCGGACATTCGGAGGAAGATGTTTATACGCGTGCCACATTCTGACAAGAGAGACGGAGAGAGAAGGAGGGCGAAAGGAGAAGAGAGCGCGTGTATTTGTCACCTACGTGACTCTCGGGTGACGATGCGCTCCGGTTGTTTCCGAGGGGCGTTCTAATATTTCGGATGTTGCTGACGTTTCAACGTCACGGGCGGTGACAAGTACTCAGGGCTGTAACAATCGTGGCGCATTCGTTCACTCCCTTTATTCGCCTCTTCTGTCCTCCTCCCTCTCCCCCTCCCTCTCTCTCGCTCGTTCGCTCGCTCCCTCGCTCCCTCTCTTTCCTTCTCCGATCTCTTTCCGCTATCTCGCAACGTCTATCTCTCCTCTTGTTTGCACATACACATACATTGTGCCGCGCTTGCGCACACGTCACACGTACACACACAACACTCAACACACACGCAAGTATACGCGACATAGCTCTTTCCCGAGTTCCCGTCTTTCTCCTTTCCTTCATCGTCGACGCGTCGTTTTAACGGTTTCTCATGATTTTTCGATGGTATCCCGTCTACTCGAGATTATCGGCGACGTACAATAATCGTCGGTGAATCTTTCCCTCGACGCGAATGTCACGGCGAAAGACGGCTCGTACGATACGTAGAGCGGAGACCCTTTTTACAAGCATCGGACAAATCTCGTGATTGTCGTAAAAGTCGGTGCATCGCCTCCTCTCGTGACGGCTACTCCCGTATTCGGGCTCTTTCGCGCTAGCCTCTTCTCGGGATCGTTGATAAAACCAAAAAAAGTAATACTAATAATAATAATAATAATAAAGGAAAAGGAAGTAATACGGGAAAACTCGATGACGTTAGTCGCATGAAGAGTTAATTGGATAATATAATTAACAGTCCCTCTCTTAATGGGTTAAAAAGAGTCTATACTCTTTTTTGTTTCTCAAATAAGTTAGCTACCTTCGATTTTATCACCGTACTTGTAAGTAATCTAAATAATCGTTCTTGTTTTAGAGAATTCTGAATTCTAATTAGTCACATTCAATCACAGAATAATTATCCAGCAATGATCTATACTAAAATACAAGTGATTTAGTTGAGTCGCTTTATATTCTGGGATTTCGCAAATACTACTGACTTGTCTTAATGACACTTTTATTTTAATACCGGTTCCTCCTACAATCTTGGTTTTTTTGAATATTCTTATCTTATCACTTACACTTTCATGTTTGGTGAAAATATCTACTCTTGAAATGATTTTTTGCATCTTCTACATCTTCCAAATTATTCTCAGTCACCTTTTTCCTTCAAAATTACATCCAATCTTTTATTTGTGCTTCCTATTTTATATTCCTAATTGAAATAAAATAGGTATGTAAACTACACAGTTTAAGAACATAATTATCATGAAACAACAGCTTATCTGTCATGCGTATAAAGTTTCAGTATAAATAGACATTTATCTACTTAATTGAACTTTAGTTAGCAATTGCAAATTATAAAATCTTATTATGACAAAATATTATTTTTTTACAAAATTTCCTTTAGAAACATCTCTAAAAATTTTTGCATTTTATATTAAATTAGAGATTAGATTTTTAGTATTAGTAATATCAACATTTTATTTACTTTATATCATGAACAGATATTCAGAGAAATGTTTTATTACAACTTATATTAAATTTTTAAAATTTTTAGAGATATATTGTATCATATTGTTAGAATATAACTCTTAGATACATCTTGATTTATATTCATTTTTATAATATTGAAACATATGTCAGTCAAAGACACTAAAAAAATATCACCACACATGAAATCTACAAATGTAAAACTTATCATAAAACAAATAAAAGCTTCTTAGAAGTTTAACATGACATGACTTTACATATATTCATGACTAATGATATTTTTTAAGATATCTAAAATTGTAAGATTAATTAAAACTATGAAATTGTAAGATTAATCAAAATTAAGAAATAAAATTTTGTTTTTAGGTGATCATGGCGAATCGGGGTACAGCTCAAAGGCCAAATGGATCGACACAAGGGAAAATTTGTCAGTTTAAGCTAGTTTTACTTGGTGAATCGGCAGTTGGAAAATCAAGCCTTGTTTTAAGGTTTGTCAAAGGACAGTTTCATGAATACCAGGAGAGTACAATTGGTGGTAAGAATACTAATATATAATAGTGTTTCTCAATTTTACATTTATCAAAATATAATTTATCTTTTTAAATTAAATATAAATTTAATATAAGCTTTATATTTAAATATAAATTTAAATATAAAGCTTATATTTAAATATAAATTTAAATATAAAGCTATTTATTTATAATTTTTTTTAACTACATATAATAACTCATTTAAAGAAATATTTATAATTTGTTTATTTCTAAAAAAGTTTGTAATATAATAATAATATCCTGTTATAGCAAGCAAAAAATTATACTTATATAACAATAAAATTAAATATATATGATTTTTGTATACTTATTTTATATTGATTATTTAATACTATGGCAAATATTACTCTTTCTAGCTGCATTTCTAACACAAACCGTATGTTTGGATGACACAACTGTAAAATTTGAAATTTGGGATACTGCGGGGCAAGAGCGTTATCATAGTCTTGCGCCAATGTATTATCGTGGTGCACAAGCAGCCATTGTTGTATATGATATAACAAATCAGGTAAGCAGTTTGTTAATCCTTTTGAGTATTTAAGAGAGAGAAATTTTTATGATTTTTATTCTTATGATACAGATGAATTACTAGGTACAGAAATAAATGTATGTTTATTTATTATTTTATTAGGATACATTTTCACGTGCCCAAACATGGGTAAAAGAATTGCAGCGCCAAGCCAGTCCGAGTATAGTAATAGCATTAGCTGGAAACAAGGCAGATTTGGCAAATAAAAGAGTTGTCGAATATGACGAAGCTCAAACGTATGCAGATGAAAATGGCCTTCTTTTCATGGAAACATCTGCTAAGACGGCGATGAATGTCAACGACATATTCCTTGCAATTGGTGAGCTATGTACATCTTTATTTCTTATTAATATATGATTATACATTACATTATTATACATAATATAAATATTATAGCAAAATAATTAGGCTATAAAAAATAATGTTGTATTATCAAACGATAACGTGTGTTTGTATTAAATTTGCCATTTTATTTGATAATATATACATAGAAATATTATTTCATCTTACATTACATTTATTAACTCTAATCACAGTGCATGATAATTCTGTACCTGTTGATAACATATCATGTTAAACAGTAAAAACATTTTTGGAAAGTGAAAATATCTACAATATTAAAATACGTCGACATATGCACAGTCTTATTATAAAACGGAAAAAAAATAATATTTTTTTTCAACAGCTAAAAAGCTTCCTAAGAACGAACAGTCAGGAAGCGCAAGTACGAGTGGTCAAGGTCGTCGACTAGTCGAGTCGGATGGGCAAAAGGCAGCAACCGGCAATTGCTGCAAGTGATTATCTAAATCCGTATGTGTCTCACAATATATATATTCGTATATCTATATATATTTTTACATTATTTGAATATATATAATGTCTTTAAAATTAATTGGAAAAAAGAACTACAAGAGATATTATTCCATTAATGAGGAGCCGAAAAATATTTGATATGCCTAATGAATATATTAAATCAAATATTCGGTGTATAACAACCTGTTCACATATTTTTATAATAATAGAATTGATATATAATGAAGTGAAAGCGTGATCCAAAAAAAAAAAAGAAAAAAATGGGAAACGGGGAAATATATCAATTTAATATTATGTAGAATAGACATTTGCACTTTGAAATGCTTTTAGCAGATTTTTGTATTAATATTATATAATATTGGAGGTATCTCTGAGTAGTCACACACATGCAGTTTCATAGAGTATATTATATTTCCTGTTATATGTTTTTAATATTTTTTATAGTGTATATTCTCTCGCGACTTTCGCCCTCTTTATATTTATTGGAATAATAAACAAACACGGTGGGTTAAAATAATTAGATAAGATAGAAAAGCGCGGATTGTGAAAGTAAGATCCATTATATGACCATCAAATTTATAATGCAAGATATATAAATGTGTAACTATAATATTGATGTATGATATTTAGCTGATGTTGACAGTTTCTTGTAATTAAAAGATGGTTTACACAAAGTACATGCAAAGAAAACAATTCTAAATTTTCTGATGTTTCTATCCTAATGACGTGAATCTGTGCTTATTTGTTGAATTTCTCTTTTAATATTATTGCAATATATCTCTGTTCAAGTTTTTCAATATAAAAATATCTAATATATGTAGCAATCTCACATAATCGAAATTCTTTTTAATCAAAATCTTTTGCAATGTTATTTCATTGAATGGCCAATATTGAATATTATGCGATATCTCGCCTTTTTACTTCTTAAGTAACAATTATATTATTACGACTTTATTAAAATCAGAATTATTAGTTGCGCATAATAATCGTTGTAATCTATGTTACATAGTGCCTAAAAATATAATATTATTTTCTTACTATATAGTTTCTCCGTTTTATTACTTATTCGCGATTAAATAAGTGCATAATTTTAGCAAAAATTTGCATAAAAGTTGTTTAAAGCACTATAGATATTTTTTGATTGTATAGGTACATAGTAGTGTTTATGTAAAACACTATATAGATATTAATAGATATTATAAATTTATAAAAGTTTCTTTTCTTTGGTAGACTCTAGTTTCTGACTGATAAAAAAAAGGTGCTACAAAATATACATGCATGATTCATTATGCAAGCTTGCGAAAATGTTTCTTGCGATTTATAATAATACTCCCATTTCCTGTGCAATGATTCGTATCATTGGATTGTATGTTTTGAAATATAATATTTTTTGTAATAATATGATAGATAAAACTATTTAAAATTGTTACAAAAAAAAAATGAAATTCTCAGGCTGCAATCTTTCTTCACAATCTTTAATATCCTTGTATGTAATATTTATTTCCACTTTCTCTCTCTCTTTCTTTCTTTTTATCAGATACAAGATTATCTAGATATATTCTATTAAAATCACAGGTAGGTTTCATTTTTATATAGAGAAATTTGAATATTTGTCAGACAAATAAATTGTGTTTTTATAGTATAATTTCTTATGCATTGTAGATATTTTGACAACTATAATACAGTACTTTATGGAATCATACATGTGACTCTCATTTTCCTTATTGTTATGTACATAATAGAAAAGAGAAACGATCTGTATTCGAAAACTGTATATACTTTTAGCATTATATATTTTAAAAATTGATATATATTACTTAAATATTCATTACTGTTTTATTTCTATTGAGGGAATTAGTTATTTTTCAGAGATTTTTTATTAAATTAGGTAAGTTGCAAGTGTAAGTTGTTAATTATTCAACAAAATTTGTGTCAACACAATGTTACTGTTATATCCAGTTTTACATTGTTGGCATAAAAAAAGATTCTATTCTATTTAAGTTAACTACTCAATACCTGTCTCTTATTGTGTTGATTAAACTCGGCGTTTATATGCATATCTTGGAGTAATATTGCAGTGTAGACGCGCTATCTATTTCTGATTACAGATATGTACTATAATCTACAAAGATAAGTGCACTACAAGTGTGCTACGATGAATTTGAAAGGAGGACGCACACAACTTGGGAAAAGTACAGAGTGGGAAGTGAACTGTGTGGAACATTTGCAAACATTTTGCTAGAGTGATTGACTAAGAGTCTGCGTCTCAATGTAATCGACGATATATCATCTATTTTGAGTATCAGATCTATTAAGAGGTGGTAAAGAAAGCTCCCATTTGTAATTCTAGTAGTGTAATGGGCGGTGTTCGTTATAAATATATAAATATATATATAAATACATTATATATATATTATATAAATCATATAAATAAATATGATTTATATATGTAATAAGTAATAATAATAATAAATAATAATAATTAAAAATATATATATAATATACCGTTAATAATACATCATAAATATTGATAATAACAGTACATTTAAAATATGCAACATCTAATGAATTTTTGGCACGCGAAGATCTTGTAAGATAGAAGAGGCTATTCCTGCTGCTATTACTATGTATTTTCTTTCTTAGTTTGTAACACATATAACAATTTCTTGCTCTAAAAAACATTGTATATTAATTTTATTGACAACTCATAATGAATTATAAATGAATTACACGGTAAAAAAAATAAAACTTGTGAATATTATAATGGCTTTTCATAATTGTCTTTTTATTCGACCAAAGAAAATTGTACTTTATTAAAAATCGTGTTTATTACATAAGCAAAAATATAATAATTTACTGTTTAACTGAATATACATATGCATTTATCCATTTATATACAACTGATCTCTTTTTTTTTTAATAACTCTTTTGTTAATAAATTTACTTATATATTCATACATTAGATATACATAGGTATTACAAATATTAACATACTTCTGTGTATTCAGTAGATATGTTATTAACATTATTTGTATAACCATTTGTATTACGACACATCAAAGTATGATGCAAAAATGAACGACTCCCATAATAACAAATCGAATGCAATAATAGATATAAAACGCAAGTTTCTATCTGAGTGCACCATACTAGATGACGAGAAAATTGTACTCAGGAAAATACGTTCTGAACCCGAATTAGAAAATATTACAAATTATGACGATATATGTGGACCTTGGCAATTTCATAATGTACAATTGCATAATCAATACAGTTGCTTATCTTCCAAATTGATAACATCAAAAGATATAGCTTGCATGAGGAAACAAAAGGATAAAAAATTAATTTTACTATTTTTCGGTAAAAATGCGTATTTTGTTCAAAATTATTAGAATTGTCATATTTTTTCAAATCCAATAATATGATAAATTTACATTATTGTTTTCAGAAGAAAAGATTCCATGTAATATTCCATACAAGGATAAAAACAAGGAGATATTTATAAAACTTTTATGGCAAATTTTTCAATTTTTCAAGTATTAACATGCGCGAAATATTTCATGTGTTTATTAATATTCTAAGTTAAAAAGATCATTTAATTACACAATCAAACTTTGTATTGTAACAAATGTAGTATTTAATTTGTCCACTCTTATGCAATTTACAATGAATAGCTTTATGGCAATAGCTTACAGCTATAAAAAAAATGATATTGCATTTTAGAAAGAAGCTATTTAACGATCAACAAATTTCTACAGTTATAGAATTAATACTTTTGACTCATAACTTTTATCTTGCAAACTATTGGAACACAACTGAAGAAACATTTAAATATTTTTTCGAACATCTTCTTTTATATACCGTTACAGTAATTATAATGAAACAGTTTGATTATAATATACATATATTAATTTATATTATACATATATATATTCATTCAGTATTCTCAATAATTCTAGGATCCACCAAACTGTGTAGAAGTATTTACACCAAACCAAGCTGAAATAATACTTGAATTTTTTCGTAAGATATATATGGAAAATATCGTGTTACTGCATCTCGTTTATATGATTCATTACTGTATCGTTGTGCGACAGTGATAAACATATTCGTACGTTAGAAGAAACGTCTATTTATTTTTTAAAAAAAGATACATTTGATTATATATATTATATATATGTAGAAAATTGTCACGCAAAAAATAGCACAAACATAAATTACATTACAAACACGTTCACACAATAGTCGACATCAGACTTTTCTTTTACAGTATTTATTACGAAAAATCTCTCGTTCCTCTTTATTTGCTTGCAGAAGAAGACTGATAACCGTAATCACGGTTCTCTTCCAGTGAAGTATCGGATTCCGTTGCATGGCTAAAATTATCATTCCATTGATTACTTTTCTGCATCTCACTTATTAAATACTCCATTTTAGGAAACCACCATGAGTCACCACATGTCGATATACGTCGATTAGTTTTTATTGGTTCTATGAAATATTTCTAAAGACAAAAAAAAATAAAACAATAAAAAAATAGATTTTTTGTTTTTTCAACAAGTACTAACCTTGTATAAATCTGTGTAATTTAAACTCGAAATTAAATCCGTTTCTACATTCTGACGAGTTTTAATCGACGGTGAGATATCGTTTTTTACATATGCTTTTTTAAGACCTCTACCAGTTAATTGTCCGTGCGTTCGTTTTAATTTCTGTGCCAATAAATTAATTCGTTTCAGTTTCTTGATTTTAATTAATAGAGCTCTATAAAAATAATCTTTATTTAAATACATAATGTAGAAGAAAAAGAAGATATCTCCGATTTTGAAGATAAATGTAAAAAAAAAATAAAAATACACATATCTGAAATTATTATATACACTTACTTTTTTTCAAATACAAGCTGCATTAAAAGTTGTTGTTTATTTTTCAGATTTTTTGCTAGAGTTTTATTATATTTTTTTTGTTGTTCCATGCAATCACGAATGCATGAAATTATATATTGAGACTCTTTACAGAGTTCTGATCTACTCATAGCTGCTTCGGTCAAATCAACCGACATACATGTTAGCGATTGGTCCTTTAAATGGCATTCCTTTTTCAATTCAAACAAAGATTTGCGCATGTCCTTTAACTAAAATAAAAATTATAGTTTGATATTAAATTAAAAATATGATAAGTTACAATTAAAATGGAAAAAATGATACATTTAATGATACATTTTTTTAATTATAATTATAATTATATATGAAAAATACTTACAAACTATGTATATAATATTTTTTGTTTAAAAGCATTAACAGAAAAGAGTATTATACCTCAGTTATGTACGTGGAATTATTTTGCTCAAGTGAAATCTTCTGTTGACCAAGCTGATAATTTTCGTTCATGTATTCTTGTAACTGTAAAATCAAGTCGCGATTCACACTCTCGGCCTTTATTAATTCATCCTTTTCCATCTCAAGCTAAAAGAATAAAAAATGTTGAGTTCAAAAAATTTACCTTTATTTTATTCATATTTGTGTAAAATAAAATTATTATAAGTAAAAAAAGAAAAATATCTATATATACATCTTGTCGTATGATATCCAAATGATCGGTATAACTTTTGCATTTATCTTGCGCTTGACAAAGTTCGATGTTTTTTGACGCAAGTTTTTTTTTAGTTTCTTCCAATTCTTCGTTCAATTTGTCTACTAAATCACGCAGACCGATCGCTTCATTTTCTATTTTTTCGATTTTAGAACAATAATCTTTTTCCTAAAGTAAAATATAACAATTTTAATAATTAATTTTATATACAATTTTTATATATAATGTAAAGATGCCATCTATTCATAACAGTATATTACCATAATTATTAATGATTTTTGCGAATCTGCTTCATGTTTTGTTGCTAACATTAATTGTTTTTGAGCTGCATTGAAATCTTCAATCATTCTCTGATAATCACTTTCTGTTTGATGCAATTTTATACGTGTCTCTTTGAGCTAAAAAAGTTTGAAAAAATAATCACATAAAAAATTTAACCTTTTTGATAAATGCAAGATGTTATTTGTACCCTCTTTTTCAACTGAAAGATATCATCTTGAGCTCGAGTTTCAGTAATATTATTTTGTTTTTTTAATATAGAATTCTCATTCTGAAAAGAAGAATATCGATTGATAAATCAATGCAAATTATTTTATATTTTATCATACATTAAATATTGAAATGCAATTATCTATATGTACTTTAAGTAACTCATAATCGGCTTGCAATTTAACCATGTTATCCGATTTCTCTTGGAGTAAAACTTTCAAAGAATATATTCGATCACATAGAATATTCAGCATCTCGTGCTCCGGTATATTTAATTCAGATAAATCTTCCTCCATCTGTTGATTATTCGTGAATAATTTCTTCCGAAGCATTCCAAGTTCATCAGATTGATTCTTAATGATCTCTTCATTACTAGTAATTCGATCATTTAAGATTTCAATCTACAAATTTTTTAATAGCATTAATCAATGTTTTTTGGAAAAAATATATGGTTACAAAATATATGATTACAGATTTTAATATTGTAGGTAAAAAAAAATGATTAAATATTTTTCCTCGCGAATTTCACATTGAAATCTATTAAGTCTTATTACTTCTATTTATGCATTTTAATCGCAATTTTATTTAATTATAAAATTTAAATTGCTATTGCGATTTTTCATTTTCATATTTTTGATACCACTACTGTTATGCAGTTCAACATTTTAAGAAATGATATAAAATAATTAAGAAAGCGTAAAAAACGAAAACTTAAACATAATCACCTCTTTCTCTCCACCTTCCAGTTTTGATAAAAGTTCCTGATATTCACTTTCTTTTTGTTTAGCATGTTCAAGTTGTTTGGTCAAATCATCAATTTTTGATATGTGACACTGAAGATCAGTCTTAAATCGCTGATTTTCGCATTTTAAATTGCATTCTCTATCTTTCAACTTTTGTAATTCAGTTAGTTGTATTGGAACAATATTCTCTACATCTTTATCTAAGATATTAACATATTTATTTTCGTAAATTTTTTTTATTTAGATTTTTATTTTATTTTTATTTTATCAAATCTTTATTTTACTCAGATTTTATTTTATATAAGAAATTACCTGACTGTTCATCCAGGTGCAGTAGCCTTCTATACACAACATTATCTGAGGAAAATTCCAAATCTTGAGTATCGCAGCTTTTGTCTTTAAAAGACATTGTACACGATTTGCTCATGCATTTGCTTTTAGAATAATTCTTCATTTGCATAAAATTATCCATCTATGACAAAATATATTTCGACATAAACATAGACAAAAATTTTATTATAAAACAGAAGTATAAGTTTCTAATAATGTACCTTCCATTTCAATTCCTGAAGATCCTTCACATGATCATGTATCTGTTCCTGAAAAAATTCAAATGATATATCATTTCTGTAAAAAATTAATTTTAAATCTCTGAATCATTTCACATATCAGATAATGCATAATGAACTTAAAAAAAAAAATATATATATATATATATAGATATTATAAATTTTTTTTCTTAGTTTTTTATTACATGTTATTATATTCAATACCCACTCAACCAAAATATTGCAGCTACATTGTCGCAACATTGCTGCAATGTTGTAATATTACCGCAATATTTTGTGTTTGCTGGGTAATAATGCAAGATAAAACACTTATTTAATGTATGCATATTTCTTTATTGAAAATGTACAAAACTTTTTCATTGTTTCAATTATTATTAATGTAGATTATTGAAAATTAAAGTCTTTATGTTATGTACTATACCTGTACTACACTTAGGATTGAGGAATACATTGTATGCAGAGTACTAATGATTAGACACTTATCATACTCCAGATAACGAATTCTCTTGTGCAGACTATCAATAGCATCTCGTTGTAAATCCAATAATAAGTCCTGATTAGTTGCCTTTACAAGTATATATATATATGAAAAATAATTAGATTAAAAATACTTACTAGTATGTTAAATTGATCAATAGTTGATATATAAAATAAAAGAGAAATTTTTAATTGATACAAATATAATAGTATATTTTTTACCTCTGTAAAACATTCGTTATATTGATGTTGTGTTTCATCAATGCACATTGTTAATTCACGAATAGTTTCATTTTTTTTGCAAAGCTGTAAAAGATACAATATATTTTTTTTCATACAATTTTTATTTAGTTCTAAAAACAGCAGACACTCACGTATGTAGGTTCGTGTTATTTGTTAATTTTATACAGCATAACAGCTCTACAACTGAATCATCCAGAACACTTGTTAATTTCTTGTATATATGGTACAATTTCTTGTCACTTGGTAAATAAAATATTTAAGTGTGACCAGCATATCACAAAGCTTCAAACATCTTGATTAAACAAGCTATATGTCATGCATGACACTCATTATATTTCATTCGCATTGTACGATATAAAAACATTAAAGGCAAAAAGAGAAATATAATAATCCATCATCTTCAAGAGTCATATTTTTAATAATCATTGCAGCATTATTTACAATTATAACAAATACATTTTAGCGCAAAAGCTAAATAACAATTTAAACTATTCATAATTTTACACGTTTAAACATCATGCACGTTTCTATGATTAAAAGCCGAAGACGATATTGCAGGTCTCAGCTCACTCACATCGCTCATTGCTTTATGACCCATTTGATCCAAGTTTCTCTTAGCTTCAACAACAGCATTTTGTAAATGTCCGATAGTTTGAATCTGGAGTTCATTCTACAAAATATAGCATAATGTTGGAACGCAAATCTTATTGGTGCTAAATGAAAAATGACAAAAAAAGCAAACCTGCTTCACTAATTCGTTCTTCTCTTTCTCATATTGCGCGATAGTAAGATTTTGCTTATCAATCTGTAAAAAAATTTATTTTATATAATATTATAATATTTTGTCAATACATACCTTCTAAAACTTCATTCTTGACAAATAGATTATCTTTGTAATATATATTAACATGTATTGTCTATGAATGCACAGTATATAAAAATCAAACAGAAGCGTAACAATTATATTATAAATAATAACATAAAACTTTTAATTAAAAAAGCGATATTACATAATTTTTCATAAAAAAAAATTATCATATAATATAAAATTTTTAATCAATTAGAGTCTGTAATATCAATTAAAATCTATACTACTAACTATAACTATTCAATTTACCTTTTCTTGCAGCTTCTGATGCAGATCTTTTACTTCTGTTTGACTCATTGTTAAGGAGTCTCGTTGTATTCGTATGACTTCTTCCATATTTTGTAGCTAAAATAATTTTAGTAATTAAATTTACACTTAATTATGAATAATATTCTGATAAATATATATCTTACCACATAAAAATTTTATATAAAAGTTGAAATAAAAATTTATATCATTATATTTATATATCGTATATTCTGATTTGAAAAAAATAAAATATTCAATTTTACATATTTAATTATAAAAAGGCTTATATTTAAAAATAATATTTATATTTATATAATAAATATATTGCATATTGTTTAATTATATTATATTGTTCAATTTACGTATTATTTTTTAGAAAAAACTAAATTTTGTAAAAAACATATATACATAACTAACCAATTTCTCTTTGGAATATACAGCACTTTTAAGTTTGCTTAACTCATGAAAACAAATGTCCAATTTCTCTTTACATTTTCCTATTGAGTCTGTCAATGTCACAACAGATTTTGCCGAAACAGAAGAGAAAGATGATTCTTCACATATCTGTAAGTAAATTTTTATAATAGCTTTTTTAGTATACTATGTATTTAAGCTTGACGTAATTTGTAAAGAAAAAAAAAGATACAAACCGATTTTTTAAATTCACTTTCAAGATCTTGGATTGCCAATTTTGTAGATTGCACAGCATCTTGTACAGTTTTGAATAAATCAGACATATTCTATAGTAAAAAAATAAAATATAATAATTAAAATAATATTATCTTATTAAGAAATATTACAAATAATATTTTTATATTACACCATAAAATTTATATTCTACATATTTAATACATAATATCTGTGAATTACGAATTAAATCATATTTATTAATATTTATTAATATTTATTAAATATGTATTAATAATAGTTATGATAATTACTTCGTGCTTAGATGGATACTCATAGCGTAAGAGTGTTGCTTCTGTGCTATAGTCTATATGCTTTATAATAAAATTAAATTTTTATAAAAAAGATGAAAATATATTAAAAATATGTATTTGCATACATAATTACAGAATTTACTTACAAAAGCATTTGAGATTTCTGTAGATTTCTTAATACTTAAATTTTTTCGAAGATCGTTTTCTATTTCTTTTTGCATTTTGATCTGAAAATCGATTACAATATTAGATGATTCACATTAATGTGATTGTAATGTTTAAAAAGTTTATAATTTTTAATACTTACAATGTTTTCTAATTCTATTATTTTCTTTTTCAGTTCCATACTATCTTTGCTGTGACTCTGTCTATAATGTTCTGCCTTTGTTCGTATAATAATTAATTCTTTCTCCATTGATTGAATACCATTCTTTAAAAAACTATTTGTTTCTTGTTTACATTTTACCTATCACAGAAAGAAAATAATCCAAAGTGAAAATATAATTCTTTCTAGTTAATTAAATCTTTCTAGTTAATTAAATCTTTCTAGTTAATTAAAGTTACCTCATGCTGCAATACTCTGATTTGATCTTCTAAATCAGTTATATGATTTTTCCACTTATTTAGTTTTTCATCATATTTTATCTGACATGTTTGCTGTAACATATAGCATATAAAATATTAATTAAATTGTCTAAAAAAATTTGTATACATATGTATGTATATGCATTACAATGAAACAATTTATAAAAACGATATTATAAAAACAATTTTAAAAAAATGGATTAGAGAATCTATATACTTATGTACCTGAATCATGCTGAGTTTCAGATCATCATATTCCTTTCTTAATTTATGTAAATCTTCTTTTGTTTTTATTATATCATTTATTTCCTGTAAAATAATATATTTATACATTATGCTTTGTGTATGCAATTATGAATTAGAAAACAAAAATTATATATTTATTTACAGTAAATACATTTGCTTTAATACCTGATTGTCAAAGTGAGGAAATTGTTCCTAAAAACACAATATTTTCAAATTTAAAATAGAAATTAATATTAATCTTACAATTTAATATATTATATATTTTAATACTCAATCAAATACAAACATTATTTTTTTTTATCATATGAAAAAATATTCTCTTGACAAAGATTTTAATTTGAAATAAAAAACAAAAGAAATGAGAGGGAAAGTAGAGAGAGGGAAGAGAGGGAAAAGAGACAGAGTATATGTAAAAAAAGAAATAATTTATTTGCTATATAGAAAAAATCTAATTTGTAATCTTGACATATAAAAACATTTAATTCAAGAGAAAAATTGAAAGAAAATTGTTTAAGAAGAAACTATTTAAAAAAAAGATATAAAATGAAGAAAAAAAAACGAACCTTTTGCTCAACTCTAATATATAAATGTTAGTAAATGTATCTAATATATAAATAACCTTTTCTTCCTGTCTTGTAGAAAGAAAAGTTTCCAATACATCTTGCATTCTTGTATGTGCATAATCGACCTCTTCTTCCAGTTTAGTCAATCTGCCTTCTCTTTCGCAGAATGTCGTTTTTGCAATTTCATTGTTTAAGAGCTGTATAAATGATTAGAAGAATGTAAGATAACATGTCTCTCTCTCATCATTAATTTCTTTTCTTTACAACATTCTTTTTTAAGATACTCACCACTTCACCGGTTTTCTTCTGTAAGTCCTTTAAAGAGCAATCTATAGTACATAATTGACTTCTTAATCCCTTTACTATCGACGTCATGCAACCACCCTGAAAGACGATATTTATGTAATAAAAATGTTTTTAAGTGTTTAAGTTAAATCGAAATTGGTAAGAATTATTGTTTTTTTCTTGAATTTCTTTCTAAATTAACCACCTGAGTTTGAAATAATTGCAAATTAGTCAGTATCTGCTCAACCTCTTCCATCACAACAGTTAATAAATCATTGCTAATACATGCTCCTGTGTACCCAGATTCATGATATTCCTAAAATTTACATTAAACTTTATATAATAAAATAAAATTCATGAAAAGTTTAACGAAGTGATTATTTAATACAAATATTCCGAACCTGTATATTCGTCTGCATACTATTAATACAACGGAATAATTCCGATTGAACCTGATTAATCTCATTTTTTATATCTTTCAGTTTAAGCTTGCCATTCACAATTCTTTCATTATGCCTTAATCTCTCTTCCTCCTAAAAAATAGAAAAATGCATTTTTCGATTACAGAGATAACATAATTTATATAAGGAAACCTTAAGACCAAAATTAATGTTCCAATTTAATATTCCAAAAATAATTACTATATCTTAAGGACATATCTATTATGTATGAGCTTGCGTATTTTGATAAATTGATATATATATATATATATATATATATATATATATATATATATTCACATTACTTGTAATTCCAATCTATTAACAGCTTCTATTAATCCTTCTCGCGTTCTTGCTAAATAAGTTTGTGTACTAGTAACCATTTTGCTCAATTCTTCATACTGAAAATATATTAAATTAATGTCAATTGTTAAGTCATTGTGTATTAGTATGTTTTTATTGATTTTTTATTAACATAAACGTACGTTTTGATGTCGTGAATTAAATGTGGAAATAACAGTGTTTATCTCTTCGCGAATATCTTCTGTTGCTGCCTGAGCTTCTACTGTACATACTCTGAATTCTTCCATCAACTTGAATTGTCGTGCATTATTTATATTTGACTGGAAAATATATCAATTTATTTAGATCAATTAATACACACATACACACACACATATGTATATATATATATATGTATGTATATGATATAACAAAAATAAATAAATACTGAAACATATAATCTTACTTTAATATTCTTAGGATCGCTGCACATACAATGATTTTCTTCTTTCTTTATCTAAAGAAAGAGAAAGTATAATATGATCAAAAGCAATATGATTAATTTTCTTAAATAATCAATGAATAAAATAAATTTCTATGTTGTGCATCTGATATACATACTATACAATCAAATAGAGTAATCTCCTTTTCTCTTTCCGAGTACATTCTGCTGATAATTTCAATACAGTTGACCAATTTATCTGACATGCCACTTGCAAAAAGTTTGTTTTTATTTATACAATTATTAGCCATAATGCAATCACTCATCTAAAAAAATATATTTTTTGAAAGAGAGTGAAAGAACTATAAATATATGCTCTTTAAATAAATTAATTAAAAAAAAAAGAAAAAAACCGTTGATTTTTTGTTGCAATGTTTACTTTGTAATATTTAAAAAAAAATAATATTTTATTCTTTTACCTCGTTATCTTCGACAGTTAATTTTTCTACAAATTTCCCCAATTCAAGTTTTAAATCCGATAAAATTTCACATTCTTTTTGCACATGCGCTTTTGTATTGTTCAGAAATGATATAAATTCATCCTGCAAACAAGATGAACGATAATAATATATAAATTTTTATTTATGCACAAATAAGGGTATTTTTTTAAATATGCATGCAAAAATTATAATAGAATATTATGTAGACGAATTTTCTTAGAATGCGAGATATCTATCGAAGGACATTTTTGAAAATAGTATTACTTCTAACTACTAAAATTATGTAATATATGATGATTAAATTTGATTTGACTCACTTCTGGAAAATTATTTGTATCAATGCGAACTTTCCGAGATGTATCCTGAAATTACATAAAAAAATATGAATATATGTTGATAAAACATTCGGGAGAGAAGGGAGGATAAATATATATATATATTATATTATTTACTATAATCTCTCGCAAAAAAAGTTAAGAAACATAGCATTTACTTAAGTTATTAAATTTGTATAAGTGATTGTATACATATGATTTGTAAAATGGAAAATATATATAAAATATTTGTTATTATCAATTAAAATATGTTAATTTTTAACAGTAATTGCTTTGTCTCTTGGCTTTTATTTTGTTAAATATATTAATATTAAATATGTGTCTGTAAATGTAACAATATATAAAAATGATCATTTTAAAATTATTAATTTTATAAGTGAGGCAATCATGTTGATATATAATTTTTTGTTTTTCACAGATGACATTCTAAAGAATATAGAAATTTATTAGACTATTTTGAAACTTAATAACTAAACTAATAATATTTTGAAACTTAATAACTAAACTAATAATATATATACTTAACTATAATAATAATATATATATATATATATATATATATATATATATATATATATAATTAATCAAATAATAAATGCATATGAATTTATGCAGACGAATGTACACATTTATTATCAATGATCTAAATATCTAATTTACTGACTTAAGAAAATTTATCTTATTTTATTATATATTATATAATATTTATTATACAATAGAGAGAGCCTAGAGAAAGAATAATCACATAATCATTATATATGAATCAATTTGAATTTATTTCCTTTTATATTCCTTCCTCAACGTTCCTTAGCTCAATTCTAGAACCTCTCATCAGAATGCCACTGAAGGATTTAAATTTTTAAGAAAAATATAATGAAAGTTATTAAATCATGTTTTAAAATGCCTTAGTTCAGCAGTTTAAATCTAATTCAGTTTGCTATGAGATATCAGTCTTATCTTGAAGATGTGATGTGATCGAACAAACATAAGTATTCGTCGTGACTCTATCTTGTAAACTGCTATCTTTGCAAGGAGGTGATAATTTTCTAGCAGTTTGTAAGATTTTCCTATCGATGTTCTTCAAATGTTTGTATCGAGTTTGAATATTTATATGATTTCGAGAATGACTAAGCAATTTATTTTGTAACTTTGCATTCATTATTGATACGTTTTGTGTTCCGTAATTTAACAGGCTTTTAGAATCATCATGCAGAAATGATATATTGTTCTTTCGTTGTTTGGATATATGAAGGAGATTTGACACTGGAAATTGCTCGGAGGATTCATGGGAAGGTTTAATTTTAGTGATGGCAGCAACACGATCGCGAGAATTACAGACGCGAGTAAAAGTGGAGAGGCTCTTCTACAAATGAAAAAAAATTATAAGTTTAAATTTAAAACTTTATGGATTCATATTGTACCTCTAAAGTTGCTTCTTTCAATTCCTTACGCATCTCTTTAATTAAATCATCCTTCAAAAGATTTCCTATATTTGCATGGTAATTTTGTTTCTGCAATGCAGTGATCTCCGCCGTTAATGTATCCTGTGTTTTCATAGCTTCCTGAAATCAATAAGAGAGAATGCATACAATAAGAGAGAATGCATATAATAAAGTACTATAAATGTACTATGATAAAAAATTATGATAAAAAATTAAAAATAATATTTTCGATAGATAATGTTAGAAATTTAAAAAAATATTCCTAAAATATCGTTAGAAATAATAAAAAAAACATAATATATTAATAATATAAATTATAAAATAGACATTTTAATATGATAAACCAACTTTTTCGAGGCGAGCCACTTTATCCTCCAATTGCTGTATTTTTTTAGATTTTTCTTCCAATTGTACTTGTAGATTAGTTGTATCCATATTGTTTTCATAAGTGTACACCATAAGCTTGGATTCAACATCTTGCAGTTGTCTACGTAAATTTCTGTTTTCCAAATCTTTTACATCTAATACACTTTCCAAAATGTCAGGTGTTAAGATAATCTGAACAGCAATATACATTTAAAATAAGAGTCTCTTGTCTCAATATTGGGGAACATGAATAATGTTATCTTGCTTGCAAAATATAAAATTCAGGATACATTAAATAAATAGAACCGATTATTGTAATAAAATAGTTTTTCATAATTTTTACTATTACAACATGATTGCCTCGATATTACTCTAAAAAATCAATACTTAAAATATCAAAAAAAGACATTAAAATCAGTTTCTCTTTTGTGTATAAAAATTATAAAAGACACACTTACATCGCAATTTTGATCATTTATCATTGGATGAATAATAACTTCATTTGTTTGTTTAGCATGTTCCTTGAGTTTCTCGCAAAAGCACTGAAGTCTAGAAACGTATTTATTTATAGTCTCATCTTTCATTGATAATTCTGTCATGAGATCTGCTACTTTTCCTTCCAATTCCAATTGAGATCTGAAAAAATGTATTCTTATTTTTGTGCAAGAATATCTATAATATAAAAGAAAGCTTAAAAGAGAAAGTAAAAATAAACATCTTTTATATAATTAATTAAGAATTTACAAATGTATTATTGCCTTTAAATACATGTAAAAAAATACATTAGAAAAAAAAATATTTATACAAAAACAAAATGAAAGAAAATTAGTATTTGTATTAGTATATTAGAAACTCAAAAACTGATTTAAAAAAAAGTAGAGTTTAAATTCTAAACAAGATAATAATAATTCCTAATTATAAACACACATTTGTTAATGTATATATTAAAAATTTTGCACAATATCTTACCTAATTAATTTTTTCTCATTTTCCTGAAGTTGTTCTACTTGCAAATTCAAGGATTTGATATGTTCAATGTCTGTTTCTTCCTAATTTAAAAATTTATTTTATTAAATATCATATAAAAAAAGAAATTATATATTTAGGGACATTATATTAGAATATTATATAATATTATGTAGATTACATACTATTTGTAAGTACAAAAAAAAATTTCTTGAAAATATAATACTCTATTAATGAGATAATTGACAATTTATTGAATACAAATATATGTGTATATATGTGTATATGAGATAGTTAAATTTAATGTAAAGGGTGTAGGGAGTGAGAAAACAGTTTTCAGCATGAAATATATATAGTACAAGTATTGTATCATATGTTCTTACACAAATAATTTGATTTTTGAAGTTTACTATGCTCTATATCTAAAATAAGTCTGAGCTTTTTGGCTGCTTTTACACACATATTTACCTGACTGCAGATACAGCTGTAAAGATAAAACAATTCGCATTACTAAGAGATAAAATAATCATTATACGAATGCATTAATTGAAAACAGTAGTAACTTACTCCGAAACTGGAATATCCTCAGGTTGAATCTCAAAGAATGTAATACCATCAAGATTCCAAATATTTTCCTGACGTGCGCGACGAATCACTTCTAATAATCCTCTAATGTCACTTTGCAGATATTCTATTTTCTGTTGCAGATATTCTTCATCCTTTTCTAATTGACTGACACGATTTGAAAGTGTATTTAAAGCCTAATGCAGAGAAATATATGATTACATATATTTTCTAATTGTTTAAAAGCTATTAATCTAATAGAATTGAACGATCTCTTTCTCTTTTACCTTTTCAGAATGACTTGATCTTGTCAAATTATCTACAACTATTTGGGACGATTGTTTTAATTTCTCCTCTAGTAACTTAACTCTATTACACGCGGCCTGTTCCAAATCTTCAACTGTGTGCACTAACATAGTATTTTGCTCTCCTAGATCCTTAATCCAATCGCTCATTATCTGCAGCTTCATCTACAAAGTAATGTGTAATGTTTCGATTACACTTGACATTAAATACAAGCAAGAATTGATATTGTTAAGCTGCAGCTGTTTGGAGCATTTGAAATATCGTACAAAAGATGCGAAGAAATAATCGAACAAAGCGGCATGCATGAAACGAATTCCATTGCGATAAGAAACGCTGCTTACGGAGACCCGATCAGATTCGCCGCCGGATTCCCGATCGATCTTCTCGATGCGACTCTCGTACAATTTGCGAAATTCATTGAGAATACGCAGACCCTCGGTTTCGCCGCACGGTTCACCGGTGCTCTCGTCGGTCGCTTGGCAGCTTTGATCGCGTTTAACCAACGGGATCGTCACGTCGTCTACATCCGCGGAACTCGACAAACAGGCACTGACCGAGTGCATCGCTTTGCAAGTATAATCGATGACGTGCAATTGTAATGTGATAGATGCTGACAGATTTTTTTAAAGGTCTCCCTACACCCTTATTTTGACCAAGGAGCACTTTAAATAAACGTCAACACGCCATGTATCTCGCCATTTTAGCGACTGTTGTGACGTCACTGGACCATAAATAAGCCATAAATAAAATAAATCATAGAACAGCGAACAAGATTTCGTTTGGGCTTAAAATATTTCTTTCTAGATGGTACTTTTTGTCCGAAGATCTAGTTACATTAGATCGGCCAATCGGAAGAAAGAAATGTTTTTTCTTTCATTCCGATTGGTCGATCGAATTTGTCCCGTCGAGAAAACTGTACACAAATGTCACTTGTATTCCCTAGACACGTAGTGCGAATTCATATCGATGCGCACGCATATTCGTGCCGATGCGTGTAATCGTAGGGGAAGTCGGTGGGAACGCAAAATTGGGTTGTGTGCAATTCGCGGAGCGCTTTCGCGAGCGAAACCGGACGTCCGACGAGAATGGAATTATCGTGCGGCGACAATGAACCGCGTTACAAGTCGCGGCCGCGAACCTGTAATTTCCTGTAATTTCCTAGGTTTGTCAACCGTAGCGTCGAGAACGAGAACGGCCGGCGCGGTTCCGAGGCGGCTTGTTCTCTGACGATCGTTTTCGGATAAACGGTCGTCTTTCCGCGGACAGCTCTCCTCTTCCCGGCAAGAAACGGAGAATCCGCGCGAGGCGATCGCGAGTCATTTGGCGAGCTGCTCGCGCCGACGATGAGTCAGATGAACGGGCGGACGAGTCGCGCTATCAGCCGTACGAGCGGTCCCGTCAGCTGATCGTTATTAAACAACGAGATGTGAGGTAGCGCGAGCAGATTCTTCTCTAGTCGAGCGTACGCATCACGATTTCGATTATTCGCGGCCTGATTCCTCCGCATGCATTAAGTGACTTGAGTGTGACTGCGCCGAGTGTAAGAGCAGGGGCACTGGCCGGTTATAGTTATTGAAATTTACATGGCAACATGGGGAACAAGAATAGCTGCTGCGTATACTCCAGTCCACAAGTCGGACGCAAGGAGATCGGGCCCGAGAGTGCCACGCGCAATCTGGAGGAACACTTGCCGGAGGGCGGGATCAGCGTTAATAATTTGCAACATATCAGTGAACGTGAACCGGAAGATTGGGACTCCGATCCGTCATTGCATCCGTGCGCGGGAACTATTTTTATGGAACGTTCGAAACAAGCTATAGAAAGTGGGTATTCTGGGCAATTGCGAGAAGCAGAAATTCAATTGGAATAAAACGAACGCGTTGCTAACTCCCTTAATCGTTTCTTCTCTTTTTTTCCTTTTTTTCTCTTTAGACGGCATGGTGAGAAAAAAGAGCCAACATCAGATAGCGGATACAAGGCCTTTGAAGAAGAGTAGTAGCTGCAGTACAATATATCTAGACGACAGCACAGTTTCACAACCTAATTTGAAAAATACCGTCAAATGCGTTGCCTTAGCTGTTTATTACCATATTAAGAATAGAACTTCACAGCGACAAATTGATATATTTGATGAAAAGTTACATCCATTGACGGTAATTTAAAAAGAGATTCAATATATATATATATATATATATATATATATATATATATATATATAATAGAAAAACTGGAGATTGCCAATTTATATTTTTTTATTTATTTATTGCATATTTAAATTATAGTAAAACTTTTTCTATAGTGATACATTCTGAAGTAGTTACTCGAAAATTTATATATATAAATCTTTTAGAGAGATGGTGTTGCAGAGGATTATGACAAACACAATCCAGAACACAAACAAATATATAAATTTATAAGGACTCTGTTTAACGCCGCTCAGCTTACAGCTGAATGTGCCATCATAACACTGGTTTATCTCGAACGCCTACTTACTTATGCAGAGATTGATATAACGCCAGCTAATTGGAAACGAATAGTGCTAGGTGCTATTTTATTAGCATCTAAAGTTTGGGACGATCAGGCAGTATGGAATGTAGATTATTGTCAAATACTGAAAGATATCACAGTGGAAGATATGTAAGTTTTATTTTTAATTATATTATTTACATTATTATACATTTGTTTTATAACTTACAACGATCAAAGATAAAAAAGTTGTTTTATAACTTACAACGATACAAAGATAAAAAAGTTAAAATGATGAAAATACGAAAATAATTATTAGTCATTGTTTTAATTGAATTGATATATTCTACATTTTTTATCTAGGAACGAATTAGAGAGACAATTTCTGGAGATGCTGCAATTCAATATAAATGTTCCTTCAAGTGTATATGCCAAATATTATTTTGATCTTCGTACACTTGCAGAAGCGAACGAATTAACATTCCCTAGCGAACCTCTTAGTAAAGAAAAGGCGCAGAAGCTAGAAGCTATGTCCAGAGTTTACGAAGATAAGGTTACAGCCGAAGCTCTACGTACTGGTATTAAGAAATGGTCCAGTTTAGACAATGTATGCATAGGTGGACCTAGACGTAGCATTGCTATTTTATCTTAAATATAATAAATAGATATACATGTGGATATCTCAACATAAACACATGATTAATGTTCAGATTTTAAAGGTATGTGAACTTTTTTTTTAACAATATATATATATATATATATATATATATATATATATATATATATATTATATATTATCGATCAATTTTATGAATATAAAAAAAGATTGTTTGAATTGTTTGGATCACATTTCTATTTAATTATTGTGAAAAATGTTTGATGTATTATATACATCTTTAAATTACTCTTATATTCAAATTAGATTATATTTAAATATTGTATGTTTCATAAACATCACTAAGTTATATCATAATGAAAAATTTTTCGCTGCAAATTTAAATTTAATTATTGCAGTGTCTCCTAGTTATAAGACTGTCGTTCAGGATCGGCCATTAACTTAAATGGAGTACGGATCTTTTATATCTTCCAGGAAATTATTTTATAAATCTTGCTAAATCAACAGCTCGTGAAGCTCTGGAAGAGTAAGTGAGATAAAACGATATTTCACATTGTCGCCTATTTTATCTTGCGACATCGGATATGATTCGATTACGCTCGCGAAAGAGAAGTAATCGCAATCTTACGAAAATCGGTCTTATAACCGGAAGATGCTCTTTGTATATATGTACTCTAAAATTTAGATATCTCTCAATTCCTTGTAACTTCCAATGCGTTATTCTTATTATCTATACATTCGAGAATCGAAAGACATTTCAATAGAAAACAAGTTTCATATTTATTGGCCTTTTTTTGTTCTTAATTTTTGATCGCTTCGATTAATCGTGTTATACTGTTAATTATGAAAAATGAATTATTATAATCTTGTTTGTCATATATTGAGGAATATATTTGCTTATGCAAAGATTTTACTGTCTGGGACCTTGTAATGTGGATATAATAAATTTTAAAGCGAGAATGAAGCACATTAACGAAGTAAACGGTGACAGAAGAAAAGTTGTTTTATATATATATATATATAGTCGTAGCATTATCTATACTGTCCTTATATAGGAGAGAAAATAACTTGTGATATATATTAGTCAACTATTCATTATCCAAAGCATTTTATATTGACTGAAGTTAATAAGAATCAAATTTACGGCTAACTTATTAGTAACATTTTAAAAAGCGAAAATATACAGCATGCTTCACGCTAAAATTATCGATATTCGTTCAAAATATACTAATTAAAAATTTGCAAGTCAAAGCAAAATAATGCATACTATCTTGGTATATTCAAATTCTTTCTAAGCATATATCTTTTTTATTTTTCTATCTATCTCGCTGTTCTCTACATCAAAAAATCATATGAAATTATCATAGAATTGAAAAATAAAAATTATATTCCTTTTTATGTATAACATAATACACACCTACATTTCTATATAATATAAATATGCCGTTTATGTTTTCATTACTTTAATTCAGAGAGTAATTTTAGAATTCTCTTCTTTTTCATCGTAAAACATTATATAACAATATTATATAATAGTTAGTTTATGTAAAAAAAATATTTTACTCTTGATTGATTTGAATCATCAAGTTTTACATATGGAGACTTGTATATTTTGAATAATATAGTACATATATACATAAGAACACCATTTATACATATATAATTTACACATGTAATAATAAGTATATAATAGCATAAATATTTTAGCAAATCAGCCTTTATAACTTATTAGGAATGAAAAGCACGATAAATTAGTCTGAATCATTGCTTTTGTATGGCGCTACTTCCATTTACAAGAATTTACAATTTTAGATAAAACGCGAGATAAGCCACGATATCAGGGTTACATCTTTATTTTCATAAGAATATGTTCAGTCAGTTAATAATAATTGAATTTGATTTAAATAATTATATAGTCTATATTCTAAATTATTAGAAAAGAAGTTAATTTGATATCAAGTCCTTTTTTTTTATTTGGTTTTATTTTTTCCCTAGTACATATATATTGCATCTTTTTAATATTCTTTATGTGAATGTGTCTATATATATACATATATATATATATATATATATATATATATATATATATATATATATTTATATTTCATAATATTTTTCATTAATATTATTTAAAAAATCATAAAGTGATGATACTCCTATGGCCATAACATTAATGTGAAAGATTTAAACCTGATAGCTATGTATGAAATATTCGTTTCGTGAAGCACTCGAGTAAATTTTCTAAAAATCGTCCAGAAATACACACGCTCACTAGAAAAATAAAAAGAGAAAAAAAGATACAGATTTTCTATCATCTTACGCTACATGACCAAGGTCAAATTGAGATACCATTAATGTAATTGTGTATCATACGCCACTAATTGACTTGTGTAATAATTTAATATTTTGTACCTATACCGATTAGAACTCTTTAAATATAAGATAGTCTTATATTGTAACACGACTGGTTATGTCTATAAGGATTAAAGTATAATCTCTGAAGTTCCGTTGGATTTTCAGAATACCGTTGCGGAGAAGAGCAATTACGATTTATTATTATTTTTATATTTTATTACACGAAAGTCGGAGAATATTGTAATGGTTGAATTTATAATTATAGAGAGAGATTGTAGTAGAGCGAACTGTAAAGTCCAATCGATGTGCGCGATCGAGAGGAAACGAAATAACAGCGTACATTCTTAGCTTTTAATAGCATATTGTATAGTATACCGGATGGTAAGCGATAGTATAACATATCTGCAATTTCTGTCCAGAGATTACAATGTTTTATTTTGCTGTCAGATTTATATAAAAATATATTTTTACCGCATTACAGAATACAAGATGGCATACATACGTATGCTGCAAATAAATATTAATGCAGCTTGTAATACACTGTGTGATGCCAAAATGTTGTTAAAATTATATTGTATAGACTATGCACACACATATACATAAATGTATACTGCACCGCGAGATTTTCATTCGCTTTACGCTGATTTTCCGACAAAACTAAATCTTTATAAATTTTCACGTGCATGACTATTTTTATAAATAGAGATTCATTAATAAAGACAATCCTCGAGTCTTATTGCGTCCTGTAAATAAATTGCCGAATTCGTGTAAGGTTCATATATCATATAAATCGTGTGTATTATAAGCCGAACCACTCTTTGTTAGTAATTACTTAAAGTATAATGTAGCAAATATTTAGTATTTATACTTGAAGGCAATAGGATCCTTTAAAGAATCGCCTTTAAGTCTTCCAGCTTAGCGTCCGTATAGAATCCTACAGTTTTTTAAACTCCATGTGTAATAAATATTACGTTAACATATTATGACCGATGCTTTTATAACATGAATTTGCGATAAAGAGCTTTATCGATATATTAATAATGTTTTGTATGTATATTTAAAATTTTTATTTTATAAATTATTTTATTGTCCGATTACACAGAAGGACAAGTATTGTAAGGCTGTTAAAATTTATACTTTGTCGTATTTTTCGCTTTCAATTAAAAACGAACAAAAATTTCTTACATCTTGCTGAATGCAAAAATTGCTTTCACTGAAGCACATAGCGTTTTAATGCAATTATTGTATGCAAAATATGCATCTCCCTCTTGGATATGTAAGATATAAATTATTCATTCTCTTTAATATCTATTTTTAATGTATAAATATATGTATCTTTTATACGAAAGGTAACGCGATTGTGTGAAAGCGTAAAAAAGCGAAAAGTATGCGCATACGTATGGCAGTAAGATACATAAAACGTGAACTTTTTGCAAAGAAATTATTATTATTATTAATAACAATTATACACACAGAAATACAATTATAAGTTATTCAGCTATGTATACAATGATTGTATATTGAAACGATGATTGTATACAAAAATGGAGCTATTTTCGTCTCTCTCTTTCTCTTTCTCTCTCTCTCTCTCTCTCTCTCTCTCTCTCTAAAAACCGCCAAATTTTTTAAAAAAGAAAAACTCGATTTCCTAAAAAAAAAAAAAAAATAAATAAAATTGTGCCTGAAGTCATTTACTTAATTAACATGTATGTACATTTGCATTCTATGCCAAAATTTTTAACATGTATGTATAAAACAAATATACACGAAATTTTAATAAACACCTCATCTCAGTACAGAAATAAAGTGGACAAACATGTTACTTTTATTTCAAAATTAAGTTTGTAAAGTATATCTTTTTTTATCGATATTAATAATTAATTGTTTATATAAAAGTTGATATTGATGATTTACAAAAATTTATCAGAATAAAAACATTGTAATGAGATTTGTATGGCACGATCAAATTTTTGTATTTTTTTATGGTTAAGAACAATGAAAGTAGCAAAATGCATTTCAAATGATTTATTTGACGGCATTAGCGCGTGTTTGACGATCAGTAGATATATCTTGATTCTCTTTTAGGGTGTCTCATTTTAAAGTTTTCACTAAAATATCTCTTCAGGAAAGCAGAACAAAATGTTTCAGACAAAAATTGTAGGGGTTTTAAAAGTTCTATTGAATGGTCATATCCATTTAACCATGAATGGAAGGATCAGGATCATATGGAGTTCAATATTGTTTTTTAAAATGGGACTCCCTAGTTTTCATTGCATATTCTTATAGCTTATCTCGAAATTTTTTCAAAACACTATAATAAAATATTTTTTTGTTAAATGCTTTTCGAATTATAGTTGTTTTTAAGAAAAAATATATAATTGTTAATTGCAAATTACTTATTTTTTCTTAAAATTAACTGTGTTTTCTTTACATTAATTGATTCCTCACATTATCTACATAAAAGTAATGCATAAAAGTATTGAGGTAAGGTAATTGAAAAATAAATATTTTACTAGATATTTTATGGTTTATGTAAAATTAAAAAATTATTTCAAGCCTCATAATTCGAAAAGTACTTAACAAAAAAATACTTTATTATAGTGTTTTGAAAAATCTCGAGATAAGCTATAAGAATATGTAAATGAAAACTAGGGAATTCCATTTAAGAAAACAAAGTTGAACTCCATATAATCTTAATCTCTCTACTCATTCAAACAGATATGACCATTTAATAGAACTTATAAAATCCTACAACTTTTATCTGAAACTTTTTTTTAAATGTTTTTCTGAAGAGATATTCTAGTGGAAACTTTAAAATGGATCACCTTGTGTGTGTGTGTATATATATATATAAATAATTCACAACTTATAATCAATCCTTTTTTCATATTATAGGATTCAACAGAAGATTTCAAGAAGATAGATAACTTATATTACAAGCCTAACAGAAACAATGCAAAGTCTTTTCAAATTATACATAATAGAAAAACTGCATAAACTATACAATAATACATTAATTAAATATATATTATTATATCTACACATCTTGTATTTTTTATATACTTGCTTTGAATATAAAAAAAACAATTTGTGATAAGAAATTAAATATAAACATTATAGGTCATTTGTAGTCTGATATTTATAATCATTCTACCATCATCAATCTGTCAAATTCGATAATCCGATTGATGGTAAAAACGTTATTATCGTTCGTCACGCGTTATATCTATATTCTTTCTTACGATCTACCAAAAAGAAGTTTAGTGTGAACCGCGATACTATATTATGTCTTACGCATATGACACATTTATGGTAAGCATTGTTATAATACGAAGAGGACGTTTACTTTCGTCTCTGTTTACTATGAATGCACACGGAATCACTGTAGAATATTTAACTGTCCGGTACTTGTAGCATAAATCATCCCTTGACCCGGCTGCGGCGCCCACCTAATACAATTTAGACTGATTTGGCCCACAGTTTCCCGGTTGCTTGATAATAATTCTCGAATAACTACCATACTTTTTCTACCACGTTTAATGTCCAGTTCGGTTCTCATTCGTATTCGCCAGTCTTGAATGTGCGGCCTGTAACCGCTGGCTGTAACGTTATTGTTGTTTCGTCTCGGGATACCATTTGTAGAAATGTTATCGTCAAGAATCTCGTCAGAAGAATCGTATGCAGATTCTACCGAATCAGTCGATGAGACATCCTTCTCATCGTCAGGCTGTTTCTCCTTTAACTTATAGATTAGAGCCATCGGAAACGGCCTGGAGCTATAATATCTTCCCAACCCTACTAAGACATGCTGTTGCGTTGGTGATATCGAGACAGATACTACCTGGTGATTAATTTTCGTCGAATAAATCCTTTCTCCAAGTGTTTCCCACTGCAGACTATAAATACCTAAATCAAATATATATAATAATTTTACTCAAATATAATAATTTTACTTTTTCACGAAATAATTTTCACAAAAATTTTTATTGTTTTTATGCATAATACATGAACAATTATACAGAAAAAAAATTTTTAATTTAAATTTTAAAATAAAAAATTTTCAATTTTAAAAAAATTTTAAAAAGAGATGCCAAGCGGAATAACTAAATAAATTACGATTTTTTTAACACAAAAGTGACTCGGAAACGACTTATTTTCAGACTTATGCTTTTTTTCTTTCTTTTTGGGTCTCGAATCACTCCCGAAATTTCTCGCGACGTTTTTCCGGGCACTCTCTCTCTCTCTCTCTCTCTCTCTCTCTCTCTCTCTCTCTCTCTCTCTCTCTCTCTCTCTCTCTCTGTGTGTGTGTGTGTGTGTGTGTGTGTGTGTGTGTGTGTGTGTGTGTGTGTGTGTGTGTAATATAGAAATATTAAATAAAGACTTGAATATTCTTATCTTTGATATTATATAATTTGTGTATTAATTCAAATTATATATAAATTTAAAATTAAAAAAATAATCTTTTTTTAAGTAAAATTGAGTTTCCCAATTCCATCGCTAAAATTTAATCAATATATATTTACCTAACATGGTAGTCACATTACGATTACCCGATTGCAAAAGAGATACTAACAACTTCCCATCTGCAGATATATCGATAAAGGCATCATTCTGAATTTTACATTCACGCACCACAACGTTTTTGTCAGCTAAAAATCATATCAGGTCAATGACATATAATGATATACAGAAAACGTGTAATATATATTTTCAATATTATAATAATTTATATTTTCAATATTATTTTACTCACGGTCTGTAATATCAGGTATATCACCATTAGAAAAATCCCAGGCTTGTACTCGATAACTACTGGGTGCTTCCAACTGGGTTGGATTGAATGGTACATGTTCTAAGAAGTAATTTGTGCATATAATCATACATTATATATTTTTTACATTATATATACATTATATATAATTTAAAAATGCTTTGTATAATTTTTAGATTATACTATGAAGATGATCCCCCTAATTAATAGTGATTTTATGTGAATAATATGAGATACCAAAAAAACATAGAATATCATTTTTTTTTATATGAACTTTTGTTTTTAAGAAAATTACTTTTGAAAATTGAATAATGAAATACCTTTCATTATTTTGAAATTTGCATGACTTGTATTAACAGAAAAAATGTTCGGTGTTAGCTTCAAAGTAAATGATTAAAAAACTTATCTTAAAAAATAACGGAAAATATTTTAAGTTTGTTGCAAACAACATTATTTGTGTATCATAAAAAAATGCTATTTTTGACATTAAATATGTTTAATTCCTTAATAAAGAATATTATATTTCTATTCATTTATTTTGACCAAGCTATGAAATAAATCATTGGATAAATCATTCAATAAATCTATGGATAAATCATTCTGTGGTATCGATGTCAAAGTTACAAGCTTAAAATAGAGAAAAATTATTTTTAATTTTTCGATTTTTTTTTAAATTCCACACAAACATTTAATTAGATAAAAATAAATTTTTATAGAAGAAAATATTATTCTTTGTTCTATTTTTCTAATTTTGTTTCTATTTCCTTACATGTCATTATCTTCTTTCTAACTGTATCAATAAGGAATTATTTTATATATCAACATGTGACTATACTTCGGTGAAAAAAATAGAGTAAGTTACCAATGTCCAGATATTCGTTATCATTTCCAGGATCTTGTCCTCCCTCTGCTTCTCCTCCTCCTCCTCCTTCTCCATTAGCTCCATTTTCGCCATTCCTACCACTATTATTGTTATCACCAGGATTGACATTAGCATTTCCTCCAACCCGTGATTCTCCATTAGCCGCGAGTTCGGAATAACGAGGTATAAAAAGAGGTCCAAATCGATTGCGCCAAAACGCCAATACCTAAGAGATTTAACAGTTAATAAATAATAATATGTAGAAAAGAATCTTACCTTTTTCACAATGAAATGTTCATCAATTCAAAGATAATTAAGATACAAAATGATTTATAAGACTAAACATATTTTCTAAAATACATTATATATTTATATATTATAAATTAAAAATTCATGAAATTATAAAAAAAATATGAACTTAATGTTAAATAATAATCGATATGAATAATCCTATTAAAATCATATAAATGTATACATATAAATGCATAAAACCAGAATTTAATATACTGTACTCTATTTCTGCTATTGTTCGACAGTCCAGCCCAGCCTGGTCCAGATTGTACCGTTGATTCGTTTGTCCGATCGTTGTTTCTATTGTCGGTATTGTTGTGATGACAATTATTGATTAGGTATGGAGGAAGTATATGCGACAAGGTCGGCGGTGTGTTATGTCTTCTTCGAGGATTATTGGGCAACAAATTGTCAAAATCATTCACGGGCACGCTGTTCACTTGCAATTCGGGTACGTTGAATTCTCGTCGAAGAGATGCGCCCTCTCTACCATGAAGAAATAAGCGATTGTCAGACGCGATCAGAAAATTCGCATTGGAATTATCGTATCTGTGCAAAGAACGCTCGAATGACGAATTCGCATCTCGCACATATTGACGGGACCATCGAGGTCTCTGTTGCGGCGATCTGATGCTGTTTTGTTCATCTCCCGATGAGGAAACGTAGCTTCTCCAACTTTCATTGGTAAGACTAGTATTCCTTTCTTGGGAGTTTCTTGATTCATCGACGCGTCTTCTCATCGCCGGTTCGGATACCGTAGCATTTCTGTAATTCCGTCGATAGCTGTCGTTCAAGTTTCGTGATTCGCGCGAAGTATGTGCAGTATCGATCGTTCGATTTTCAATTCTGACCTCGTCATTGTCGATTGAACTGCTACTCTGGATTCTTTCCACAATACTTTGCACCTCTGCTGACAGAGCATGCTCGGAGATCGAATGCCGATTATCTTCGCTTTGAGCGTTATCGTCATAATTGGTATCATCGCCATTGCTACTAGGTGCAGCTATTACTGGATCACTTTGATTCTCGGATGAATTATTATTACTGCTTTCTATTCTCTGACGAAACAGTTGCTTCAATTGTTGCGCCATATGAGAGAAACGTCTATTTCTGTTTATCGAGAAAAGATCCTCTACGGATTCCACTCTAGATGTGCTTGGCATATTACGGATGCTAGAAATCCATTCTCTATCCGCGTTTTGTCTCAATGTGTTATCGTTCCCGCGATTATTTTCCGTCTGTAGACTACTGTCGACGCTGTTATTACGTGTTCTCTCGTTCTGGTTATCTACCGATAAATCGGTAGTGAAAGATCTATATTGACTAGATTCCAGTTCACGTCTTGTTATCACTAATTGTGCTAGCAATAAATCTGTTAATTCTAGCGCCAGATGTAACAGCACATACAATTCTAAAAAATAAAGAAACCAAAATGTAGAATGTTTTTAATATGAAATCTCATATTTTCGAGAAATGCAAATTTAAGCTTATTTAAGCTCGAAAATATAACGAAGAATAATCGAAATTTTATAACTACATATGATATTACTTTTTATAATTATATATGAAAACATTTTATCCTACTTATTCTATTTAATTTTTTAAATTAATTTTTTTATGTAGAATTATTATTTTTTTAAATTGCAATGCTAACAATCTATAATGTTTTATATGTAACTATATAATTTTATAATACACATTTAACTTACTATACATTTGTTCAAGGAGAACATTATTTTGAGAACCATTTCCTGATCTTGTCACTTCGAAGAATTGAATCAGAGATCTCACCATCAAGCCAAGAACTTGTCTGAAACATTTATTCACATTAATATATGTTGATCATTCATGGATTTTTTAATATATATATATTTATGTTCGATATATGTTACTTTACAATACTAATATATATAAAATTTACAATATTTTATATATATATATATATATATATATATATATATATATATAATTATTATACATAAATACAAAAAGTATGTGATTGAATTAATGTGTCACTTTTTACCTAGCTCTCAATCTTGTAGCTTCACGAATCTCTTCCATTTCTCGATTGTCATTATCTCTGCCAGATTCTGATTGACGATTATCACCGTCTGAGCCTCTATTAGTGTTGCTGTTGCAAGCTAAATCTCTCTGCTGTCGGACCAATGTTTCTAGTCGTAAGATCATCTTTTGTAAATATTCAGACGTGTTCGAGCTTTGCATTCTATCTATATCCGCATCTAAACCGTCGTTGTTATTGTTATTATTCTGGGATGTATTTCTGCGTAAATTCCATGGTCTTCTAACATGCTTGCAATGACGAAACGGATTATTGGATTGAACTCTAAGATTTGGTCTTCTACGGCGATGACACAAAGATAATAGTTTTAATCGTCTGCAAAACAAAATACATCATTAAACGAAATTGTTTAGGAAAGTTAGTTTAGAGAAACAATATATAGTGTGTTTGCTTTTGTGTTTCTACTAGCTTACTTCTAAAAATGTAATTGCTTTTGTGTTTCTACTAGCTTACTTCTAAAAATGTAATTGTTTTAATATTTTTAATATTTTAAAACCAAATACGCTACATATTTCTTTACTCTTATATATCAATATTTCTTCAGATGCACCTGACATATCTCTCTCGTCTATTACAGTTATTAGCAGATGAATCGAGTTCCGATGATACAAAAGTTCGCCACTGGGTCGCTTCACTTTGATTCGTCGAACCTTGCATAAGGGAATTGGCATTTATATTATCATCGTTATTATTATTATTATTGTTATTAGTAATTGCGTCGTCCATTGTAGTGTAATTAACATTCGTGTCTGATACTTGGGTTGACCTGCTGGAGTTGGCACGATCGATACTATTGACAAAACTTGAAATACTGGGTAATGGTTCTATTGTTGTCGTTATCGCAGTAACGGCCGGTAAATTCGAGTTAGCTCCGATATTCGATACAACACTGGATATACTCGGTAATTGCACGTCGCTGTTGGATGTTAAATTGGCATATGTATGATCGTCATTTTTCGCTCGCGATGCAACATCGGTAACGGGACAATTTTGATTGTGTGATTGTTGTCTGAAGATCCCGTCCAGCAGCTCGTCCAATTTGAGACGCTGCATCTGTCGTAATTCGATATCACTTGGCAATAAATTCGAGAGACTTATATTCGTGCTCTCCTCGATGTTACAATTATTAGATGACGTAGAGCCATTTTCGCAATTTCCATCGATATCGGTTATTCCCCTCGAAGTTGATGGTTGATTTTGATCTATGTACGATCTCGCATCCCGATCATTCTCGCTGTTCTCTCTCTGATAATTCTCTAAAAGAGCTTTCTTAAAATTCTTCGCCGATTCATTCGATGAACCCGCAGTAGATGTTGATGGACCAGGATTTTCTCTTTGCGCCTCCGTTTGATCACTGTTCTGCCTTTCTATACGTACTGTCACGTGTAACGATCGTATTTGTCGTTGCAAATCTTCCCACATTTTACGTACTTGACATAACTGAACTATTTCTACGCGTGCTCTGTAATAAAAGTGAGAAAAATTATTATTTTTGTTTAAAGATCAATAACAAGAGCAATGAAAAATATTTCATAATTGCACTTTCAAATGTAATTATTTTTTTAAATACTATTTATTAGTTAATATATTTCACAAGAATAATTCTAATCCATCTTATTTTTTGTATTTATTCTAATTAATGAGTAAAAACTTCTCTTTCTAAAAAAAAGTTACACAATGATTCTTCTAAAAATTGCATTTTAACAATTATATTTTTTATTGATATCATATCAAAATTAACGAAAAATCTGACTGAAAAACATTTCAGATAACTGTTGTTTATTTTTAAAATGTTAATTTTCAAATTTTCGCTTAAAAGGCACATTTCGATTTCAAACATTGACAAAGTAAATTCTGGACAATAAGAATTCTACTTTTATGAACTTACCGGCATAAACGATGCATGTTGTCAATATGACGACTAAGCAATTGAATCCCTTGCCGAACTCCTAGTGAACTTTCTCTCGGGTCTATTATATTATCGTCAGTAGAATCGAGTATTTCAAGAAGTGCGTCCTCTATACTTTGTTGATCCTGGTTTTCCTGGTTTTCTTGATTTCCTGGTTGTTGCCTATCCATTACCGTTGATCGAACACTTTCGCGATCAGTTGGATCAGCTATTTCCGCTGCAACAATATCGTTAACGCTTCCTGTTAATTCTATTGTATCTGCTATGCCTAAATTAGACATTTGCGAGTGAACACTGTTAGAACCGCTGCCGGAAGATATTTGATTTTGTGCTATTCTTTGGGATTGGTTTTCTCGTAAACTTCTAAACGGGAACAACGGTGGTTGTTCATAGCGAATAGGATTTGCCGATACAGGCGATAACAAGTGATTTCTTTGATCTCTTTGTCTATCGTTGAAACTTTGATCCCCATTTCCTGATAGAGATCTTGATTGAGTTCGCTCGTTTGGTAAATCGTTGGTGTATTCTGAGTTTCTACTTGAATTATCCAACTGTATCCATCGGCTGGTCCATCGACGAGAGTTTGAGTTACTATTGGAATTCGTATCATCCAAATTTGAATCTGAATTACTGTTCTCTTCAAGGAGCCAATATCCATTTTCTGAATCATCCAAAGATACTTGTTGTCCAGTATTGTTGTTTTCTACTCGATCCGCATGTAAATTTCGTTGGATACTATCCAACACTCTTCTAAATGAATTTCTAAATATTAAAAATTTCGAATAAATACAAATAAAGGCGTGTTTTTAAATAAAATAAATATGATTAAATATATATATATATATATATATATATATATATATATATTTATATATGAGATTAAAAATATAAAAATTTATCCTTGCCTACTACTGAATTCTTGAGACCTCGGCGTTTCTTGCGAATTTTGTGTAATTGATGTTCTATTATTCTGGATATTATTTTCGTTTGATTCATTATTTAAACTGCCCAGAAGACTGTTAATTTCATTAATTTCATTTAGTCTAGAAGAATTAGCTGGCGCTTCTCGATTTTGCGAGCTTGCTCGTTGCGTGATAGATTTGGGCACATTTGGCTGAAACGCTGAATGACTTGAAACTGTAAAATTAGACGCACTGTTATGGGATGTCGATGCTTGCGTATAGCCTTCGTCGCTCGAAGATGAGCTATCTCCTAAAAACATAAACAAATTTATAATCTACGATATAAAAATGTTATTAATTTGTATGTAAAATTAGAGATATGCATATGTAAATCGAAATATTTAAAATTCTTGATTATAAATGGATATTTAAAAAGTCTATTTTCTGAAAAATTTTATCTTTTATCTTCAAAGAATTTTATTTCTATTAACATAAAAATATTACCAAGATATTCTGGTAACGTTATTAGTTCCAATTTACGCTTTCGTCGTCTCGGCGGTTCATCCTCTGTATTTGTGGCATCGAATCGTCTTCTCATAGCCCTCCCTGTATTTCTTGATGAAGTGCTTTCGCTACCATTCGCTCTGTCGGGCCATATTATGTCGATTTCTTCATTTTCTCTGACATGACTTGTGCTAGGGTATACAATAGATTCGTGTATTCTCGAGGGCATCGATGCAGAACTGGTGCTGGGCAATTGTCCGTCGTTTGGTGTAGGTATTCTCAATTCGACATCGTTTAAATTCACCTGCGAAGAATCGGTCGTGCCGCGCTGATTTCGCGGCAGAAAATCATACATCGCGAATTCGTCTCGCAATCGTTCGATCCTAGAACTTGTGTTAGTAAATTGCGCTTCCATATTGTTAAGCGCTTCGATCTCGTCAATGATAGCATTGCGAAGTAATCGAAGGCGATAACGGTTGTTGGAATATTCGAATAAAGTTGTTGTCTGTCGTTGTAATCTCTCTCGCAGTTTCTGTAATCGCACCAGGCATGAACTATTATTTTCGGCAGCGGCATTCAAAGCCTCTCTCGAATTACGAAGGATAGTTCCGATATCCTCCTGCTCACAACATTCCATCAGTCGCTGGTATCGTTGTAGATGTCTTTCCAGATTCGTATTATTTGCTTGGGCGCTGGAATTCAATTCATTTCTTAATCTTCGTATAGATGATTCAGTTGCTGCCGATGATTCGTTTCTTCTATTATTATTAGACTCTTCCAAATTAGAGGATGTTTCTGGCATATCCATAGGATCTGTGCCACGATCGATCTTTAAACGAAATTAATATAATCTTAATATAAGTTATATTTCAGAAAAAAAATGTTCACAAATGGAAAATTAGACAATAATACATACATATATATATATATATGTATATGTATATGTGTGTGTGTGTGTATATATATATATATAGAGCTCACCGTATCTCTATTTCTGGAAATGTCAAAGTAACGTCTTACGAGTCTCACATATTGATCGACGAGACTTCTATAGCATAAATTGATCCTCCTTTCCGGATCTCGAACATTCCTTCCGCGCAATCTTTCTCCGTTGTTCAACACGTTGTTCAATTGCTCGTATGTGTCCCCAAAGTAAGCGTTTGTTGTGTTAGGTTCTCGATCACGATTCCTCATTGAACTGCTCGGAAAATCGTCGTTGCTGTCGTTTGCTGATCTGTTTTCGATATTGTCCACATTCACCGGGTTGCCGGGCGGGCGAAGAGGATTTCTCGTGATATTCGGTGAAGATGTAGCTTCGTTAGTTTGATTCAGTTCTACATCGTAAGGCAGAAAACTATTACGACGAATTTCAATTGTTACAGTACCGGATGGAGTACTTGAAGATTGAGCATTGTTACGAAACGACATAGCGGTTCTAAGTTGTCGTACTAGTTCATGATGTCTGTCGTTGTATCTATGATGGTATGAGGACCATCGTAGCATAGACATTGTACCTTCAGATAGATTACGTCGTCGTTGAAACCGCGCCTCTTCCTGCCGTGTACCATTCCTGAATTGTTGGTGATTGGCGAATCGTGAGAAGTTGGACATTTCGAGACCTCTGCGCATAAACAGATACGCACTGAAAAGATTTCTATTCAAATTTTGTACATTGTCCGATGAATTTAATTGATTTAATTTTGTGTCCTATAATTTGAATACCGGGAAGTTCTATCTGGCATGTGATTATCTGTCGATCCTCTTCCGTATACGGAGCCATGATTCCACAAATGCCAAGGTGAAAGTTCAACATCCGGGAAGCCTTCTCGTGGATATCTAAAATTCCTATTTTTTTGGGGAGAAAAAAATTTATAATATACGCATATAATATACAATATTCATTGCTCAGTGAATATAATATTTCAAAATTCAAATTTTTAAATAAAATAAAAAAAAACATTTTAATAACATAATGTGTGACAACAGACTTATATCTAAAATTTATTTTTATGTACAATATATACAAAATCATTGTATTCTTACATTAAACTAGTTCTAAGTAATTGTCCCATAGGAGCCCGATCCCATTGTGGTTGAACTTGTGATGTATTTGCAATTCCTGTGATTAGTTTTCTTCCTAAATTGTCAAAAGCTACATATCTGCAATTTTTATAAAACTGTCAAATATTAAGTTATATTAAATAATTTAAAATAAATCGAAGAATCTAAAAACACACACAGTATCTATAATAAAAATTGATTTGTAATGTTTCTTATCCATATAAGTATTATCCAAAGTGAAAAGTACACAAAATATTGACATGATAAATAAATATTATAGATTACAGTTTGCAAATAATTAACAGAAATAAAATAACTTGTATTATTAAAATTAAATTAATTGATAAAACGTACTTTTTATCTATCTATGCAAATATATTGTATGTCTCTTCATTTTCCAATTTTTTTTTCTCATATCACTTACAAAAGAAAAAATTTTTTAAATAAAAAAACAAATACTTATATTGTGCCATTCTAACAATCTCATTTAAGAAATAGATACCTCACTTTTTCCTTCTCAGTCTTTGTAGCAGCTACAGCAAAAGGTTGAGACTTACTCCAGTCCCAGAAATGAATTTCATTGTATGTTGCTATAACTAATAATCTTTCAAATGGATGGAATGCAAGCGAAGCAATAACAGTATGACTATCAGCATTCCAAATTTCACTACCACCCTACATAAACAAATTTATATTACAAATTTTTACACCTTTAGATCTTTAGAATATTACACATCTTTAGATCCACATTTTTATAATTTATTATTGAAACAAATTACATAGTTCAGAGACAGTTCAGAAACAAATTACATAGTTCAGAGAAAACTATACTTACATTTAAATCCCACACACGAACCTGACCTCCTAAACAGCCAGATGCTAAGATCTGACTCGAAGATGGATGGAAAGCTATGCACCATGGAGTACGTGGATGTCCAGATAAAATTTTAATGTTCTTTCCCGTTGAAATTTCCGTGATATAAACATTATGATTCCCATGTGTAGATGCCATCATAGTCCTAAAAATTGTCATCTTATATATAAATATAATTTTTTAATATATATAAATATAATATTTCCAACATAAAAAAAGAAAAAAAAAACTACCACCTATTATTATGTGCACACTCCTTTTCTTCTCTTAGCATTACCTTTTGACGAGTCTGATAAAGTATATTATTGTATCTTACCCATCAGCACTGAAAACCATCAAAAATGAAGATCTAGGAACACCAGGTAAATTACATTTCTATAAATAAACAAATAATACATAATTAACATTATATCATTATTAAATTAGCTATCAAAAATTAATATAAAATTACTATTGTTTCTATTCATTGTATCAAACAAGATTTATTGTTGCATTATGTATATCTATTTTGATTCTCTCTCACAAATTAGAAATATTAATTAAGAGTGAAATTAGTAAAATAATATAGTATATATGTATATATAGTCATCATATAAGAATATACCAATTCTTTATGATCTCTTAGTACTAGGTTCGCTTCAGCTATTGGCTCCAATTCACGCGTACTAGTTTTATGCGTTGTGCGTAATCCAAAATCTCTCAGCATTAAATTGCGCAATATATTGCGCGATTTGCCACAATGTAGCAATTCTGGTCTCTTCTTAACTTTTCCCATTTATATAAGATTGTGCTTGCAAGTCCTGAACAAAATACAAAACTGTGCATTATAAGTGCAATCTTGTAGAGATAGGTTTAATCTTTCATTTAGAAAGATATAATAAATAATCTTGATGTATACTCTGCAAACTCATTTAATAACTTTAGAAATATTTTCTATTCTATTTTATTATATTTTTGTTTTTTTATTATATATATATATTTTTATTATATATATATATACACACACACACACGCGATTATTAAAATTTTAACATATAATGAAAAAAATGAAAAAACATAATAATGATGGGATTTATTGATTCTTTTAATTAACAATATGATCGTCTTGCCAGAGTATCTTGAATTACATATAAAGCTATAAATTTTTAAGGTAGGTTAGGCTTGAAAGTATCCATACATATAAACATAATGAAATATCGACAATCCGATTAGATAAAAAAGATTAATGATTAAATAACTTATATATATTGTATACGAACAACGCGGCATTTGCTAATAAAGTTGATTATGAACTGATTGCATCTGATCGAGATGAACTAATTGCATCTAACCGCTGGAAGCAACGCGTCGCTTGGAAACAGCGACGAATAAATTGAGATAAATTCGTGGTCACCGCGAAAGAGTTAATACGTTTGCTGTCTCCATGAAAAAACATCCGTTTACCTGCGAAAGTTATCGTTCTGTTGGAACAACGGACATGGGGGAAAAATGCACTTCACTTCGCGTATACAACGATGTACTTCCGATCGTCTGATCGCGTATTTTATCGAAACATCATCTCGTCCTCCATTAGCTTCATCGAGCTAATACAGGAAACACTGAAATCTGCGAAAGTTGGGAGCTCTGTTTTCGCGACCGATTAAATTCGTCGCGCATCGCCAGATGACGTTTTTGCGTCACGCTAATCTTGCATGATCTTATATATATATTATATATATGTGTATATATATATATATATATATATATATATATATATATATATATTTATATTTATATATACGATAATATATAATTTTATAGTTTTTTCCCTTCTTTTTACAAAATTCTCATTAAATTAAAAATACAATTTCTAAAATCAAATTTATATTGAATTGAAAAATGAGTAATATCTTAAACTTTATTTTTTAGTTATAATATTACTTGTGTATATATACATATTTATTATTATACATATATTCCCATACAGCACATATCATTGTTGTTACATAGCAGCAATATTATAATATTGCCGCAATATTGCTGCAATGTAACAACACTGGTTTGCGCTGTATGGGAATATATGTATAATAATAAATATGTATATATACACAAGTAATGTTATAATTAAAAAATAAAGTTTAAGATATTATTCACGCTGGATTTGTATCTACATGTTTCTTTGTTTTTACTTTAGTAAATATCATCGTGGGTGATTTAAAAAGTAAAAACTACTGTATACATAACTTATTTTTCAAATCATTCATAGTGTTGTTTATTTAATATGCCTAATGCTAATTCTAAAGAAACACTTTGATTAATAAAATTATAAAAATTGAAAGAGTATTCATTTATTATAATATGCCATATAAACTTCAATTACTTGTATAACATAATACATATTCTATGATTTACTATACTTTAAAGATTAAGTTCTTATGTACAATATATATTTTTCAGTAAAATAGTTTTTATAGAAATATATCTTCGATTTTTTCCTAAAATATATGTGTATATACAGTTGCTTGACTAGCTAATTTAAGATACATGATAGCTAAACATACAGACATACTATTCTTTCAGCCATTTATACAAATTTATTAATGATCCAATATGCGTAGATTGCCCGATACAATCTTATTTTCTAAAACTGTTCCAGAAGGAAGATCTATACGTTCTCCATGATTGGCAATTATAATAACTGTGCCTTTCAGTGTTACTCCTTTTCCAAAGGTAACATCGCCTGACACTGTTAAATGATCCAATTCAAGAAGATCCGGTATTGTCGGAAATCTAGTTAAAAATTCTTTCACCTATAAGTTGAAAAAATAATAATTAACAATAAGATCATTAATATATAAAATTAAAAGTAAAATTCATACATTATCAAAAATTGATACTGACTTTTGAAAAATGATTATCTCCCAACTTGATAAGAGGTGTTGTAGGGAACATCCTTTGAGGACTCATTACAAGAGATCCATTACGTAAAGTATACAGATTACTCATAACAAGCATCAAATCAGAAATCTTTTTCACCGGTAAAAATCTACTACGTGGCACATTAATACCTGTAGCATTAAATATACAATGTTAATTAAATATCAATTATTTGCTAATAAAATCAATATTTAAATTAGTGATAATTTCTAAAATAAATTATAGAAAGATAATTTGCTTTAAAGTTTATCATCTTTGAACTTACCAATACTCCCTTCAAATGATTTCATAGCAGCTCCTACAGCTGTTTCAAGTTGTATTATATTTAGACCATTTGCAAAAGTTTTGTTGTTTACTATTATCTCCATATTCAGCACATTTTTTTCAAGTACTCTCTCAATGGCTAAAGAAATAACACTTGTTAACTACAATTCTATGTTTATTGTCTATATTAATGATAACTAATGTTTATTGTCTGTATTAAATTAAAGAATACATACCACTAAGTTTAATCCAGAGATTATTGGTATTGAAATATTTAAATGTTTTGACAGATTTAAAATCATCAATATGATCTTTAGGAACTTGAGCTATTTCAAGAAGACGAAGCTTATCCTCATATTTTATGAGTGTACCACCCTATACACATAAATATATATGAAATAAAATATACAATTACAATTATTACTATTTAAAAAAAATTTCGAATAATTTTAATAAAAATTTGAATAATTTTTGAATAATTAAATATACTTTAACATCCGCTCGTGTTTTATCGGTTACTTCCATGAGAAATTCAAGATTGGACGCTGGTGCTTCATTTAATAACAATTTCAAAATTTTGATATCCACTGTGGCACCAAGATTATCTATATTCGAAATAAAACAATATTCACGACCCTGGAAAAGATCAGAGTTTCTTGTAAATGGATGTTATTATTAAGGAGTATTAAAAAAACAAAATCTCGTACCTCTCGAATAAATTTTTTAAGTAAGCCAGAATTCTGAAAACTCTCATAAAAATCCCCATGGCCAGGTGGATACCAACTATTAACAGATTTTATTTTATTTACTGTGTAATATTATTAAAAAGTATTAATAATATTATTATATACAAATCATCTTACGATTCTATATCCTCATCAACTTGACAATGCTTCGCTATTGGAAGTAAAGAATCCCTATTTATACGCGGATAACAACTCTGATTAAAAGTGTAAATATCTATATCAATTCCCTTGTATTTTCTAATTATGCGTTGCGTATCATCATCTGTGTTAAACGAATTCATCAATATGAGTGGCACGTTGGCGTTGTACGTTTTATTCAGGTGCTATTAATGGAGATTATAATTATTATAATTATATAACTATGTGTGATTAAGAGAAAGAGGTAAAGAAATAAATGAATAACATGCATATGTATACATTATAAGTAAATAACGATAACTTATTAAAACCTCGATTTGTTGAACGGTAAGATCCAAAAAGGTCAATCCATTTCGCACAGCGATAACGGATTTTGGTCCATGACATCCCATGCTCGTTCCGAGACCGCCGTTTAATTTAACCACAACCAATTTATTTAGTAACGCTTTTATTTCATTATTTTCCGGTGTTGGTAAAGAGTTATAATTTTTGACCTGTAAAAATATACAATTTCGATTCAGTTTATTTCACTAATTATTAGTAAAAAAAATTATTAATCAAAATAGATTAAAAACAAACAAACAAATAATGTTCTTAAAATTCGTTAAAAGATAATTTAAAACAATATCTTTTAATAATAATATGAATAAGCTTTCCTTTTATTTTATAATCCTTAATTTCATTTTCAATTCGCTAAAATTAATAATAGAATTTATTGATTAAAAAAAACTATCAGAATACTATTTAAATTTATTCAAGAGAAAATGAAAGAAGCTATTGGGTACTTTTATAAAATGATTTTTTTTACGTAAAATGATTTTATTCTTACCGCATCTTCCGGTAGTTTTTGAATGTGATCCCATTCTAAGGACGGGCCCTCCTCCTGCAGAAATCGCTCGAACAGATGCTTAAATCCGGCAAATTGCCGGCCCGTAATTTCCTTCTTATCATCACGAGCGGTCGCCTGTAGCTTTTCCAATTCACGTTGCAACTCGGCCCGTGCATCTCTCTTCGTACGCTCGCGAAACGCCTGCGTATCTGAAGAGCTGCGTTGATGACCGCGAGCCTGAATTAATGAAAATAGACCAAGATTTTTTTACCTATTCTCCTTATGAAATCCTCCTCCTCCGTTCCGATAAATCGATTACCGAACGAGTGCAAAAGCGCATGCATGGTGACTTTTTAAAAAAAGCAGCCGTAAAAAAAATAGTTACTCAAAAAAAAGAAAAATAAATTGTATATAAAATAGATCGATGTCCTATATCGGCGCGATTATAATCGTCCTTCTTTAAAAGTTCGCTAAAATCTCCGAGATCGTTGGAGTAAAATTCTCGTGTAGAAATGCAAAATCGGCTGCGTGCGTAGTAATAGGCGTTGTAAATGAGAAAGCACAAAGATATCTGTCCTTCCTTCTCTTTTTTTTTTCTTCGGCGTGTAACAAATCGTCGTTTGTCCGAAAATGAGAGCGATCGTGTCGTCGCACACGTTCGAGAAATCTCGAAAGACGAATGACAGAAACTTATTGTAAAGCAATTGCGTGTGTTTCGAAAAAAAAAAATTAATGCTAACGTATACAATCGCGTGTATTTGCGTCCACATGCTACGAGGACAAATATAATGTATATCTAAAGTGAAAATTAGCATGACAATTCAGTTATGAATAGATTAGTTACGATAGAACGTGTTTATCCTATTTTTTAAAAAAATAAATATTTCTCGATATCTTCGTTTTTCTCGATTAAAGGAGTATCCGACAATGATTAAAGTTTAATATCGGACGCCTTCGCGATATTTCTTAATTATTATATATATCGCAAACAATAAATACAAGGGGGCTCTAAATAAATAATACATTATATTAATCACAACAAAAAGAAAAAGGCTAAAAAATCTAGAATATAAGTATCTTAATAAATGATAATGTAATTAATGATAATAGATGTTTGTACGATAATATCAGAAAAATGTCTATATATTTCAATCCGCTTAAGATCTTCCTCGACAATTAAATTTCTTAAATGTCGCTATCATCGCACTTTAGTAATAATCCGAGTTTAATCATGTTTAGCTTTTAAAAATTGTTTTATTCTTAAAAAAAAAAAAGAAATACGAGAGATAGTATTTCGTCAAAAATTATTTTGACTCAGGGTCGACTGATAACATGGTTAGATATGATAAATTTATTTTTAATTATGGATGAGACTGATAAAAAATGTTGATACTGATGTCGATAATAAAATGTGTCGGTAATAAAATGCGAAATAATATAATCGCTTATTTAAAACCTCAACTGTTAAGTTTAAAGCCAAGATAATCTTTCATATTATTTCGCAATGATTTATAACATTCTATGAGTTAAGATCTAATTATTCATAATAAAAAACGCATTATCGTTACATAAAATCGACATTTTTAGAGTATATTAAATCTTCTCATACTTTTACATAAAATAGTCGACAACAAAACAATAACTGATACTTGGATAATGTAGCTTCTGTTAACCTTTATGACTCACGATAAGATAATTTTGAGAGGAATGAGTCCATATCATAAGTTCTTCTCGATTCAAATCATAGTTTTTAGAGTTTTTAGAATTTAGCTTACGATATTCTTTCTCAAGAAATTTCTTTTTCGCAAAGATTAATCATAACAGAAAGAAAGAGAATTATAAAAAATTGTAATATAAGTATATCAATAAATGTAATTAATGATAACAGATGTTTGCAAAATAATAATCAGAAAAATATCAGATATTTCGATCCGTTTAAAATCTTCCTTGGTGACAATTAAATTCAAAATAATATTCATTGTTCTCTCATGATTATTGGTTATAAATAAAAAATATCTCATTATATATGTCAAATACAATTGCATTAGATAAAAAGAGTAATAAAAAAATAAAAAAAAATATTTCAAGATATATATATATATATATATGTGTGTGTGTGTGTGTATGTATGTATGTATGTATATGAAATATCTTGATTCCCATTTCTCATATTCATATTTCTCTACTTTATTCTGTGATGTATATCTTATTACATATATATATATATATATATATATATATATCTGCTCTATTCTAACATAAAGTATTTCCCCCTTCCCCTCTCATCCTCTTTATTAATCTCTGGCTTCAATCGACTCTAATCTTCCTATTGCAGTTCTCGCATTTTCTCGAGGACATACACAATTTACAAGTTGGAGACGCAGCTGTTGCTCTTGAAAAAGATATGTAAAAAGTGAACAAAAGCGACAATAAATCGTTCGAGAGTCAACTAATAATTATATTTCACAGCGTGACGCACTTGAATCGGATTAGCTTATCATTAGCTTACATAACGATAGATAAAGACGTAAAAACTTAGATAAATCATTAAGTATTGAAGAAGCTTTCAAATTCTTTAGTTTTAGTAGCATCACTATATAATCTTGCATAAAAACACAAAAAATATCTTTCAAGATTTTTCGTTTAATACGCAATTAAGAAATTTAAAAATTCGTTTATCGAAGAGATATATCTAAAAATAGTTCTTATCTACGTACATAATTTACAGAAAATATATAAATGCGAAAATTATACATTAGAAAATACAAATAGCCGTTCGATTTCGCTAGAAAAAATTCTATTTTAATTTTCACTTTTACGAAAAAACGAAAGAAAATATCAAGAGATTTTTGTTTGTTTATATTCTTTCATGCGAATAGCTTTAAACAAATAGATATCCTCTGTGAACATCTAACAAAATGACATAATTCTCCTTGAATTATATATCTCTTCTCTTCAAGTTTTTTGATAAATAGATAACAAATATACTTATCGAAAACACGTATCAGCGCGAGAGGATTTACATTTCATATCGTAATCAAAGTTTTCTTAATAAAGAAATGTACATGAAATCGCAATTTTTCGATATCGATTATTTCGAAGATTAAACAAAATTGAATACAAAATTCGTATAATTCTTTGCAAGTAATCGCGCCCGTGTAAATTTTGAAGGAAATTTCGATGGAAATTTTCTGCGCAACCGATATCGCATGCGCTATTTGAAAAATATATATATTTATTCTCGTCAAGTTAACTTACTTGTAACAGATACTCCATGAATGGGATCTTCTTAGGGGCCTGTGCGTTCCGATTGACGACGAACGAATGTGATGACATCGTAACGCGCGATATTTTGTCGAAGCGAGGTTATTCGAGATATCGCGCTTCGCTCGAAACACGTGATTTCAAATAAATGTCGCTAGCGCGGAAGTGAATTCCGCGGGATTTGGAAAGGGTGTGATTATTATCACAGAGTAGATGTGTGATACACACCTGGGAATGTCAATCGTAATCTATAGGCATCGCTCACACACACGCTTTATATCGTCCGACGAAATATATACATACATGTACATAAATAAATAAATATATATATATATATATATATATATATATATATATATATATACATATATCTTGACATTGACTAAGTCAAAAAGAAACATATAAGCTCCTGTTGTCCTTTCTTACACCTATTTATTTGGAGCTTGCTCATAAATATACACATGCATGTATTTTTTTCTAACTTAATTATTCTTACTTTTATAGAAGTTTCGATGAATTATTCACTAGACTGTTACATGTAAAAAACCTTTCTATATTAATGTACTTTTTTTATTAATATTATTCAGAAACAAAAGATATTTAAAGATAAATATGTTTAAAAATTTGAAAAATTCACGAAATATATACTCAGTTTTTGATCACACGACATTGAAATTGATCTTTGACATTGAAAAATAAGTGATAGATATCAATATGAAAAAATATTTTCAATGACGCTATACATATGTATATTAAAATTACATATACACATATATGCAAAATTGAATTTTATTCTCTATTTATATTTTATTTTTCTTATTTATCATACTTTTGAAATAAAGATTTTATTAAAGAAGATTTCAGATAAAAATACCACTTGATATAGTTTTATATATATATAATTTATGAAAAAATATATATATATATAATTTATGGAAATTTAATATATATATATATATATATAATATTAATGTATATATAATTTAAATACAAATAAGTAGATTTAATAAAATCAGTAATACGTTTGGAAATACTTTTAGCTGCTATATCAGTTACTGTTACGAAGTTAAAATGCGCCTAACCTCAATAAATTCGCATATCGATATAGCCAAGCAAAGAAAACTATTTCGCCAATTACTAAAAAAAAGGAAAAAAATTCTTGAAGTTCTTCAGAAGTTATAATCTTCTGAACTCTATAAAAACCTTCAATAAAATGTCATTACTCAGCCGTATTATTCTTATCAAATGGTCAACTCTTATAAAACAGAGAAAATAAAATGCTCGCAAGAACGAAGGTGAAAAAGGCAGAACGTGTGCGAGAGAAAAAAAGTTAATAAGCCAGTAAAATAGTAAAGCCTGAAAAAAGATTTATTTCAAATATCTTTCATTTTACCTTTCTGTCATCGACTTGCAACATTCTTTCTCGAACACTCGTTGCAGTGTTTAATGCCCTTCACGCTCTGAGCGAAGGTCACAACAGGTTACAGCAGTCGATCGAATCTTACCACTTTCGATAGTTTTCGACCGTACTTATTATGCGGTTACCTAACACTGTGCGAAATATTCAAGAGAATTGCGAAAGAATTCGTGTATTTGCTTGGAATATTTTCTGCAGCCTCGTAAAAATACGTACGCCGGTTTGTACGAACGTGTCACCGACACGTCGATAATTGACATTATAAATATTGACTGTACCGATGGTGAAGTTCACTATCCTATAAGTGTATTTTATTGCCGTTAGAGTGTGCGACTGGGATTTTCAAACGGAGCGCTACAAGTGTCTTAAGAGGTTAGGTTAGGTTTTCTAAAAAAAGAGGGACAGAAATTCATAAGAAAGAAAGAATACGATAGACACTCTCTCTATTATCGGACAATTTTTTGCACTTTAACGTGCGCGGGGTGTTTTATTATTTTTGAAATTAAAGTATTTACATAACGTGTGACGATGGCAGAGAAATGTACAAACGTCAATGACGGGGATTGTCCACCGGCGAAAAAGATAAAACTGAACGACGAAAACGCGACCGAGAATACGGACAAGAGCGAGAATGATGCGACTCGCGAAGTAGAATTGAATCTGTCGAATTTCAAAGTGACAAAGGTATTGCAGAACAATTGCGTGCGAAAATCGATATGCATAGAAGGAACATTCGAGGATCGCGAAGGCTCGGCGATCGTTTTGCTCGAACAAAAGAGTTTCCCCCATGACAAGTTGGTGTTGGAGAAAGGTTATTTTGACGGGAAGACGCTCTTCCGAAAGCACTTCACCAACGATATTTACAGGAATTACGATTGCTTTCCCACCGAGGAATATAACAGTACATCGATTTTTCGTGTATTACTGTATTGATTATATATTCGTTTACAAACAAATCCATTTTCTGTTTCTTAAGGCATACACACGACCGTGATATATCCCGCTACACAGAATCACATTGAGAAATATAAGAGACAAGAATTATATATAATAGACGAAACGTATGAACTTTATCAGCAAGTTACTCTTCCTTATATAGAATCAAAAAGTCTAAGTTTGGAGGTATATAAAATATAGAATTTATTATTGGAATTTATCTAAAATATAATATTGAGTCGCTTGGTATGATTTCTCATATTTGAAAATCAATATTATGTAATTCTTTTTTTTCATATTACTTTCAGTGGATAACAAATATTTTGGAGCACAAAGCTGAACAGGAAAGTATTATCTATGAAGACTCTGACAAGAACACTGGTTTTGTATTAGTGACAGATTTCAAATGGGATAAACAACTAGATACATTAAAATTATTGGCTTTACCGTTTCAAAAAATAAGGTCATTGAGGGAATTGAATGCTTCTCATCTCCCTTTATTAAGAAATATACGAGATGCTGGGACAACGGCAATTAGTAAAAAATTCAATATACCTGCATCGCAGCTTAGAATATATTTCCATTATCAGCCATCATATTATTATCTACATGTGCATTTCTGCTATCTTATGTTTGAAGCACCAGGTAAGTTAATGTAAGAAATGATAACAATCTATAATAGAAAGAATATGCTAAATAATTTAAGAATGAGTAACAAATATCTATAATTATAGCATCTTATTTTCTTTTATTTAGGGATATATGTGGCAAAAGCACATCTTTTATCAACAGTTATAAGCAATTTAGAACTGATGTCAGATTATTATAAGAAAGCGGTTCTTTCATATATAGTATTTAAAGATAGTCCGCTCTATGAAAAATTTAAATCTCATGGAACTGTAGATACAATCACATGTGAGACATTAGATTGTAAATAATATAAATGAGACTACTTTATACATATATACATATATGTATATGTAAAAACAAAAAAAAGTTTTATATTTGATTATATTTGATCATTCAATAAGGAATTACATAATATGTATTTTATTTACCATTTGAAAATAAGAAAAACAGTGCAAAACATATAATGTTATTAATTAAAAATATCATTGACAAAAATGTTACATTAAATTACTTTAAATCCAAACATTAAAAACATTAAAAACAAAATTAAGATTATCAACAGAAAAAGCTTTACAAATTTTATGTTACATATAATTCTTACAAGAACTATTTTTTTCTGAAAATGTATATTTCTGCAAATGGATAAGATATACCATGGTTTTCTTAAGATTTTACATTTCAAATTATAAATTTATTTGAAATGTAAAATCTTAAGAAAAAAGAAGAATTTAAAAATTTATATGTATTCATGAAGTTATAAATTTAATACAAGAAATCTGTAAAAGTAATATAAGCTCTAACAGCACACATGTTCGAAAGATGTTCAGAGAACATCCACAGGATATCCAGATATTCTCTGGATGTTCTCTGGATGTTCTCTGAACATCTTTCGAATATGTGTACTGTTAGGGAAGTATAACAATTTGAAGATAAAAAGAATATAAATTCTTTATTAATTATAATTTCTTATTTTTTAAGATTTTAAATATTTTTATTTTAAATTTTTTAAATTTATATCTATGTATGATGATTGACACATTAGTAGAGAGCAGTAAGATACTTCTAAAAACAAAGAAAAGAAGCATATATATATATATATATATATATATATATATATATATATATTTAATTTGATTAAAAATTCCAAATCATTGTATTGCATGTAGTACAAACTTCTTTAGGTTCCCTATAATTGCATATATATTCATTCTTATAGCTTAAATCAAAGTAAAATAATTTCAAAATAGTATATTTCATAAGTATTTTCAAAATTAATAAAAGGGTATGTAAGTACAACTTTATAACATTTTAATTAAACCAAGTAAATCAAATATTGGTATGTTCTCTACATTATATTGTCAGCTAACACATTTGCTCATTTTTATATTGCTCTTAGTTATTATTACATTGAGTGAATCTTATCCTGCTTATAAAAGAGACTGTCAATCGGATGAACATTATACAGAAGATTTATTTTTACGAATTCTTAATTTTTGTATTTCTGTACAAGCTGATTCTCTACAAGAATTCGTTTATATATTTTCACTAATGAAATATTTATTCAAAATATATCAGATTATGTTACCATCGAGATAAATGGTTTTTATAAATGTATATATCATGGAAATTTCCCTCCTTTTAATTATTTTCATATTAGAAAAGTAGAAGGTATATAAAAAAATGTATATGAGAATAAAATTATATGTGTGTAACGTCATTAAATTATATTAGGGTGCATTAATATTAGATTTTGATAAATCTCAATGCTTACATATGTGTAATAGTTATTGATATATAAATTATACGCAATATATATTATTTGTACAATGTTTATTTTAATAAATATCACTATAGATGCGATACATAATACACAATAAAAAGTCATTCACTATTAATATCATTAATTTTTCTAATTTATTATAGTGTTTTGAAAAAGTTGTAATCCTTTTGCATAATTAGACAATTTCAATGTGTGATATATATATATATATATATATATATATATATATATATATATACACATATAAAAGCAATTTTTTAATGTTTTTCTTTTCAACAAGTGATTTCGTTTATTTATGTGATTTTTATTCCAAGGTTTTCCAAAATGAGCAGTTCATAGTTTTTATTTGATACCATTTTATTTAAATACTATTATATCAATGGCTTTTTTGAATTTGTCACTTGTATCTAAATTTTTTTTGCATCTGAGCAGCATTGCTCCATAAAAAATTCACATTGTTTTTTTCATGATCTACAAATGTTGTGTGAAAAAAAATCATTTTTTGACAAAATTCATGTTTTTAAAACATTGCAAGGAGGGAAATTTTCATACTCTTAGAAGGATGAGAAAAGAGAATTTATAAATCATATATATATTTCAATATATGAAAACAAAAGTCAAATATATTCTATATGACCGACTGATAGACAGGAAATATATGGAAGAAGAATCATTATAAATAGATGAGATTGTGAGTAGCACCGGAATGAAAAGTGCCATAGTTCGAACACGATTCTCACACAAGCTCAAGTTATATGAATTAACGATAGAAACGCATGTATGATGGGGACGTATATCTCGTGTTACATATTTTACGAGTTTTACGATCGATGGTAAAAGCATTTTTATCCAGATTTTTCTTTTTCTTTTATCCAGATTTATCATTTTTTTATTTTCATTAGATGCTCACGTTTGTGGTATGTAATGTATGGAGCGTGAATTAAAATGCACGCGTTCTTCATTCAAGCGTCAATCAAGATTGTATGTTGACGTATGTGACACATTCATTTGATCTGATTTATCCACAAAAAGCGTTACAATACGTTAAAAATTTGTTCAACGAATCATTCCACATGTTTCTTTTTTTTAAATATTTTAATAAGGGCATTTGCGTGTGTATGGTCGCGAAGTATATAATGAGATCAATAGCGTGTTGTTGCAACTTAATTATGCTACATTCGTCTCGCTCGGCGATTACTTAACGCTATAAATAATAACAAAATAAGTACGCAGTTAAATGTTCTCGGAAGCGCATAAGACTTTACAATAACTAATGTGTAAAAAAACCATCTCCGCTTACTTTTACCATCTCCGATACTTTTTTTTTATTGGAATTGTGATTAGACTCGACGCCGAAAATTTGGTATAAAACGAAACAACTTTTTATTGTCCTCGCCGACTTAATAAATTATAAGTTATGTAAAATATCAAAGAACTTATAAATTATTCAGGAAATAGATATTACAAGAGTACTTGAATTTGTGCACATCTCATTTTTCTTTCTCTTTTTCTCTCTCTCTCTCTCTCACACATTCGAAAAAAACGCTAGATGAAATCTATAAAATAAAAAATTAAGTACTTGTACGTTATGCACATCTTCCTCTTATCGCGTGAAGTGAAATAATACGTTTGGAAATAGGAAACTTACCTACGGCGATCGATTAATTGTCTCATTATTAATTTATTATGGTAAGAGAACATTGTATAATAACTAAAATAATTATACATACATATATGCATGTATATACACGTAAATAACTGCACGTATGATCCGGCATGCACGCAATGTACGAGTATACACAAATAAATATGTAAAAAGCGAATGTATATTTACACGTGATATATATATTTATATGCGTGTGTGTATGTTTATATGCGCGCATCTGTTTGTTTTTCTTTGTGTCTGTGTATATGTATGCATATCACATAACTTAATGTGCACGATATTATCTCGTTTAATAATATTAATTGCTTAATAAGCCAGCCTTCTAATGGAATTGAATTCAAGATAAGTAAATTAGCCAAAAAGAAAAAAAATTATTACATATCCTTGGTCAGGTACATAAATTCACAATCGATATTTTTTTGACAATTAATAGTTTCCTTGACCTTTATTTTCTTGTTCTTTTTTGCTGACAAGCTTTTACTGTCGTTTTAATATCTATTTTTGTATTTGAACCTTATGTCAATGAAATCGGCAAATATCATACTCGTAACTTAAAAGTGACCTTGTATAGCAAAAATGACTATGCCACGCAAGTGCCCTAACAATTCTAACAATCACACCCATGCATTACCAAAGGCGGTATCAAAGTTACTTTTTCCGACAAATATTTACATATCTTCATCGTCTTCGCTATATTATCTGTGTATAAACAAATGTAAGCAAACGCAACTCTAATCAAAACTTATCAACGATTTATTTGCAAGATCAAAGATAAGTGTAATATCTTTTGACACTGGGACAACAATTCGGAAACAGAAATGCATACACACGGTTTCCCTTATTTTTCATAAACTAGCAACCATCGGAGTTTTTTAAATATTTCGTGTATCGAAAAGAGTATATAAATACATAATATATATATAATTATTAACGTATGTAACTTAGAAAACTTTTTCGTATAACTTTCTTAAAATAAATTTAGCACTGTTTCTTTAAAGATTAAAATTTAGAATTTAATAATACACATTATGCAGGAAAGCCTACAACATTCTTTATGTGGATCATCTGGGGAACAAAGACTCATAATTTATTATCCAATGAGAGTCCAAGAGATAAATTTAAATGAAATGAAGGAATTTTGTATCCTCTTTTCATAGAAGACCAAAACTTTGGAATATTCGATATCTTCTAATAAATATTTGTGCTCATAGAACTTCCTTCTTCGCTTGACTAGTTGGTCATGATCCACTACTAATGTCCATAAGTAAATTGTCATGACAATGCTTTGTATGTACAATTATGGAAGAGAGAGAATGATCTCGTAATAGTTAACAAGTGTTACACATTTCCAATGTAATGAAGCAAGTATTGGCTTTCTTAGGTAAAATAAAAAACAGATTTGTTAACATCTGTATTATATATAATTATTTAATCGATTTTACTTTTGACCATTATTAATCAGTTATTTGTAATGCCACACGCATTACATTCTCCTCAACAACTCTTCCAAACACTCTGTAGCCAATTAAAATTAAAATTATATAACAACTTTTTATCAATTTTTAAGATGAAAATATATTAAAAAAATCTGTATAGAAATCAAAATTATAACATACAACACCTCTTCACAGCGTAAATAATGAGCCAATAGATTAAACGCACACAATTCGCGCGAATATTTAAAAGAATTTGCACTTAATTATACGCCATGTGTAAATTATCATATTTTTATGAGTAGACAGATCATTTAAATATTATGTACCACATGTGTCTTCAATGGCATCATAATTTGTCAAAACCATATGTAACATTTTTTTACACACACATATATATATTAAGAATAATTAAAAGAAAAAAAAAAGAAAAAGAAGAAAAACGAAACTTTTCTATTCTTAAATTCGAAATTATATTAATGGACGTCATAAAAGCGAAAAAAAAAAAAACTTTACATCTAGTCACAATATAATTTCAACAACATTCAATGTCGCAAAATAGAGAATTAAATATTCTTATTTAAATAAAGTAATCGTACGAAGATAACTTTGCGCTCTCTACTTTTGTACTTATAATAAAATTATTATCTCAAATTCTTTCCCACTTTTTTTAAATATAATATGGCATTACGTCTCATATACCAGTATGATCATTATATGCCAAAATGTTTCAGTTAGATCAATTTTTTATCACATATTGTAATCTATACATTTTTAATCTCACGAAAATATAATGGCTAATTCATTCACCGTTTGAAAGCCAATACATAAAGATAATTATTTAACTAAAAATATATTCAAATTTAAAAGCACAAAAATGTGTGTACGTGTGTATGTGTATGTGAGAGAATATCATCGTACGGGCATATGATCATCTAAAACAATTTTAGCGTCGTGACATTTACTTTGATCCTTCTTGAATGTTATAACACTCATATTTTCCCTTATTGTTGTCAATAGTTCATTTCTGCATCTCAATTGTATAACGTAAAATGGCTTAACATGCCAATGATATTTAAATAAAGTTTTTAAAGGTGGACTAGCTTCAAATAGATGACTTGAATAAGAATACATCTTTGACAAATCATCATAGTTTAGGCATATGCTGCGAAGAGATCATAGTACAGATATTAATGTCTTCTTATCATGTTTTTGCTAATGAAATATTTATGCATGTTATCATTTCCATCCAATGATGAAAATTAATTAGAATTTCAACATCAGAATACATAAATAGATAATCATAAAATGTAATCTTATATCTTATAAGAAACATATATTATTATTTTAATCATATAATGATAGATGCATTTGACAAAATAGATTTTGTATGAAATATCCTATATAGGATGTAAAACACATATTTTACTTATAAATTAATGGAAGAATTCAGAATCAGGGCTAAATACAATTCCGATGTGATGGTATTCGTACATCCGAAAAATTTATGGAAATATTTGATTTTACATATTTATATTCAAATCTCGATATTCAAATTATCTAGATAAATCGAATTTTAATATTTTTAATATTTAAATCAAATTTATCCAAATCTGCATATTTATTTTTCGAACTATCTCTTAGTTAATTCCGAACTATCTATTAGTTAATTTAAAAAAAAGACTACTAGATTAGAATAGAAGACTAATACACAATATTATACTTGATTGCATACATAAATGTAATTAAAATAGAATTTATATTTTATCTTTTTTGCATTATTAACTTTATAGTTTTCTTTATAATAAATATATAAAAGTTTAATATAATATAACTTTTAATATATTATTTGGATTTTTATAACATAATTAGTATTTTATTTATTTTTTATAATTCAGATAGTTTGAATTAAAAGAAAATTTGCAAATTTTATGATTTTAATCTTAAATTAATAATCTTAAAATTTTGATCTTAAATTAATAATCTTAAAATTCGGGTAATTCGATATTATCCGATAATATAAATAGTTAGATTTGAGTATAATCAGAATAATAATATTAAAGAATTCAAATATTAAATTATCCGGATATTTATAGCCCTAGGGAATATATTGATTTTTAAAAGTATTAGGCATTATTGATTTTCATACGCGCGGAAATATTTTTATCATTCACTGGTATAAATTGTTATATATATCTGTAAAAGATCAACCCGCAGCATAAATGTTACAAATTAAGACTGTCACTGTACTTCCCTGACATTCTAGAAACCAATGTGTCGCGTCGTGTGATCATAAGTAATGTCAACGGTTTCACTTTTTCTTTGAAAGGATAAGATACTATACAAAACATGTTTCATAAAGTTTCTCATGGAAGACTTTCAGGTTTCTTTTACACATTGAAAATTTGTATATGATAAAAATACTATCTTTTTGAAGAAGACTATACAGGAAAGATCTGATATCCATAAATCCATATTTTTAGCCATATACTTTGAAAGAACTAAACGGTTAATATTTCCACGGAGAAACTTGAAACATCCTTTTGTAAGTTGATACATCCTACTATCGGGTTTTGATGAGAGAGAACAATTGCAGTTTTTAAGCTTCGGTCGACGCTACGAGGGAGCTTTTAGGCGTGTACGCTGTCGCATTCGGATCCAAATTTGACACGGTACACCCTGGACAGGGACTTTCGTTTGAACGTATTTTTGTTCCTACTCTCACTTCACTATTTAAACGTAGCTTGGACGTCGCACAGGTTGGCGCTGGACCAAATGTGTCTTGTGGCATCACAGCTAAATCTTGCGCTATTTTTGTTTTCAATATCTCGATTTCTTTCTCGTGAGATCTAATTAAGCCTGATTCAATGAAGAATAGTATGAGATATATATTGCCAGTAATAATACAATTTGCAATATAATATTGCACCATATTTTCCTTCATAAGTTATAATACGTTTCGTTTATTATATTTCGTAATTATGAAAATGTTAAGAAAAATTATACATACAAACACAAAATATAATGAATAAAACTTACTTTCTCGGATTTCCAATTGCCGTTTGGCTTCGCCGAGTGCTGAAAAAAGATCAAGTTTTATACGCGTCTCCGCGCTCAAGCTGTTTTCCAAATGCGCGTTTTTGTCCTGTAGCGCGTTGAGTGCAGCGAGTAAAATTTCGGACTCCCTGTGGTTTTCTTTGCAACGTGCTGTGTCTTTTTCCAATACATTACACCTGTATCAACGTGTGACACACATGTTAATTTTGAGATTATTTGTCTAACGTAACACACACGCATACACATAATTGAAATCTATGTAATATTTGTTTTTACCTTTCCTCCTTCGATTTGAGCTCACGGCGCAGATTTTTAAGATCTTGTTCCATTTGTGATCTTCGACTTTTACATGCATCAGTACATTCTTGCCTGATAAGTGGAGGCGGTGGCGGTGGAATTGCAGAACGTGCCTCCTCAGCAGCACGCCGTGCTCTCCGTTCGGAGATCAAAGATGCTTCACATGCAGTACGTTGTTTCCTCTCCTCTGCAATTCGCTTTTCCAACGATGACATCGCCTGTTTGTCCAATTGACGCGCCGTCACTAGACCATGCAATCTATAATGTGAAATTTTATGTTGTGAAAATTTATGTTTTAGGCTTTGTCCAATTTTATTCATAAATCAAAATAGGAACATATATGTTATATTTTAATTCAAATTACAATAGTTTACATATATTTGAAATTATATAAATGATATTTTATATACATATTGTATATTTGACTATATAAAATAAATATCGTGTATATAATTTTATAAACAGATTTATGAATATAAAGTTGTAATACATATTAAAAAATAATTCCCTAATATGATATATTTGAAGATTTATTATATGTGCGTGTTGCAAACTAAATTTAATTATTAAAATTAATTATTGAATCATAACATAAGATACAAATTACAGTTTTATATACCTTTTATGCAGTCTTCATACTTTTAATTGAAAACGCGGGTTGATTAAAGAAATTAATTTTCTGCATATTTACCAAATGGTAATCTTTGTCTGGATACTAATATGAATATAGAAAGTTAATTATTAATATTTTGTTCAAAAATTATGACAATAAAATAAACTTGATTAATTATATAATAAATGTTGCAAATTGGATTTTTAAAAGAATAAAAAAATTTGATTAATTTTTCTGCAAAAATTTTATAGATATTTTAGTATATAAAGATACATATACATGTATACACGCGATATCACAATTTTCCTGCAGATATTGTATATCTAAATCAAATATTCATTTTTTTTAAAAACACAGTATCAATTTTTAGTTTAATGAAATAACTGGAAATGAGAGAGATGGAAGAATTATCAACAAATTTATAATAAGTACTTTATATATTATCTCAAATTGCGAAATATAAAATTATGAAGACATTAACTAGGTAGATTCTTTAAAACTGTTTATATAAACTACAAAACTAATTTTCGCAATCGTTAAATTTACTTACTTGCTTTGCAGTTGATCGTTATCTTGTTGAAGTTGTTGAATATCGCCCTTAGCCTGCCGCTCTCCGCTAAGTAAGGTATTAATCTGTGATCGTAATTCTTGCTCCAACTGTCGACTTGATTGCAAGTCTGACTTCAAGCGTTTTATATCTGCCTCGAGCCTGCGACACACCAGTAACCTATTTCAATGACAAATTATGCTAAAGAAATTGATGAGAAGTCTATGCTAAGAGTATACAGTGATACAAGATTCGGTATCTAAATAGAGCAAGAAATACCAGATTTGTCATTAGAGTTTCGATCTGTGCCTTTGTGAAAACATGTAGATTATTAGCAGAATATTTTTGCAGCCCCTTATGATAATTGCATTTACAAGAAAGAGACGTTTCTTTTATGATGTACCTTTGATAATAATCGTCTTGTTGTTTTTGTTGCTCTGCCGTGATGTCACTTGTATTTTTAACCTGTCGAGTCTTACGTTCACGTTGGATATTGGTCGACGATGAATCTCGACTTTCCTTCACGTTATTCCATTTTCCCGTTACTGAACCGTTTGATTGCGATTTTATTGTAGTGTGTCCGCAACCCTTAATAGATTTGTCTTTTTCTACTTCATTTATGTCAAAATCATTTACAGATCTGTTTTAAAAGATTGTCAGTAAGAATCTAAAGTATGGAATTAAAATGTTAAAAAGAAAAATACATTCTTTGATATAAAACTGAACATACCCCACCCTCTCGATAAGCTGTATGTCACTATGTGGTACTGTATTTCCATTACTGTGTATAAATCTTTTATCACTCTTCTCTGATGGTGAATTATTTGATACATTATGTTTATTATGCTGCTCTTCCTGCTTTTCACTCTTGTCTAAAGATTTTCTATGAGTACCTTTGGTAGTAGCGCTCTGTGCTTGTGATGTGACTTGGCTACTATTATGTACCCCACCATTTTGTATGTTTGTTTCTATAGAACTGTTACTGCCCTCTGAAAGAATAAATACATATAAAGTGTTTGATCGCAATAAAACATGTTTATTTATTATTACTTATTCAAAGAGAAATATATATATTGATAATAAATACAAACTACCTCTGCTTTTTTCAGGGCTTGGATTATATTGTGGACTCAATTTATGTGTTTGAGTTTTAATGTGTTGTTCCAACGACGCAGTGACATGTTGCGTCTGTGACTGCACTTGCGGTTGGATTTGCTGCATCGACATAGCTTGTTGCTCTAGAGGCAGTGCTTGCTGCAGTAATTGCAGATAGAATTCGTTCTCTTTTGCCACATCTTTCTGTTTTCTCTGTGTAAAACACAAGAAGAAGAAATCAAGATCTATAAATTTTATATATAATGTATCATGCAGCACAATGCATTGCAAAGTACTTATTTGTAAAAGTGTAATAAATCAGAAATAAAATTAAGGACTAACCTGCCTCATTCTGTAGCCTACATAGCTCTTAAAACCAAAGCCCAATGTAACTACAGGATAGCCAATGCTGAAAATATGCATTAGAGAAAAATATATCGGATACAGATTGGTGATTGTCAACAGACTATACTACTATTTTCATAGATATGTATAAAGAGTAACATGCATTAATAAAGTATTAGATTCAATCATACATTATTGTAAAAACAAGAGGAAATAATACCAATGTGCTGCAAACGGCCGACAGAGATCTAGATGAAACGGCATATGACGTAAGTCACGCAACCGCACTGCTGCCTCTATATATAGAAATAGTAGCCACAGCATCACAGTCGGTAGACACACACCTTTATCTATACCATATCAAAATAATTAATTTTTTGTATTTATTATAAGTTGTAGAATATCTATTCTATCTTCTATATTTTAAATGTAAAACAGACTATATCGATATAAGAAAAGGTATAAATATTATACTCATTGTTTTTTACATACCTGTGTGCCAAACATATTGCACCCAAACATAAGTGCTGGCGGCAAAAAACAGCCAATGCACAGGGATGAAAAAAAAGCAAATCATGTCTGATGTAAGTGCAATACAAATAAAAAATACAGAGAAGGCCTGAAACAAAGAAAGAAATAAAACATAATTTACACAAGTACATAATGCTTTGCACGATTGTATTATTACATCTGTATAACATTGATGCCTACCAAGCCTTGATATTTAAAGGAATCGTAAACGCTTCGGAGGAGTAGCCAGAATGGCCACAAGAATTCAAAACGGAATTCCAAAATGAAGTCTGCCAAAATCACCATGGCCCATAGTAGAAGAAACTTTAGATAAAGCAAGGTACTGAAACAAATATAATTGTATATTTCATACAAATACAAATGACTCATCGGATTACAGTTTACAATAACAATAACAATTTTATATATTTGTATTATAGAATCGACATATAAGTATCTCTCTTTATTTTTGTTTACCATACACATAAGTATATCAGATTGTAGATGACAAGACGAGATAAATTGAGATAAACGATGTTATCGAAAACACAAGGGACTTACATAATACTACAAGAGAGCTCTTTTTGAATGTGAAAAAAAAGAGAGCGCGCTGGAAAGTCAATCGACTATCGCATCTGTTTTATTTTGTTATTGTGGCATTAGCTAGCCTCCTGTAAGTCATACACGCAGCACATGAACGCTGCGTGTGTACACGTAGGGGTAGAGAAACGTATGTAGGATGAAGAGTCGGAGAGAGAAAGAGGGAATTGATAAAAAAAAAAAAAAAAAAAAAAAACAGGAACGTATACAGAGGATGTTTGCGACTCGGAGGTAAATGTCAAGCGAGACGAGGCTGGTTGCGTCGTCCGCGCGACCGACTCTCGGCGTCGCGGGCGGCTGTCCGGCTCCGCAGGGGGAAAGGGGGGGGCCGCATGATCACGTCGCAGATCTTTGGTTATTTCGCATCCACGTCGAGGAGAAACGGTCATTCCTCTCGACGTAGATGTTGCACACGCATATGGCGGCGGGAGAGCGAGAAAGAGAGACGGGGAGAGAGAGAGGATTTACCTTCCGTAGATTCCCTCGGTGAGCTTGTTGCGTTTCAAGGGCCTCCGAAGCTTACCGCACTCGACATTTCTCCTCTTCATATTCCTCGACACTTTCACCACCAGCGAAGCGACGTTACTCGCGGCGCGCTACGGGAACGGAAAAAAATGAGCCGCGGCGGCGAATATACCCCTCGGCTGCGCGGGATACACACACTCGCGTGCGAAAAAACTCGGGCTCTCTCTCGCGCGCGCGACTTCTATCAGTCTCTTTTGTTGTCATTCGTCTGTGGGGGACAGATTCTCGAGGTCTCACGGCGGTTTACCAAGCAGCTGATTGGTCCATCGCGGGACATGGCGCTTAATCAGCGACGTGAAATCACCTGCCGATTACATTAATCGCGCGATGCCGCGCAGAATCGTCCGCGTCGCGAATATCGCAGCGTCGCGTCCCTACCGAGGAGCGCCGATCGTTCGCCACCGGCCGATCTTTCTTTCTTTCCTTCTTTCCTTCTTTATCTATCTCCCCCCTCCTTCTCTCTCTCTCTCGTTCTCTCTCTTCCTCGCGCCGTCGCGATTTTCCGCCGCGCGACGATTTCGGGGTCTCTCTACGAGCCTTTATCGATCGTAGATGGCTCCCGTCCGTGCTGCGGTCGGTCGGTCCATCGGCTCGTTTCACAGCGCTCCAACCTGGCAACACGCGTCCGTCCGTCCGTCCGTCCGTCTCTTTCTCTCTCTCTACTAAGCGAGGCCTCCTTCTGTAACCATCTATCGCAGCTGCGCGAAAACCGTTATGGAATAATCGCGCGTCGCCGAGGGTCGAATGTGATCGACAGGTGTTGTCGTTAAAGACGGGGACGGAAGAAAAAGAAAAGAAACAGTTGTGCTTTGTTTCCCCGTTTTATTATAGCTAATACGAAGTAGAAAAACACTTTACGGGCGCGTATTTAGCTTTCTGTCCAAAGCCGAATGTTTATCAAAGATGCTTGTTTTGAAAAGTCTGATTCTTTCATTGTATCGATGTATGAACTGTCAACTCAAGTTATACTGTTGTAAGAAACTTTATCAAGAAACATCCATCGGTAGAAAACTAAAAAATATCTTCCTAGTCATAAATTAAAATTGAAAAACATGAAAATAATGAAATAACTTTCGAAGTGTCATGTATGCATAAATGTTTAAAATGACGATGCTTGTAAATGTAATAATCAATTGTCTGTCTTACATTTTTTTACTAACAATTAAACAAATTAATACAAACGAAAAACAGAAGAAATTGAGCAAAGTTGCCAATTCGATTTTCGCGCCAACAGACTAAAACTTTAAGCTTATCCACATACAAAGCAAAATTTGCATAGCCAATGAATTCTGATTGGTTGATTGGCATTCACGCAAGTTATTGGGTGACCTTCATATTTTGGAATATTCTGCTCGATGCTCAATTTTGCTATAGGACATGTAAACCAGGCGTCTCTATTCCACGAAGTCCTATCTTGCGAAGATATTTCCTCGCCTACCCGCGTCTTCGTTGGATCAGTTCAAACAGGTTCAAATTTACGTGCGCAAAAAACTCGGCGATCGGTGGTGACCCGTAAACACGAACGACCTGTTAGGATGGAAAGCGAAAGCTATTCACCGCCCGATCCTAAATTGGAGACTTATGTGACGCACAGTCTCATCCTCGTCGTCATTTTCGCCATCCCTGTCGCGTACAAAGCGACGAAAGACGGGGGGATGATGATGTCGGTGATAGCGACGTGCCTCGCTACATCCGTATTCCTCGTGATCTTTCTACTTTGTGACGTAATACTGCGTCTGTGTCAGACGGTCATCTCGTTGACGAACATGGATCCGCGGTCTGGACAAAGTTTCTCATCCATCATCAGTCATTACTTTGCTCTGAACACCGCATCCGCGGTGGTCGTTATTATCGGTGTGTTTTTATTCCTTATCGCGTCGACGATGATCGTTCGAGGATGCCCGTTGAGTCACGTATGGGATTTCGGTCCCTACATCTGCGTGCCGTCAATGATATTTTCCTTCTACTTGCTGAGGATAACGCATCTGGCCGAGTGGGAGAGAGGACCGCTCGATCTCGACGTCATGAAAGGTCTGGATTATGGCACGGGTATGGCCTACAGTTTCTATTACGGTTATCTCCAATTGATCCTACCGAATCGCGGCACCACCGATAGCAAGAGCATTATTGAAAAGATAGAAAACTTTGAAGACAAGCACGAAGTAACTTTCCCAGTGCACAAGCTGTTTATTCTGATACCATCGTCAGGATACATCTCGCCACACTTAAAGGAGATGTCGGACCAGTGGATGGAGAGTGCGCGCGAATTGGAAGAGGAGAAACGCGACCGAGCTGGTCTAATAGGAAGAACATATCGTAACAACGCTTACAAGATATATCCTAATGGAAGAGACTCTGGTGCTAGTCCAATATATGTAGTAGCGGAAGGTGCAACACCATTGCTGACATTCTATGAAGTACAAAAACACAGTCATCCAGAATCTATTGTATACAAGCGATACAAAAACGAAATTACCATGATGTTTTATAAGAAGCTGGGAGAAATTTTGGAAAGTGAACCAGCTACAAGAAACTTATGCGAATTAATTTACTACAACGATTATGATTCAAAAGGTACTAGAGTTAATGTCGCAAAGGTAATCTTACAAAGAATATCTGAAATAACAAGTTCCACATAAATATTAAAAGAAGTTAAATATATATTTTGTGAATTCTTTGTTTATGATAAGTTTTATATGAGATTATATATATATATACTCCTGGACAAAATTAATGCTTAATTTTTTTTTACTTTTTTTTAAAATTTAAATATCAGCTTTTAAAGAAAAAATGAAAAAAAATTGCAATTTAATTTTGTTCAGGAGTATATATATATATGTATAATATATATAACTATATATAGCAACTTATTTGATCAAATTTGCATTATTTATACATTGGTGCCAAAGATTGTATTATATTGCCTAAGCAGAGAATTAATATATAAATCTTTATATATAATAGGCCTCTTTTCTTTTACTGTAAAGAGTAATATATCACAAGTGATCAAATTTGCAAATATATACAACATGTAACAATGTTGCGCAAACTAGTAATTAAAACTAAAACTAGTAATTAATTTTTACAATTTTATGTTCACAAATAACATATTCTTGTTCCTCTTTTACATTCTACATTTTGACAGTATTAATTAAAAATGTTGTAATTATAATATTATAACTTTTAAGATGTACTTATGAGATTATTTTCTTTTATGAATTAGGAGAATCCAAGGTTAACACATGATACAGATAAATTTTATTTCTATATAATTTAAAAATAAAAATTTTATTCACAATTTTTATATATATATATGCATTCTGATTGAATTAATAAAATCATCATGAAATACTTATGCTCAAAAGTACAATCACAATACTTTTTAGAATTAATTAAGTAATTTAGAATTACAATACACTTTTAAAAATTGCTAGACAAGTAATTTAATTTTCATATTTTATATATTTGTTAAAGGTCTTTTTATAATGTATAAAAAATGATAGTAAAATATGTATATCTATGTATAAAATGTGTCATTCATTCACAGATACAAATTTCTTAAGAAATAGATTACAAAGTTTCAGCAATTCTAAAAGCAAGTCTTGATGACCGTTAAAACATATCCATGTATAATACGATTAGTGTCTCCATGTTCACAATCGTACTTCTTATATGTAAATATATATATTAAATTCAACAAGAATTAATATCGAGAATGAAATAATTTGTAACATATATAAAGTATTTGTTGTTTTGTCACAGAGCATTTTATTTAAAAAAATCATACTTCTTAATAAGGCTATTAGTAAAAGGTAAAATTGAAGCATGTTAGCTATACTTGCATTTGTCACCCGATTAAGTTGACATTTTCGATTATTGTTACGAACACATTTAAATCGTTATAGTAAACGATCGGCTCATTACATTTATTACATGTCCATTTCAAATTACTCTGCAGATATGAAGCATTTACTGCTTAATATATATCTTGTGATTTCTTTGTTTGTGATAAATTTTATATGAGATTATATATATATATATATATATATATATATATAAAATATATTATATTATATATATTATATATTATAATACATTTTTATATTATTATAATATATATATATATATATATAAAATATTATATACTATATTATATATATTATATATTATAATACATATATAATAGTAACTTATTTGATCACATTTACTATTTATACATTGGTGCCAAAGGTTGTATTACGTTATCTAAGCAGAGAATTAACTTTATACATAACGATCCCCTTTTTTTTTAGTGTAAAGAGTAATATAATATATTATAAGTGATCAAATCTGTTTAAAATATATATAACAACATATAACAATGTTACACAATTTAAAACTTATAGCAATCAATTTTTGCAATTTTATATTCGCAAATAACATATTTTTGTTCCTCTTTCATATTCTGCATTTTGACAATATCAATTAAAAATATTGTAATTGATATAAAATCACCGGAAAATACTTTTGCTCAAAGATACAATTACAATACTTTTTAGAACTTTTAGAATTAAGTAATTTAGATTACGATATATTTTTAGAAACTATTAGACAAGTGATTTAATTTTTATATTTTATATATTTGTTATGAATCTTTTTATAATGTATAAAAAATGATAGTAAAATATGTATATCTATGTATAAAATGTGTCATTCATTCACAGATACAAATTTCTTAAGAAATAGATTACAAGGTTTCAGCAATTTTAAAAGGAAGACTTGATGACTATTAAAATATATGTACGATTAGTGTTCATGATTGAACTTTTTATATGTAAATATACATATTATATTTAACAAGAATTAATATCGAGAGTGAAATAATTTGTAATATATATAAAACATTTATTGTTTTGTCACAGAGCATTTTATTTAAAAAAATCATACTTCTTAATAAGGCCATCAGTAAAAGGCACAAAATTGAAGCATGTTAGCCATACTTGCACTTGTCATCCGATTAAATCGACATTTCCAAGTATGGCTACGAACACATTTAAATCGTTTTAGTAAACGATCGTCAGATTACATGTCCATTTCAAATTGCTCTGCAGATTCCTCGATCACCAGAACATCTGTAACATTAAATAAATATAAGAAAAAAAATGTTTATCGCATTCAATATTATTAATATAGAATAAATCACAATTTTACCAGGAAAAAATTCATATTTAATTTGAAATGAAAATTAATCAAAAGTTCCTTTAATAAAACATTGTGTATAATCTTTTTTTATAGAGGAAAAAATCAAGTGATAAATGGAATGATAAATTTCAAGCAAACTGACCTTTATCGGAATTTTTAGCAGGATCTCTTACGATTGCTGGTGTGCTGCCTTTCAGTAATTCTGATGGTATGCTCAACGTATTTCGCGGCGGTGTTCGTGATACCGGAGAGTTTCGCAAGTTCATCAAAAACGCACGTTCATATACAATGCGAGTACCTGCGTAGAATTCGTAAATTGTATATAATTGTATATAATTATTGTATATAATTATATATTATATAATTATATATAATTATATATAATTATATATTATATAATTATATAATTATATTATAATTATAGAATTTTACATAGTATTATATAATAGAAGCTTTGATTGTTCAATAGACAAATTGTACAAGAATTTGTGATAAAGTTACTTTTTCAGATAAATTTAATAATATGAAATTAAATTTTCATTATATGATTCATTGAATATTCATTAAATATTCGTAAAATAATAATTTTAAAATAATAATTAGAAGCGATTAGAAATATGTATAACACAAATACTATGTAAATCACTATCACAACACAATATTCATTGTGTATATAAGTCTGATTTAAAGTCACAATATACTCATGATAAGAATTATCTGATAAAATTGCAACACATTAATTAATAGAGATAAAGTATGAGTCAATTTTATCATAAACTTATCATATAGTATTATATATGTTTATTCGATTAAGATTTGACAGAACAAAGGATTTGTATTCTTGAAAAATAATTCTATTTTCAGAAAAATGCGAATCAAATAAAATGAATGAAATGAAACGATAAAATAATTTTTGACAAAAATTTATATAGGCAAAGAATGATGACACACAGGAACGATACAATGGTCCGACAGTCACATGAAAAGAGGCGCATACAGTGCCTATTAATACAAGAGTATTTCTGTACTGACACCTACCTAACTTAAAAGGGATGGAAGGATCGACGAGATTGCTAAGATAAACATAATCATAGTAAACATAAAAATGTATGTGAAAATTATGTTTATACTTTCTAAAAAAAAGAGAGAAAGAAAGAAAGAAAAAAAGCTTCACTAAAAAAAGTTATTTTGCATAAGATAATATCTTAAAAATAGAAATCTTTTTATATTTATTCACTATAAAAAAGAAAACGTGCAACATGACTCTCCATTAAATTTTCTACGATTAAAATAAAACAATTTCTTTTCTCGGACAATAATAGTATAAAATAATTACAAAAAACGTATGCAATGTTTCAATGTTAGGACAAGGATACACCATTCATTTGTAAACAGTTGTATAACAATTGTTATTGTTTACACGCGCGCGCGTAGAAATGTCATGCAAAATTCATTTAGATGTATGTTCATCGGGCATAGAATACACGTGTCACGCGTTGAAGTTAAAGTTATCGCCAATGCCCAGCAACGAATACTTGTTTTTCAAAGCACCGTGACTTTTAGCTCGGCGTCGGAGTGATAAACATTACGCGTCACCGATTACGCATCGGATGATGTTCACACATTAATTCGGCCTTGATCGTTATTTAGGCCTAGGAACGTTACAGGACGTGCAAGATGTGCAAAGTGCACGTGGCCTTACTGACGTAGAGTAGAATATTTTTGCTTATTATAAATAAAAATTATATGCTTAATCGATGCTTCTTCTCAATTCTTTCGTAAAAGAATCGAATCGAAATTTATCAGAAGGAACGTGCTCTTCTTTTTTTTTAATTCTTATATTTTACGTCCTTTTTCCTAGAAATAATGAATGTATTCAACGCTCTGATTCGCTTTATTGACTTCTCTGAATCTTCTTTTTAATCGAAAAATAATGTGTATTCAAAGAAATGTAAATACAAGCGCAACAAGTTATCATTTAAAAGACGATATATGTTTATCTAACGTATTATCTTCGAGATTTGAAAATCTGCTATTAATATCACAAACTCGTGTATGTGTAACGTTATCGTGAATTAACTTTATTTGCGCGCGCGCGCGTGTTGTGTGTGTGTGTGTGTATGCATGCATTTAGTCGTGTTTTATTTATTTTTTTTTTTTTTATTAAAAAAGTATAAACATAATTTTTCATTTGTATTATTAGAAACATTTTTCATTCGTATTATTAGAAAATTTGAAGTTTGAATAAAAAATCATCAATTGTAGATCTGTGTTTTATATATATATAAAATTTATACGACGCAAAAATTTTGAAATTTTTTTCATGCAGACGAAAGTTAAATCCCGAAATATGCAATTATGTAACATGCTCGTTATCGAATCGAGTGTGTATAGGTGTGAGAGAGATAACCACGCGTCGCGCCGGCTGACACACGTAAATACCAATGGCCTTGACGCTTGCACGTGTTGCATTTGTTTATCGAGGTCGCACCGACTCCCAAACGTTATCTCGGAGTCGATGCCTTCGCGTCTTCCGATACGTATAAAACGTCGCAATAAGTTTATCTTTTTGTCTTCACATGTATGCGTGCGAAATGCAAGTGCTTTTCTAAGAAAAAAAAATGAGAGAAATTTTCGTATCTGTCAGTATTTGTTTTATCTGCTGATTGTGCGAGAAACATCGCGACAGATGTTTATTAGGTGGAACTTTCACATCGGAATTTGTAATTTCTTTGTCAATATTCCTCCTAACGAGAGAGTGTTTCATTCGAGAAACAAAGTACGTGATATGATTAGGAGAGGGAACTAAATTCGGAGATGATATAAATATACATAAAAAAATCTATTTTTTTCGCTTTCTTTGAAATATATCGCGCCAATCGAAAATTTCTCTCGGATTTATTCGAATCGAACTGAATTCAAATTCAGTGCTGGACTTCGTGATTTTTTTACGTTTTCACGATCGACGAAGGATATACGGCAAAATGTTTGTCGGTTGCCCATAGAACAGAAAATTTTTAGAATTTCAAGGGTTCTTCCTTTTTTCTTTCTTTCCATAGAAATCACAGAGGTTTGACCGTAGTTTCATGGTCAGAAATAAATTTAAGAAAAAAATTGACCTGAAGGAATAAAGGATGCACTGACCTCCCGGTGTCGTAGAATAAAGAGTGCCTCCAGGAGTGGATGAATAATCCGTTGGCAACTGATTAGGATCGTGGATGACGATCCTCTTAGACGGTATGCTCTGGCTCTGGGTAGCCTGTCTGGCGATAGGAGAAGCAGACATTTCGTATAGCGTCTTTTTCCTCGTATCTTTTTCTTCGGACTCTTCTCGCGTTTCGATCCAGCAAAAACAACGGTCAGGTCGACGATGTCTCCAAATTGATCCCTCGACTGGTTGCTATTAGCGGCACCCGCTGCGCAGTTACGTACATAAGGAGAACAAAAATATGATACCATGTGATTGATGGCAAATTTATGCAAAAGCGCCGATATTGTGAAGGATAATATACCGTATTCGTCAAGTTCGTCCTGCTTCTTTTGCACCGAGTTGCGAGTCTCTCTCGACTAATCCACACGCGATCCTAATTGAGAATCTAATTCGTAATAAAGTTTTTTCGTCTCAGCGCGACATAACCTATAAAATTAGCAGCGAAGAATGCACCACCTTGTCCCGTGCAAAATGCCGCGAAATTCGATAAGCCAGTGTCCGTTTATATAAGCTTTCCACCTCTTCCAAGGGCGTCTCGCAAGGGAGGGGATAACAAGGTAGCCAACTTTGTAAATAAACTCATAGATTGGAGCGATTGGAGCCACAGGTTGGAGCAGAGAGAAGACTGAGAGATGTCATGGCCTGCTTTTAGATGATCCCTGAAAGCGATACTCCCTCTATGGACATTGAAAACGTGGACATGAATTATAAAGCTATGTCCATCAATGTTCAGAAGGTAACATATAACAATTTCTGGTTTTGTTCCGTGCTATGTGCACGAAATGCCGATAGCACTAGTACTGTATAACAATAATTAATTCTCTTTTGCTCTTTTATATACCCTCTGTTTTAATTTTATTCGCAGTAATGAATGAATGCGATTCGATAAAAATTTATTGTTGCGATACAGTTTTATGTCGTTAATTAATTTTTAATTAATTAATATTTATTAATATTATAGCAAACGCTCGGTAACAAACGTAGTAAATGGTTCATGTCCGTGATATGGTTCGTATCCGGACTACTCAGATATATTACTATCAGAAAGAAATCTGAGAGCGACATGACTTTAATTTTTTAGTGGCAATATATTTTTATTCTATCTCAAAGTATTTAGTAAATTTCTTTAATTACATATATGTATATTGTAATATGTTCCTAAGAAATGATTTAGACTGAATAATTACAGGTACTGAAACATTTAAAAAAACACTCAATAAATATGTTAATTTTTTTATATTATATTTTATATTTTTATATTTTTTTATGTTGTCCAAAGTTTATTAACGGTAGTATATCTGAGTCCGGATACGAACCATATCATGGACATGAACCATTGATTACGTTTGTTATCGAGCGTAACAACATAGTTTATGTCCACTTTCATACTCAGGGGGCGCGTCAAGACATGCGTCCGCTGAAGCGGAATGGTCGCTCTCAGATTTCTCTCTGATATTACGATTTATAAACATTGTTTTCTGTGAAGCACGCAATTTCGAGATGAATCCCTCAGAGCCGAGCAGTACCGAAACTCTCAGGTACAATGAGTTCACATTGGATGATACTGAAACAAGGTTATATGCCGGTTTATTTTTGACAGATCAAAATTTTACGCGTACTTTATCTATGATATTGATAATGACATTAATGATTTTGCAGAAAATTTGCATGCCACAAGTGACATTATTAGTTACACTTATTGTTTCTTTTCAGCTCTAAGATGAAAGATGTGATCGATGTTCTAGCGATGCAACGTGAAAAAAGGAATACGTTGCAAAAAAGTATTACAATTGATTATACCAAGTCTAGCGATAGTTTTACAGTTTCACGATTTATATTTGAATGTGGTACGTCAAATGCGATATCTTTGCTGTGTTCCGATATCCACTAGTACTGAAAATCTGTAATTTACATCACGTATACTATAGATTTTCAGTACTGTCATTGAATTGGAATATAGTTCTTGTAGATGTTCCATGGAAGAAGTCACATTTTTAAGATAAACTACAAAAAAATATCTTTGATTGTAGGTTTAAAATTAGAAGCTCATCCATTAACAATAGCTACCGCTGCAACATTATATCACAGATTTATAAAAGAAGCAACGTTACAGGGATATGATAATTATGTAAGAATAAATAATATAGAAATAATATTAATTAAATTTTTAATAAATATTATAAGTCTCATTTGTTTTAGTTAATAGCATCGACATGTCTTTATTTGGCCAGTAAAGTCAAAGATGATGCATTAAAAATAAGAGACATAATGAATGTATCTTATAATACACTTCATAGAGGATCTCAGCCTCTAGATCTTGGTGATCAATATTGGAGTATGAGAGATGCGATTGTACAAGCTGAGCTTTTAATTATGAGAATGCTCAAATTTCAAGTCACACCTGTACATCCACACAAGGTACAAGCATTACTAATTGTATAATATTAAAGCAATATTAATTAATTGTAACATATATATATGAACAATTTACATGTTATACAATTTATTGTTACAGTATATGCTTCATTATTTGAGATCTCTACAAGCCTGGTTTGGCGAAGAGGAGTGGTCCAAGTATCCAGTTGCCAAAACTAGTATGGCATTGTTGCAAGACTTTCATCATTCCCCAGCTATTCTTGATTATCCACCAAATTTAATAGCAATAGCTTGTATTAATTTGTCATTGCAAATTTATGGTGTAGTTGTACCTTTGATGGACGAGTGTGATCAACAACCATGGTTCAATGTAAGTATGGTGTGTGTGCATATAGGATATTAATTTACATCTAAATTAATGTAATGTGATTTGATTGTGTGAATTATTCCATGCAACAGGTTTTCTGCAAAGATTTAGCAAGGGATAAACTATGGGAAATTATGGAGAAAGTTATGGCAGCATATGATGAAGAACCTGAAACGAGAGATAACTGATCAGAACGAAATTTGTATCTTGCAGCGCAATAAAATAATTCCTTCATATTAAAAGTTGTCGTAATTATGTAGAGAAGAAGCAAAGACTTTTTGTAAATGAAAAACTACATTTTATGAATTTTGTATGTTTATTTTTATCCAATTGAGATCTTAGATACAAGCTATCAAGGCCAAATAATGTTCTTATTATAAAACTTTTCTATTGTCTCTTATTTTAAACATTTTATATTATTGATGCATGAATGTATCTAATGCTCCGATTGCCTATTGATAGAAATTTCTATCATTTTACGAGCATTTAGTTGACGGTTTATAATCGAATGGACAAGATCATAATTGATTACAATATTGGACTTTATTGTACGGACATTGATTGTGTGCACTGTCAGGTACATACATAATATATAGAATATCTTGTACAGGTATTGGTGATATTGGCACTCATCGCGCCACCTAGGTTGGCACACACATTATTCTCTTTTCATGAAACGCCGTAAAGATAAAAATCGCAACCGTCAAGTGTTTCGATTTATATTATACATATGTAATAGCACGGTAGAGGTAACACACGGACGTCGATCTTTTAGTGTAGTAAGTATATTATAATTCGACGCTATTTTTTTCCACGACACAAATCTGGTTTACTCTTACGAGAAATAAGCGTTCAGTGACGTGTCTCTTCGTGTCTCTTTTACGAGGCATGAATTTTCTGTTATGATACGACAAGTGAGAGATGTATGCGCGTATGTGCTAAACAGATGCCGTTTATGGTGATCCCGATTATTCAGTAATTATTACGCACGAAAAAAAACGTCTTCATGTCGCGTGCATATACAGTGACACTCGAATGTTGCGAGCAGTGATTATATATCTATTACATTCTCCGTCAAATTGTTAATTGTAAGTATCTCGCATGCATGCAGAGCGTGCTAAAAAATACCAGTTCTTTGCGAAAAGTATACGACGTTCGTTTCCAATATGACTGCAGGGTGGCTGTCAATGTCGATTTTTAACATCCTGAAATTTGTTCGATTTGAGATACATTTCCAATTTGACAGAATGTAATTTGCAAATGTATTTCAAAAAGACAGACATGTCTCATGCTATTGCTTATGAGAGCTTAAATTAGATTTCGAAGGAGAATTTATTTTTTCAAGAAGAGTATATGGGATACATGGAATTGGTATGTCTTATTACAGGAATGTCCCAAATTACGGTTACATCAAGTGGGATGGAACGCAGCATACATGAGATGTTAAAGGATGCGCCTTCCTTGAATGAGAGTGACAGTGCTGTACATACCGGGACTCCTCCACCTCATGTACCAAACAACTGTAGCAGCGATAGTCACCCGAGACCAGCCACTATAAATTTGAGCTTAGGAAGTCCTACAAATCAGACTTGTATATATCAAATATTCTCTTGCATATTTATCAGCAAATAAAATTTCAGAGATTTTAAAATTGGAGTAAAAGATATCTGTCTTTTTTCAGCTATGACAGTTTCCCCAAGTACACCTATTCAAAATGGTGATACACAAACTATGCGCACTACTCAAAGCAAAATTGAGAGTCTAAAGAATTGGAGTATTTCTACATATAAATGCACCAAACAGTTAATGTATGAGAGATTAGGAAAAACATCTCGTACTATAGATTTTGGTGAGTTTTGCCTATATAAGAAAAGGCTTAACAAATTATTGTCATTTGCAAGACATAAAAATAAACATCTGTTTTTTTATTCCAGAACTTGAGACTCAGATTGAATTGCTTAGAGATACTCAGAGAAAATATTGTAACGTTCTGCGATTATCACGAGCTTTGGCATCACACTTTCATCATGTTGTTCAGACACAACATGCCCTTGGAGAGGCGTTTTCTGAATTAGCACAGAAATCTCCTGAGCTCCAAGAAGAGTTTCTATATAATTCGGAAACGCAGAGAAATTTAACTAAAAATGGTGAAACACTTTTAGGGGCCTTAAATTTCTTTGTTTCTTCAGTGAATACCTTGTGTAATAAAACAATCGAAGACACTCTACTCACAGTGAGACAATATGAAACTGCAAGGTATGCAAATTTTGTTTTCTATATCTTTTAAAAATATTATATCATTTATCATTATGCTGTAATAATTTTACAGGATAGAGTATGATGCATATAGAACAGATCTAGAGGCTCTTGTGCAAGCTACAAAATCAGATGGCAGTAATGCAGCAAGATTAGAAGAGGCACAGGCTAATTATGAAGGACACAAACAGAATTTCGAAAAATTGCGCTCAGACGTTTCTATCAAATTGAAGTTTTTAGATGAAAACCGGGTACGCTTTCTTAATTCTTTTCGAAATCGCCAATTAATTGGCTCTCATTTTCTAACAATACAATATTGTTTCAGATTAAAGTGATGCACAAACAATTATTGTTATTCCATAATGCTATATCTGCATACTTCTCGGGGAATCAAACTGCATTGGAGGCAACTCTCAAACAATTCAACATCAAGGTGAAATCACCAAATTCCACCTTGCCCTCATGGTTGGAACAGTAGTTGAATTAAAGTGAACATCTCTCTCTTCTCCTGCCGCGAAGGATGTGACTGTACAAGCGCGTTCGCCCACTGAATTATTCTGTTGTGAAATACAGAAAGTAAAGGTAGAACAGTTATCAAAACCACTCAACAATTCGCCGGTACGTATTGAAAGCTGCCGTTTAGTCTGATAATTTAAATAATGTAGAGTGAAAAAAATCGAGATTTATGATGTGTATAAACAGACTGAATCCCCAAAAGTTATGGTGTAATATCTTAATCATTATATATTGATCATTATATACATATACATACATGTATATATACATATATATCTACACAAATATATACACGCATACGTATATATATGTATATATATATTTATATATATAATATTTTTGACATACACATCATGTATAAAATTAATTCTTTTAAGAAAATTGCAAATTAATAGGAAGTTCAAAATAACTTGTTCAATAATGTCTTAACAATTAAGTTCCAATGCTTAAACATTTAAAGAGGCAATAGATTTAATTTTTATATTTGTCTTATAGAGGAAATGTAATTTCTCTTCAATGTAAATACGTAACGTGACGTAATATGATAAATGGAGCCTTCTATTTTACAGTATATTAGTGATATTAATTGCTTGTTTATATCACATTTTACACATGCATAATGAGCATGTAATTTAATAATATACTATCTACTATCTTAAAAGACTAATCTTTAAATTATAAATCATTATTTCATAAAAATTCGAGCTTTGACGTTATGATATTATTAAATTTACTCTTGTTTTCATATCTAAGAACATAATTACTTAAATTATTACAAATTAATTTGTTAAAAGCAAGAAAATGATTGGATAGAAAATTTCAATAGAATGTTACATTGAAAATTTCAATTGAAGTGCAAAATCTCAATTGAATTGCATCATACATCAAATATTAATGCGATTTTAATATCAATATATTGTTTTGCATTATATCTTACTGTAATTATTAAATTTTGGTATTATTATATAGAAACTAAAAGTATTATATATTTATGACTATATATAATAAAATAAATTAGATCTGAATAACATGTATGAACTAATTTTGTCGAATCTATTTTTTAAAGGATCATATGTATGATATAATTCATTTTTTAAAATTTATTCTTTAATCTTCAAACTCATAATGCATGCAATTATAAATTATATAAATGTTTTATAAATAATTATATAAGTAATAAATATTTGTCATCCTCTGTGAATAATGAGAATTATATTGTGATCATATAAAATGTGTATTAATTTTTGTTAAATAGAAAATTTTTTTATAGTTATATGTATAAAATAAAAATAAATCTTTTGTTTCTCCTATAAGAAAAATTGTAAGAAATATTATAAAGATATAAACATCATAACGGTATATTTGTAGCCATATATTGTTACAAGTATATATTTATATATAAATTGTAGAAGAATGTATGAATTTATTTTTTAAAATTTCTACATCAAATTCTATTTAAAAATTTATTTTAGTTTCAAAGCTTTAAATTTAAACAAAATATTGCAAAAGAATGCTAGTCATTTTCTTACTTAAGTATTTAAAAATTATATATAAAAAATTCTATATAATTTTGTATCAAAATAAGTTTAATCGCTTACGCTTGTATTCTATAGTGACAACATGATATATGTACAATGCGTTACACATATACACTACACACACACACACACACACACACACACACAACAATTTGTAGTTTCCAGAGATCCGAAAAACTTTTTAAAAATATTTTGTAGCAAAAAGTGATGGCATTTTTCCAATAATGGTCATTTATTACTTGTCATAATAGTGATTATCATTGCATCTAGTTGCAGTTAATGAACAAATAAAAATCTAGTTAATAGAGTGATATAATATTATAAAGGTGTTATATATGCCACAAGATTGCGAAGATGACTCTTTCAACGTGTACATGATATTTAATAAATATTCACATGTGTGTATGGTGAATGTATACAAAAAGTATAAAGATGTATAAGATATTAATCTCGAAGAATTCGCAGGTTTCTTATATATTTCACGCTTGTATCCGTTATCTAAAGATTGAGCGTGATATGAAATATTTCATAACTCTGGCCTTTGTGTAACAACTGCTATATTCATATCTGTATATATTCTTTACATATTATGTGAAGATAAAATATTAACACCTTCTTTTCTAGTTTACATAATTTTGCTACACAGCTAAGTTGCATTCCAGAATATAATTAAAGTTAGGTAAATGCTCTATCTGCTAGGATCTGATCTTTTTTAATCAGTGCTACAAAAATTAATTTTTATTAGATTTGAAATTATATATATATATATAATTCTTAAACATTTTATTATTTATAAAATATATAGCTGAAATATTATGTTCCTAACTATGATGTTATTGTGTGTGTATATTATGTGTATACAAATCTCTTAATAATAAATGAATGCTTATACTTGCCTCCTTTTTATATCTCTTACAAAATGTATCTATACATAAAAAAAAATAATTCAAGGTAATCTTAAATCTATATTATAAATTAATCTCTTCAATTGTATCAAGTATAACTTTTCACTGCCAATAGTAAAAATCTACAGTATGCGTGACAACAAGATTTTCAGTATTGGAATATTGGAATATCGAAATGCCTGATTGACAACATTATACTCATAAGCATAATAATTATCTCAATATATAAAATTTCTTTGCTTAAATAGCTATATACAAATAAATGATATAAAGGAGGAAATACAAATATATAGAATATATTCTCTACTTGATTATCCTATATATACATATGTAAAATGTTTTAAAATATTATTATTATATACATATATTTATATGTACATGTATTCCACAGAATTTTATAATTTATGATTAAATTAACTAGAGAATATTTGAAGACAGATAAATACATCATACATAATTGATATCAGTATCATTGTGAATTTTGTGTCACTTGCTGATTTTGTGCTTCTAATGCAGCTTGAGTTGTATTTATTTCTTCTATTCTTTTACGAACCATTATAGGCTGCACTTCCATAAATATCTCCATTATTTTATGATTTGCATGAATATATTTTTGTGCACAATTACTTACGCAAACATCCTGCAATTCCAGAGATGAATATTAATTGTTATGGATTTATTTTCAATACTGTAATATACATATAATGACTAACATTTGTAGAAATACTTACTTCATTGGAAGTGACTTCTCGAGTGAGGAAAGTATTTGCACATTTCTTAAAACAGGTCTCAGATATTTGGTTGTAGAGGAGAAGAAAATCTCTGAACTACTGAAAACAGATTTACTGAAAATTTATGTGACAATTTTACTATTATAAGAACATTGCACATTTTAATAAAATAATTATATTTTATACACACGAGAAGATATATGGTTATATCTAATCAAATTGTAATTATATTAAATTTAAGTACATTTCTTAACTGTAACGCATCCATGTAGATAGTTGTATATTTTCAACACTTTAAGAAAATATTATTTTTCTAAAAAGTATCTATCACTTTGCTGTGAAATGTTATTTCAATAATATCAAAGAGAAGAACGAGAGCAACGAGAGGCATACTCTGCTTCACAACAGGACACAGGACAAACCAGGATCAAGGTAGAAAAATTGCACTTAGTATAGATAGCTACACAAAGTGTGCACTATCTGCACTATGCGGTACTTTGTTAATCTAGTGACTTTACCCGCGAGAATGTCAAGGTTCGTTCGAACGCGTGACGCGCGTAAACATAATACACGCATGTATGTGCGCCAACAGCTCTTTTAAGAAAATACTCAGGACTGAAACAGTTTCACCAACTGGTCAATTGACGAGTTTTTTGTATCAGTGATTGGTAGAACTGTCTCATATATGAAATAGTTGAATTGAACTTTTTTGAAAAGTTTATTCGTCGTTGTCGCGATATTAACGTCCGGAATAAGTGGAATATATTCGTAAGTTATATACAATTTTATTATTAATAAATAGTTGATTGCTCTCGAAATACGATACTCGATTATACGATAGGAATCAAAATTATAAATTATTACTTTGTTGCAATCTTTACGAGCAATGATTATTCTTCTATTTCTATTTCGTTTCTATCCTAATATATATGTGTACACACACACACACACACACACATTTAGAATTCTAATATAATAAATAAATATTCTCTCTGATATCATTTGATCTAAATATAATTTGATTCAGAACGCGCAATAAAACGATCGAATAAAAATCGGATAATTAACATAACGGAAATATATATTTTTAAAGTTATATACAAGTGTATTTATATACAAGTATATCTTTAAAGTCACACACACACACACACACACACACACACACACACACACGTACACGTACACACGAATTAATTATTTATTAAACGATTAATATACTTCGTGAAGTTATTTCCATTTTTATTTGCAATTATGATCTTTAATAAAGATTTCTCATCATAATAAAAAAATTTTATATCGTTTATCAAAAGTTTAAATTAGATTTAAAAGTATATTATTGCCTCTTTTCGATAATAATTGATTATTTCACTGTACCTATTTCGTGAATAGCTATCATTACAGAGATCGCGTAGAGTTTGACAATGCAATAAAATTAATAATAAAATTCCAATAAAATTAAATACAAATTAATTATAATAATTAAATATAAATTTGTTTATAATTAACTTTTTCTACGTTGAGAAAAGTTTTTCGTTTCTTTTGGAATATCTTAAAGATTCTTTTAATTAAATTTTACAAAATATATAACTATTAAATTTATAGTATTTAATATTTACAAATAAATAGATAATATTTTATTTTTATATAGATTAAGTATACGATATTATTTATTAAAAGAACTAATATATCTTTTATGGATCTTTTTGTTAAGTTAATTATTTAGATCTACGATTCGATTGTTTTACTGCATTTCAATCCGAATTATATATTTAAATGATCGAAAAATAAAACGATAATAAAATAATAAGCAATATATCTATTTTAAAAATAGTGTATATAAATAATAAATAATAAATAATTTTTATAAATTACTTTTTATAAATTACCGCATGTCTCTGGCTGCTTCAGGCTCTCTCCCTGCTTTCTGACTGTCCGATACTTTTCCAGATGTCCTTCTCTTTTGTTGTTTCATCCTTTGTTGTTTCCTCGTAGCAGTCACGTATTCACTCGCGAACAAACAATTATATTTCAGTTAATTATATTTCAGTCATATACAGAGACGATCGCGAGACACTTTGCACGGCACTCCCGATCGCAAAATAATCATACGAGATATGTATTTTTTTATAATATTATTATTATTTTATTATTATTGCAAGAGAGGAACACAAAAATTACAATAATTCGCTCGATTTTTAAACGAAGCCAAAATCATGCACCACTCGATTCTTACACTAATTAACTATTTCTATTTGTTGATGTATAATATATGCATAATAACGTGAATCATAAGATTAAAATATTAAAGTAATGTAAATTGATGATACAGCAATCGTTTAATTAATATGATATATATGCATGCAGTTTAGGAAAGTTTAAAACATCGGGCGAAATCGAATTTCATGCAATTCTATATGCAATGTTAAAGAAATAATTATTATTCGTAAAGTTCGATAATCGAAGAATATTGCAAGAAAATTTGTAATTTTTCCCCCTATCGCTTCAATTTTTATTTGTAATAATGAAAGATCGCGTTTCGATGAATTTATCGTCGCCACAATTTCATTTATTAATTAATTATTTGTCAATTGTAATAGTCGAATTATTATATTTCGATTTAATCGCGATCGTACTTTTAGGAAAAGAATTCGATAATACGGAGCGTTCCGTATCACTATTTTACCGCTGGAATGTCGCCGTGCGAATGAGGGGAGGTCGTTGCGTATGTAAACAATAGCGCGCTACGTCACAAGGCCAAATGACGTCACAAGGTTGAATGACGTGTTAGCTCGCTGCCGAAATATTTAACGTGTACTGTGACGTATGTGAGAATTGTATTTATATACAAGTATATTTTTAAAGTCACACACACACACACACACACACACACACACACACACGTACACTGAGAAAAAAGTTGTTAACTCGACTAAACCGTTTAACTAAATTATTATTTTTTTAATTGAAATATTGAAATAATCAAGTTAAATAAATGTCATGTTAGATTTATAATAGCTAAATATTCCAATTAAAAAGGCAATAATTTAGTTAAATGGTTTAGTTAAATTAACAACTTTTTTTCTTTTACAATTAGTCTTTTCTCTGTCTACTATTTGATTGTTTTATTACGCTTTTAGAAAGTCAAGTTCTATAATGTAACTTTTAATGTTGTATTTCATATGAAATTATTATTTTAAACATAATAATAATTTTCTTTCTTTGCATTTCTATCATGAATAGACATTTCCAATCTTTACTAAAAAAACTAAAAATATCCTTCAATTTTTTCTCTCTTTGGACAATTTATTTACATTTATATATAATTCTCTTTATTCCTTTAAAAGTGAACATCGAGAACAAGGCACACGAGTATTGTAAATGTCAAAAAATGATCGTGCGAATATTATAGTTGTGAATATATAAAAATAAATGCAATATACTATGAATTTTCTACGTTATATATTGAATCGAAATTGCACAAAAGAGGAAAAGAAGAACAAGCCTATGAATAGACATTTCCATTTTTTATTAAAAAATTAAAAATATCTCTCAATTTTTTCTCTCTTCGGATAATTTATTTACATTTATATATAATTCTCTTTATTCCTTTAAAAGTGAACATCGAGAACAACTCTCTTTCTTCAGGCAAGTCTACATATATGACCAATATGATTAATTGATTCCATCTTTATATATTTATCATTATGTGCTATTAATTAAAGCCGTAGACAATATTTCAGAAATCAAAGTTGTGCGAACGTTGCGCGCAGGAATGGTCATGCGCAGAAACGAATGCGCAGTGGTTCGGCCGCCATGTTGGCGCGTGACTGCTACGTCATACGCGTCATAGTACGTCATACGCGTCATACGTGACTCGGAGTCATACGCAGTTACACGGATCGTCGAACGTCCGCATTTTTCGCGTCTTTTAACCGTTTTTAAACGAATATCGCGAGTGAACGAGCGTCGAAAGTGTCCAAGGATGATCGCGCGACTTTCATAGTGTGTCGATGGAAACATCACAAATCGCGACAGCGATTTTTGACGATATTCAGTGATGGCGTCATCGCGAAGATGGAGCGAAGTCGCGTCGCATTATTTGCGCCCTTGATGATGATTATCGGATGCGAGCGAATATCGGGAGTGCCGAATAAAGTGTCGCGCGTTCGCGTTGATGATATCGTGTGCATCAAGATCGGAATGGGATGTCCCGAGGCGAGCGAGTGGAGCGGCCTGTGGAACAGCCGGTGAACGGTGAGTAGATGTGATTTATTATCATATTTGCGTGACAATTCGTGCTCATTCGACGCTTATACAGCATCGCGATGTCCCGAATTACGTTCAAACAAATCGGCACTGCATCATAATTCGATGTGATGCCGTGCAATTCAAATAAAGTCGATCGCGTGAAGATGGTTATGCTAGAAGCGATTTCAAATTTATTTTATATACGCGCAGTGCTGCACAGCCTATCTTGTAGGGCTGCCAATTGTTAAACGATAAATTTGTTGGATCTAACCTAACCTAACCTAACCACTGTCTTTGGATGTCAAATGTAAACACAAGCGTATGCTGCCTGGATTGTATCATGCTTTTAAAAATAATATTTAATTATTTCATTAGTGTATTACATTTTATTACGTAGTATATTAATCGTATTAAATGTGCGACGTACAGTTTTACACATTTTAATGAGAAGCATATAATATAATTGGTTAGGTTAGATTAAATTAAAACAAGCTGCTGTGATTCATTTAAAGTAATAGGATTAATTTGACGAATGTGCAGCTATTGAAGTTACATGATATTTGTAGACACATTTTTAAAGTAATCATGAGTGTCTTATCTCATCTCGATTACATGAAATTAAAATATAAAATATTTATGTATTCCACATTAACATTATTCATTACAAGTACTATATTACTACATTACAAGTACTTTTCTTATATCTCAATCATATTCAACCATTTATTTCATCGATGAAGCTTTTCATATATCGCAGACAATATGATACTGTTTGTGGAATTTTACGCAGGTAATACATGGCACAAAAATAATTTGTTCTAAAGTATTGTGCGCATTTCTCAAAAATAAATCAAATTAAATTATTTTCAGAATCCAAAAATCGCTACATTGCCAGGATTGTATCTTATTATAACTGCGATATTATCACCTTTTAATATGTGTGCGCAGTATTACATACATAAAATATATAAATTTATTTGAAACGTACAGAAATCTTTATCTTATTTATAATATTTATGATATAAAAGAAAATTGCAACTCTAATGAAACAGAGCGTTGGAATAATTGGTTGATACTTATGCTGGTCTACAATATTTATCCTTTTTTCATCATTAGATTTTTGATGCTTTTTTTATTATACAGATGTTATCTGTAAATATAGTACTTGTAATGTTGCTTCTGTATCACTGTAAGCACACAAAAATGATAGCATTTGCAGATTATTATGTTATACTTATATATCATAAGGAAGAGAAAATAAAATTAAAGTTGAATACTGAATGTGCTCTAAAGTAAATCTCATCTAAATAAATAAATGCATAAATGTGCGCCCCACATTCCTCATGAAAAAAATACATAATATTAATTTTTATGTATTATTATTTTTAGATTTTTATTCTTTTAAATTCTCTAGATGCACTTTTCATTTCTCGTCTCTTTCTTTCCAACTACTAAATATAGATCTACCATTTTTAATATAGATCTGTTATTTTTAGTGTACATTATTGTAGTAAGTGGAATAAAGAGCAAATCTTTTGACACATTTAAAATGTACAGGAAAGTTTTATCTGATGCGTTTTTTTCAATAGAAATATCTGAAAAAAATGCATACGTCTTTTTTAATCTTAGTCTTTCTAAATAAAAATTAGAATAATAAATTTGCAAAATAATTTGCTTTAATATATTTTTATTGCAAACATATGAAGCAAAGTGCTCAAGGTGCATCACTATGAAAACATCGAAAGAATAAAAAATAGATCGCATATAAAAAAATTAAAATATTTACATTACATATTTGATATTTCTGCAAATATTTCCATTATTTTGAGATTGATTTGTTTCATGATATATTGCAATAATTAAAGTATGATTTCTGATATAATTTGCCATTAAATCTGCATGAATCTGCACGAAATGTCGATAACACAAGCATGTTGATATTGATGTTATCGATAATTGATATAATATTGATGTTATCGATGATTGATAATTGATAATACATTTTTGACATGTCAAAATTACATTAATAATATCTATATTATCGGCCTATTTTACAATCGTAGTTTGAACTCGAAAATTGGCAAAGTGATAGGGGAATATGATTAGGTAAGAAGTAACACACTTATTGATATGTCAAAAATTATTCAAAATCATTTCAATAATTCCTCCTATATAATTCTCTAAATATGCAAATTTAAATAGCAAAAATGTAAATTCTCCAATATGAAAACGCGAGCAAGAGATACATTAATTTCTTTTTGCAAAACGAAATAATAATTTAAGCGTTTTTACGCTCATTATGCGCTCATTATGCAACGTATCGCGCACCATCTACTTGATTATCATAGATAAGATATCTCGCGAGGAGAATATTCTTCGAGTTACCGAGGTCTTCCTTTCTTTCTCTCGAAAAATGTTCAACATAATTAAACTTCTCTCATCCGTGATTATACTATTTGGCTTTTTGCATATGAGTAAGTAAATTTTACAAAATAATATCTCCTTATTATTGTAATAGAATTATAAAATAATAGAAAGAGAATCATGAAATTTTTCGTCAATATTTGAATTGTCTCGTAGCATTATTCTTGTTTATCGTCTTACCTTTTGCGTGCACGTCAATTTTTTATCGCATATATATTCATTCTCTAATTTATCAATTGCATTGAATAAAGTTATTTTATTATTGCTATTATTTTCTTCAAACAAGATAACGCGATTAACGGGAGAAAAATATTATTTAAAAATCTTCAGCGAGTTATTCAAGACAGGAACATTTATGGTGTTATGAATGCAACACGGATTTAAGACACGGGCGTAAAGGAGATTGCAATGATCCTTATACGCCTAGTGCATTTGACCTGATTGCCTGTCCTCGGAACGAATCTCATCATTGCCACAAAAGTATCATATTGTGTACGTAGACATTGCATTTTAATTTTATATAAAATATCGTTGAAATAATAAATATATTTTAAATCAGCTTTATATATAACAACTTTAATATACTAGATGAGATAAAGAAGTGGACACATAACAAAATTGAAATATCGATGTAAAATATTGCAGATAGAAATATTTTAGTAACAGTACGAGCCTGTGTATTATCACGCCAAGTAAACAAATATTGCGACTATGAAGATAGTTTTCCACATTCGGATATCAAGTGTTATTTTTGCAACGAAAACGGCTGCAACGGTAAAAGATTATTTAATCCGATATCAAAATGGAATCTTGGATTTGTCGCAATTATTTCGTCGTGGGTGTTAACGTAAAAATGCGCGCAGATAATGACATTTCATCGTAAAAATTGCTGGTACTTGAATTTTTATATATATTATTATATATATTATTTATATACTTGTAATCATTAAGAAATTGTAACAAGTTTTGAAATGTTTGCTCTTGCTCGTAAAAATGTTTCTATGCTCGAAAGAAACGACTTTCGAAGTTAGTTAAATATAAAAGATATATTTGTAGAGAATGTTCATTAAATTTTTCTATTATATTATTAAAGCAGGCCTAGAAAATTATATTTGCCATATCGAGTCATTTGGAATCAGTTGTCATAATTTTTCTCTTGCAAATGCTCTTTTTAAAATATAAACAAATGATTTTGCACTCTTGTCGAACCACGAAAATATAAACGGTTTTCGACAGATAATACTGGTCACACCGGATAGAACGTACCATAATATGGATAAGGATGCGCTTAATCGTGCAATTAACTTAACCATCATTTTAATGTAAGTTAAATATGTACGTTAATGATTATGTTTACGAGAAATACGATGAGAGAAGGACACATTATATTTCCAAATACAGAATCCTTCTATCATTTTTGTATGTTGTAATTTTACAAATGGATTTAATTTAAAATATTGAACATTAGTAAAATGAAATTGATACGGGGTCATGACAGATGGTATTATTACCTTCAAACATTCAAGCTCTATTTAACATAAATTCACGCTCGCGATACCGTACGTATTAAGTTCATTTTTAGATATACATGTAGCGCATACTTTAAGTGTTTTAAGATAATTGAAAAATAAAAATATTTTATGAGATATTTTACATTAAAAAATATGTACATGTAATACATATATATTCTCTCTTTCCTTCTTCTCTTATTTCTTAAAATTTTATATTAATAAAAATTTTATATTATTTATATTTAATTTTATTAATGCAATGTTACTAATTTAATGTTAAAGATCTGCGAGATTTTTTTCATTATCCACTTGAAGTTTATATATCTCAATATGCTTGACCGGAAGAGACATTTTGTTGGAGATTAAAGAGTTTTATAATTGGAGCACCACAATCAAATGAAACTAGACTTTCTACATTCGTAACGTCCTCCTCTGCGATGAACTTCACTTTATGTGTATAACACACTCAAATATAGATCAAATGAACGCCGCAGAAACAATTACTAAGGTGAACAGGTCAAATGCCGGATACAGGTCAAATATAAAATGAAGTCGGAATATTCAATAGGGTTAAATGTTTTCTTGACCTCTCTTAATTAGTCGGTAGAATACAAATTTACAATATCAAATTAAATGTTTCAAAAATTGTCGAGAAAAATATACATATAAAATCGAAGTATATAATAGAGCATGTATAATAGAGCATGGATCTAATTTTAATAAAGTTCTTTTATTTTACACATACTTATTGCGCAGATTATTTAGAATAAAGAAAAAAGAATATTAAATCGTTACATATGTTTCATTAAAGAAAAAGACCAGTTCTAAATAAAAAGGTATTAGCTTGAAAAAAGTGCTAAAATTCTGCTCAGTATTCTATATAGTACTTACTTTCTTACTCTACTTACTATATATTTATCTCTCATACAATGAAATACGTTAATTACATCTCTTATGAAAAGGACACACGTTATAGAACAAGAGAGACTTCGTAGTAATTGGCAGTTAGAAAAAGAGAAACAGAAGACAGAGAGGGAGAGGAAGAGACAAGTGCTCTTGGTAAAGAGGGTGTTGGTTCGTCAGTATCATACTGGACACGTTTGGTATCGGCAGTTTTATGAGATATTTTAAACGATCATTTGAATCGTTCGATAGCATCTACTGTCATTTTTGAGAACGAAATTTTGTTGCTAATTTTTGGTGTAAATTCAAGCAATCATATTTTAATATCCGAAATGATTTCCATCGAGCGAACAGCGATGCTGATCCTCGGGATGGCTCTTTTCATAACGTCAGGTGAGTCTTTGTGCTTTGCAAATGTTAACAGAGCAAAAATTTGAAAATAGATTTGTTTTTAAAATAAAAATTGCGAGAATAAAATATTAGATGTTTGGCTATTTTAAATAGCCCTTTCGAACTGTTACAAATATTGAAAATATCTAAAATATTAGTCACTCTTTATTATTTATTTAAATTTTGCATGCTACGCATTAGATTTATTATTTACTAATTTCAGAAATTTTAAATTACGTTGTCATTTATGTTATTAAAAAAAGTAAATCTTTGTTGTGTTGTGTACGTAATTTTATGTGACAGGAAATCCAATTATTTACGTACATCATTACACGCATGATATTAATATTACAAATCTATCTTTCTATAAATCGTATTTATTTCATGTACTTGTTTAGATATTAATGTTTATAGCAAATTATTAATGTTTATAGTTTTCTTGAGTAATAAAGAAAGAAAAGTGAAACTTTATAATAATCATTTATATAATATATATTTTTTTAATATGACGAATTAAAATAATTTATCAATGTCAAGTTATATATATTATTATAATGTATAACATACATGTGCATGCATACATACATACATACATACATATATATATATATATATATATATATATGGTATATATATATATATATATATATATATATGCATAGTACATGTTTATACGTATATGTATATGTAGGCGCGCGAGACATGCACTTGTATGCAAGTACATATATAAACAAAGTGAATTATTTAATTATTAAGGGTAATATAACATTTTCAGGATTCTAAAATTTATGAATTACAATAGAATTTAACTACAATTTTTATTCTCATTCATTAATCTATCAATTATATTAACATTGAATTCATCTATAGATACAACATTTTAAGCATTATTTACATTAAAAGTTATTTTAGTAATATTTTAGCAATTATTGGGACTTCAACTGTTTATAGCTTTTACTGAACATTCGATATCTTTTCAAATTTTAAAATAATTTAAAAAAATTTGAATTAAAAAAATTTGAATGTGAAAAATTTAATATTTCATATAAAAACCTCAAGATAATTTTCATATCTCGATAAAAAACACAAGATAGCAAAAATGATTACTTTATTATGTTTCCCTTGATGTCCCTTGCGATTTCTTTTCCGAAATATTTTTCATACAAACAATTTATACTGTTTATAGTTTCAGTAATTTAAAATGATCAAATTAAATAATTCTTTTTATATATAAAGTGTTAATATATATATATATATATATATATATATATATATTTATATATATATTACTTGATATGCGATAACCTTTTTTTCGTATTTTATCATAATTTTTCATGACATTTATATTCGTGAAACCGCCTCTGGAGTTTGATATTGCGTAGCGCCCACTTTTTACAATGGCAGAAACTCGTATGTAGTTGTAAAACTCTAGCGTGCACTACTAATATAAACAGTTACTCAGCATTACGTCACTTCTTAATCACGCTTGTTTTCCATCTATTGCGCAGATATATCTTTCGTGATTTCAATTTAAATTTTATTACTAAACAGATTTCTAAAATCTGATATCTTTCTTACGCGAGAATATATAACGCCCTTCGTAAAGTTTGCATGTTCTTATCGTCTCTTGATGCGCGCAAAGAATTCAAATCATAAAATAAATTGTAATTGACAAAATAAATTGTAATTTCTTTTGTCGAATAGGTTCCGCCTTACGTTGCTGGGTCTGCTCATCCAACGTAAATAACTTGTGTAAAGATCCTATGAACACTACGGATCACCAAGCTGCATTTCATATCAGAACTTGCGATGTGGACTATTACAGTTCTACAAAAGCTATTTGCCGAAAAATCGTTAAACAAGGTAAAATTGTTTTTGCTCCAACACTATGCTTTAATATGAATATAATTATAAGAATTTATATAGAAAATTTTTAATATATTTATTAAATAAATTCTGATTTTTTTCTTTTCAACTTTAACACGACAAGTCTAAAAATTTTGTGGAAGTCAATATTTAAGAGAAATTTTCGTTTTTTTTTTCTAATCTTTTTTCATGCTAGATATCTTTCCACGGCTTTTTAATAATCATTACACGCGTATATGATGAAGAAATACGTGACTGCGAAAAGAAAAATTCTTCACGAATGCACAGATCTTGAAGCGTGCGTCTCTCTGCGTTTATTTCTTATTTAATTAGAATATCACGAAATGGAGCTTAAATTGCACTTTTGATGCGCTGTATCCTTTCTATTTCAAGTGTGACGACGCGATAATGTATATCATGGTTGAATCATACTACGTATATGTAAATGACGATGATAATTAGACAAGGTGACTCGAGACCACACCTACACGCGAAGGCAAAAAATTATTCTTTAAAAATCACTCGCAAGTTTGATTAATTTTGTTCAGAGTGATATATTGTTTGTGTGATTAAAAATTTCAAATTAGAGATTTCAACTGGAGAAGAATATACTTTTTTTTATATCTTGGCGCAAAATTAAATTAGACAATGTTTGATTCAAGTATAATTATCGACATAATTATTTTCAATTAATAAAGTTTTAAAAAGAAAATTCCCTTAAATCAAAAATTTACCTTCTTTCCAAAAGCCAATATAATGATCTAAATGTGTGAATTTGAAATTGCTCATTTTTCAACGTTAACTTTGCAATCTACTATGGATTTTTAGAAAGAGAAGCAAATGATGTGTCATAAAAGTACAGTCAAAATTATACTTCTTTGTATGTTGTTAAATTTGTCATTGCATAGTTTCACGATAAATCCAAGGTAGTAAATTATATATTTCGAATTAATTTGACTGGAATTCTAGCGTAACAGATATGTCTGCATGTATATGCACGCGAAATAATCAGCATGATTACTAACTAAATATGAAAATTACGTAAGCGACAATCTTGTGCTATTAAATCAACAACGCGCTCGTTGATATAGAAAAATATGACGCGACAAAATTGCACGTTAGATACTTTCAGGAAAAAAACTGATTTTTATCGTTTTCTCCAATAAATTAAAATATATATATAAACGATGTTCATTCTTCACTGATTATCAAACAAAATTATCCATTATTAAACAAAATTTAATTTGAACAAATTTAATTTGAGCAAATTTTCGATTTGTAAAAAAAACGATTAATTTGTGAATTGTGTTAATTTTTTTAGAATATGGCCAGCGAGTTGTCATACGTCAATGCTCCACTCCGTATCACGATGAGCTTGATATTACTGATGGCCTATGTGGCAATTCCGCGACAGAGTCAGGACGCGGTGTAATCGAATCCTGCCACATCTGCAGCACTGATTTGTGCAATTCCGCGACAGAGGCGTCTGCGACACAACTGCTTTGTAACGGCGCGCTGATATTTTTTGTCTACATTTTCCAACAATCGAAATATGGTTTGGTTCTTTAATTTATCGATTGACGATCCATAGATTAATACGTACTATTTTTATTAGTTGTGTCAGAGTAGCTAATAAAAAGAAAGAAAACTTTCGCACAATAGCTACGAATACTTAATGTCAATCTGTGACTAACAATTTTTTTCTCCGCGGACTGATTATTTTCCAATAATTTAACGATCTGAGAGATATATAAAAAGTGTAGATACAAGAGAGAAATATGTGTTTCATATATAATCTCGCTCGATGTAATTCAATTATTTTTCATAAACGGAAATTATGAAATAAGCACATGATTTTTACGAATAATATTGAGTCAAATTAATATTGTAAGTACAAAATAAAGAATGTAACATAATCATATCGTGTAAATTTGATTTCTTTTTGAAAAATGTTTCTTCTTCTTCAAAAGCTAATACGACTTAAGATAGCTTTAAGTTCGAGCTTTCTGTAAAATCAACTTTACACTTGTTGCTTTAATTCGATATACTCAGCGAAACGATGTCTTTGATAATTACTCTAGATCTGTAAGAACAAATTAGGCTCGTCATTATGTGTTATCTTCATTGGTTCAACCTTGTTGCGGTGTTCTAAATAAGTACATATTATCTCGAGACCGTCTTGATATGAGCGTTTCCTCTATTTTTGTCACAAAAGTTACTTTAATTATATAATGACGAAAGACGAGAAGGTAAAGACGAAAACTTATCAGATATCCGTCCAGCGATTAGAATAATAGACGAATGTGTTCTCAAAAGACCATGCCAACATTAAAAATCTTTTTCACATATATAACAATATATATTATATATTTTCTCCGCGCGAGAGATTATGTATCGTCTTAATTAAAATATAATCGTGTTACATTGTGCAAAATCTGTAAAAATTAAAAAACTACTTTAAGAAAGTTATCCTTGATAAGTTCTGAAAGCGTATAGAAATTAAATTATGCAAACATTCGCACTGTCATTATGGATTATAGACTATATAACGACACTTTATTAGAGTAATAGTCGACAATTATAAAAAAAAGAAATCTATAAACATAAGACATTTATTTCCTACATATAAATAAAATGTAAATCACGAAAAACATGGTTCTATGCTACACATATAAAATTTATATAAAACCATTTCCATTTTAATTTTTTCCAACACATGATTTTTTTCTATTAGATACGCATATATACGGTATGATTCATCGGCTGATCTCATTGCTCGAAAAATCGGCCATAAATGCATCATATAAATAAGTCAATTTATTATTAATTTATATATTACTAAAAAATATTAATTTGCAATCTAATAATATTATATATACGACAGATGTTTTAAGTAAATGTTTTTGGTCACGTTTGCATTTATTACGCAAATTTCTTTCACAGAATAAACTATTCACTAATGGATTTTTCCAACTTGATCAATCCAATGCTATAATAGTTTTTCACTTTACTTTGTATTCGTCATTAAACCAATAATGAATCATTATTGTTATGCAACAGTTTTTCAATTATGTTATAGCAGCAATTTCATTCAATGCGGAAAATAATAGTAATTATTATCTTAATAAGCTATAAAATATAGAAGATAAACTTGCAAGTCATACAAAAATATATAACTGAATAATTAAATTATACATATAAATCTCAGAGAAGAGAAAAAGAGAGAGAAGATAGATTTAATTTAATTGTAAGATAATAAATTTAATTGTAAGATAATAAATTTGGCAGTAAGATTAATTAGATTTATCAATAAAACAACATCAATATTAACATTCTTGAATTTTTAAGTGCTATAAAAATTTCCTAACAATTTTTTTAAAATTAAAACAATAAATTGACCGATAAATCGCATTTACTTGTTGCACTATTTCTATCACAAATCACTAGGTAGATACTGTATATAATTATCGTTATACACAATAATTGTCCAAAGGCACTAGAGAATGAGCGAACCGTTGCAGTTTTCATGGCACGTTCTTTCTCGCATAGATATGCAATACATGTCAATTTCGCGTGCGTGACGAAGAGAATTTGTTGTTATTCACCGGATCACATCTGCAAACACAACACGAGGGAAACAGGAACCAATCCATAAATATACCTTTACAATCGTTGTCTGGGTCGTAGGCGAGTAACCTATGCCATTTGTATTTCTGTTCGCATCCGCAGTCTCCGTTGCATCGATTTGTTTGCGTTTTTCTACGAAAAATAAATAGGCTATGCAATATTTATTAATCTGCATTTTATCAATCTGATGAGATATTTATGAACAAATGCAAAACAAATACAAAAAGATAGAATAAGATGTCATTATATATTAATAAATAATTAAATATATATAATATTCTTCCTTTTCGCCGTATGAAATTAATTCTATTTTTCATAAAATTCAAAGTTTCACAAAATTCAAACATTTTTATATATAATTGTATTTAATGCAGTTTTACTTACGAGCACACTTCCTGATGTATAGCCTGCTCGAAATGTTGAGTATTTACAATGGCACGAATCTTTCCGGCGCTGTTACTTGCCCAATAGGGAGTCACGATTTCAACTTTTGATTCGCACGCATCAACTCTGAAATTATCATCCCTATATTATATTATCTCATATCTTTCTTTAATCATTTTCTATAAATTTATTTTATAAAAGAGGGAAAGAGAGAGAGAGAGAGAGTTTTAAAAAATTGCGACATAATTACATGTAAAAGATATACTACTAATATATAGTGTGACATATAATGGTGGATCATTAAGTCAAAATGCTATAAGAAAATGGTACATAATAATAAATAATACTAATTAATATTGTAATAGATAAAATGACAATAATAATAAGTATTTCGATTCTCAATCTGTACCTGCTACTTTCTGTGCTGCGATTTTTTCCAAAGGATTGCCTGATATTTCTATTCTTGCTGAAATACTCCTCGATTTCCTCTTCTGCATGTAATTCGTCGTTAGGTCCACCATCTGGAATGTCGTGTTTCCGCGTATCTCTGCTTTTTCTTCGTGTTCTAGTACGATGTCCAGGTTCGCTCGATCCATATCCTGGGTTCATCTCGAAGTCACCGTACATCCTTTTCATTAACGCTTTATTTTCATCGATAAAACGCTCTATTCGTTCTCTGCAACAATTGATTTTAATTAAAAACCGATTATATTATATTAACAACTTTCTTATTCTGTTTTATGATAATATTAAATTAGAAATGTGTATTTTTAAAGTAAATAAAATGACTAGTGGAGTAATTTATACTTACATTGGATATGTGTTTCCGGCGGTTGGACAAAACAGCTGATGATATCTTTTGATGCATGGTACACCTCGTACCAAATCTCCCCTCAGTTCGACACCTAACGCTACTGAAAGTGCAGTCCAGAGTATCTGTGCGCAAATAAAAGTTGATCGATATACATACATTAATATTTTTTAATTAGAAATATAATATCATGAGGCAACGCGAAGAAGGAATTTTGCTGTCACAGCATAAACAACAACTGTTTCTACCATTGTATTCGATTTGAAAAGCAATAAAATTTCAATTGCAAAGCAATTGCTTAATTTATGGCAAGGCTTATGATAATAAAAGAGAAAAGTCTTATCGAATAAATCTATTATTTGCTGTCAAAGTAAATAATTTTTGCATTACAAATAATGCTTACTGAATGAAATGATGCTAACTGAATTTTCAGCAAATTTAGTGTTTTCGATTTGTCTGTCTATATAAATAATAAAATTTCCTAATAAAATTTGCTACAAGAAAAATATTTCGCGTCAAACATTTCTTCTTTATATTTACCGGAAGTCAATATTGGTTAATTAAAGATCGTCTTCCTACATTTATCTTTCAATTCCACTTCCAGTCAGTATGCAGTAGGCGTCATTCATAATATGAGAAAATTCTGACGTTGATTACGCGGTGCGTTGCCCACAAGAAATGATTCATACAGCGCGAGGAAGCTGAGTCAATTATTCATATGCGAAATTTAATTAAATTCAAAATTAGATTTTTTCCGAGTTTTTTCTAATGTCGCATTAGGAAGAGAAATTCGAATTAGAGCCGGAATGCGGAGTACGTAAATATGTATGACAAGTATTGAGAAGAAAGTCAAAAATGTGAAATGTTTCAATTCACTTCGGCTACTTTCGAGCAGAGCGATTAAATTAATAAAAAAGGAATATAAATTTCATAAGAAATATTCATTATCATTATTATTATTATTATTAGATACGTGGAAAATAAAAAACAGATAATGGCCTTTATTAAATAAATAAAAAAATATAATAATAAGTGAAGAAAATTCGCTATTCGAATAACGTAAAGGTAATAATTGTGTCTAAAAAATTGCTTTGAGCCTATGATAAGTGCGATGTGTAGGCACGCGTGACGAGGTCGTGTGTCGTAAGAACGAAAAGATTTCGGTAGTCCATATCGGCAAGCTCTCGTCTTTTCGCAAGTCTCGCAAATGACATTTGCAACACTCATAAATGATTTACACATAATCATCACCGAAAATTCTTAGCCAATTGTTTTATTTTCATATTCCTCTCCGCGGAAGATTGCAAAATATACATTCGAATGTCTTTCGATCCTTATCGATTTCGACTAAATTATTCAACTGGTTGATTTTTTTGCGAACGACTTATGCGCTATGCATTATATGATAATAAAATGTCAATGTAAAATCTTGTTTGCGAATAATAATAACGATTCATAAATTATTCGCTCGATCAACGAACGATCAAGAGCATTTAGAATGTCAATCGTATTAGCCGATTATTCTTAATGCGTATCATATATCGATATAAATGTACAGTTCGTTTACTTTCAATCATGTAATCAATTCGAATAAATTTTCTATTTCGATACAGATTAAATTTTGGTTTTTGTACGAATTTTTGAAATATGCGTATAATTTTATTAAAAATTATCATGATTTTCAATTTTTTTTCGCGAATAATAATTTGTTTCGATTGGAAAACCACTGAATCGACGATATATAATAAAGTTAACGGTTTAGCATCTCAATGTCAATATGGTAGTTGACCTCAAGAGAATTCTGTCGCGACCTCGGGTACTTCGCGACAGAAAAGTCATTGCAGGAGGCGTCGAATGAAGATGGAAATAACGCGAGAGAGAGGTAAAAGGGATTCATGCGAAACGCTTAAGACAGGTGTATGCATCTGTCTGATCGTACATTCTCGTTGATTCTCTAACAAAGATACACCGGGGTCATGGGTGCTCTACGCGGGAAATGTCACGCTATAGACTTTGAAAGTCCCTGTAGCCATGGTCGCATTTGTCGATTATCAACTGCGAATCCGCGCATCAAGAATAATACTTCTTATTTCAGATCCGTGCTACTGCACTTTTATTCAGATTAATTGAATAATTAATTGAATAATTAATTGAATAATCATTTATTATACGATACGTTCGACTAAAATGCATATTTGATTATATTTCATACTTTTAATATCGATCATCATCTTGATCGAAGAGAAAATAGAAAGAGAAAGTTGAGCGAAGTACAAGACTCACCGGTATCTGCACGAATGTCCCATTATTTAGCTGAGGATACGAATACAGCGGCACCACAGGAACGGAACCGTTTTTCAGAAAGATTGGACCCTGAATAGGTGTAACATGTGCGTTCGTTGGTATGTTCTGGTCTTCGTCATCGTAATAATCGTCAAAATCATCGTCGTAGTCCAGTACAGCATGAACCGAAGTTTTGGCATCTGGACCGATGGAGCTTCCGCCATTGACTCTCGTGTAACTTTAGACAAATTAAATGAACATCGATAGAATCCTCAACAAAAGGAGAAAAGAATCTCTATTTACCCTTGAGGTCTTTCCGGATAATTTTCCTGTTCCTCTATCCGAGACTTGATCGACTCATGTGACTGAGAATGCTGCTGTTGCTGCTGCTGAAACGATGAAGAGGGAGGGGGTGGTCTCATCTGTTGCTGTTGCTGCTGCAGCCTGGGCTGTGTTCTTCTAAAATCCTGACTGTACGCGGTGTAACGATTATCCTGCGTCGACGAGAATGACGTGTGTTCCGCGTAGATCTCTTGACTCCTCTGCTGAGGAGTCTGACGTCTTTGCGGATGATACTTGACCGGTGATGCGTAGGGCTCGTTATGAAAAGTCTCCTGCTCGTTGTAGCTTGGCATGGATCCTGGTAATACGGCGTTCAAGCCGAGATTGTTGGCCGTTGTGTGTCCTCCAGGATAAAGGAACGGCGCCATCGTCGCCGACTGATAGGGTAGACTGAAATTCACCAATGCCATTTCAATGTTGTGAGATAATCTCCAGACTCTAAGACTTTGTCCTTCACGACAAATCTCTCAAAAGGCTACGTCGATTGTTAATCTGGATCCGGCGTAGGACAGATTCGTTTCTTCGTTACGGAGATCATGATAGAGTCATTGATGACTTTGGCATAAGCTCCAAGGACAGAGGGGCCGAAATTGTCCGGAGTAAAGACACTCCCCTGGTCGCAATCATGTCGAATCGGTTCCGCTTCCTAGATACGTAATTGATTGCCTTCAAATTCTTTTGCAAACCCAATCTGCCTCTTTCTCGATCAATAGTGTCGATGCAGCGGCATGATCAATCGCAAAATTGATCTGGATATTGACAAGGCGTGACAAGTAATCAGATTGATCAAGATCACCGTTTTAGCTTTGCTTGTCTTACAAAGTAGTGAGATTGGACTGAAACATAGCGGAAATAATAATACTGTATTATGTCAAAAGAGAATGCTATAAATAAGATATTCTTATTACTGTCGGAAAATCTACAAGACTCTAAAAGATCTCAATCTTAATCGTTACCAGCATCTCATTAAAAAAATAGTAAATCAAATAACAAATTAAAATTATCGCAGCTAATTCTTCATCCATTGTTTGAAGAAAAATTCGTAATAATTATTAATTTGGATCGCAATCACATTTTTGATTAAATGTTTGTACGAAGGAAGAATAATAAATTTTAATTCGTCCGTAGAAAGTGCTCCGCTCTCGAATCAAGCAAAGAGATACATGTGCGTTAATACATAATGAGCATAAAAAGCAATTGCTTAAATCTTTAAATCAAAACTTTAAATCAAAGAACAAGAGCAAAAAAATAAAGAAGATAATTTCTCTGTTTCTAATCTTGCGCTGGGATAAATTCTCGACATAATACATAAAAAACGTATCTGCGATATAGTATCAATCATGTTAAAATAGTCTGATTATATCATTATAAGCATTATTTGCGCAATTATATCATTATAAATATGATTTGTGCAAACAGAAAAGCGTAAAATACCTATAATGACTGTGTTGTGTGAATCATAATTACATAAATACAATAATTACATATAAAGACATACGCAGTCTATTCGTAGTTTCCGCATTTTTTTTCCTCCTAGGTCTTTTTAAAAGTGCCCATCTATTTTTAAACACATAAAATACAACTAAAACGACTTATTGTAATGCAAAACGTTGATAAAATAACGATTGTTACGCCAACGTGTGTGGCCGACGAAATTTATTTGGAAAGTCGAACGAGTTTGGCCGCTCGTCACTTTCGCCCACCGGGATTACTGTGTTTCCAGTCGAATATGCAAAACGGTTTTCACTAAAGGTAAAAGCAGGACTATCCTATCTTGTCGAAACACTCTCTATTTTTTACGAAATATTCCCGAAATCGGTGTAAAAAGAAAATGATTCGTACGAAAAATTCCTCACAAATTTTTCCCTCCCTGTAATTCATTCGCTACATTCAAGTAATATCAATATTTTATGCAGATAAATTAACTAGAGGGTGTTGGCTAATTGACTCGTAGATTGACAACTGTCATGCAGTACCTTAATTAATGCTATTTAATTGATCTCGACGACATTATCCATCGCGCGATCAACGATTATCTTTTTTCTGTGTAACACAAGATCGGCTAATTACGAAAGAACAACAATTGTTTATGTACGATGTCAGCTATAATATAATATATATAATTATAACTGACATGCAAATAAATGCAAATAGTGAAGAGAAAATTGATGCGAATCATAATCCTCGAACATGCTAATGAGATGGCATAATCTTACCTGGCATTAATACGCGCGTTACGTTCGCACACTTTTACAGCAACCGTAACTCGAACTCGCGCAGGGGCAAAACCGATCCAGAATGCATTAAAGATCCATCCGATCCGTTCCCACTTTCACTTCGTACACGAAGAAACGTTCTGAGATGTCGTAATTGCTCGGAAATTGATCGGAAGAATCAGCAAACGATTAAAAAGAAGAGAAAAAAAAAAAAGAAACGCACACATGTACACACATACACGTAGAGCGAAGTGCGATGCGGCGCGATGATGATGATGTTGTGCAGTATCGGTCGCATTGGCGAACGACGACTGAAGTAGAAGAAGATTTTTTTAGCCAGTTGTGCACACAGTGAGAACGAGAATAAAGAGAAGTGTCCCTCGATCGCGCGAGTAAGCGCGACTCGTGTGGGTTCTCTTACTTTTACGCTACGTGTGTTATCCCTTCCCATTTGTCTTTCTCTCTCTTTTCCTCTCACTCTCTCTGTCCCGATGCTCCCTACCTTTAACTTTGATCGTACCTTCGATTCTTCATTGCCGCGAGGAGTCATTAATGTAATGACTTTCAGCGCTCTTCTGTATCTGCTGCTTTACTTTCGATTATTCTTGTTCGTCCCGCGCGCGCGACTTTCTCCGTTCGTTTTCAAGTTTAATCTGTAAATTAAATCTGTAATTTCTAGTCAAATTTGTCGATATAAGAGTTCAATCGCTCAATAACATGTCTCAATTATCGAAAAATATATAACGTTTAACGAGTAAGAGAGTTGGATTTCAATCGTTCTTTCGCGTCGAAGGACCAATACTTATATCCTAATATATACATATATGTACATGGCCTTATTTTCTGCGCAAAAAAAAAAAAGAAAACGAAGGAACACGATATTCGATATTTTTTCCATTAAAATTTATTCTTACAGGGTATAATTATCGGATTAATTATTTTCTTCGTTCTCACTTATTTTCTTCAACGATTAATGCCTTCGAAAATGTATTTTTATAAAAAAAATTCTTGTAAAGCAAACGGAGTAATGTGACAGATATAGAATAATGCACTCACGTTAGTTAATGCATACAAACGTAAAATCCGAATATAAATACGATACAAGTCACGCTGACTTCCGGGGTAAATCCACGATTCAACGTTTCCCGGTAAAGCATAATTGCATGCGTCACTTGTAATAAATGTAAATGTAAATAAAGAAATTTAAATGTACATGTATATCTAAAAAGGATCATTCTTACTCGCATTCGAGATGTTCGATACGAAACAGTACATTTGCCTGGCTCTGTGTCTATCTTCGAGTTTGACTCCATTTGACGTGACGCAACTAATGCTTTTCCGTTCGTCTATTTGCCTTTGATGTGTACAATTGCGCAATCTTGTAATCTTGACATCTTTAGAAGAGTTGCCTCTACGTTATTCATGCGAAATATAACAGCGTTAATGCAAAGATTTATTTAAAGATTATTTAAGACAAAAAAGATTTACATACACAGTAAAAAATGGTGCGTCCATATGTTAAAATTTTCTTGTATTACCACGTTTTGATTAGTACTTTAATGTAAAATTAACATACAACTTATATGTTATTATTTTTATAACGTTTTCATGTGTTATATGTATGTCAACTTTATATCTTAACACTTTGTATATGTCTCTTAGAAATGGAATATTATTTTGAGTATTTTTAACATAATCATTTTAAACAATCAACATGTTTCAAAGTCAGTTTAACATTCTAAGAAAAGTTAAAGTAAATCTTTAAAATAATCTTGAACTTTGACATACAAAATAATCAAATTTACTAAAATGTTTCTATTACAAATAATTTAAGTTAAAATAATTACTATTATATGTTAATGTCCTACAACAATTCTTATGAGTTATTGTAATTATTTTTTCATATAATTTTTAATTACTTCATATGTTATTTTTACATTTAAAATCACAATAACAAAAATAAATGTAAAGTATTATGTCACAATTATTTAACATTTTTAGTTTCAATAAATAACATATGACGAATGAGTTATTTTAACTTAAAATTTAGAGTGGACTTTCTGGGACATGTGAAAAATGTTAAAATTAACATTTTATTTTTTACTGTGTACATATATAGATATCTAAAGAGATTATCAATCTTATATTAATATTCAAGTCCGCACTAATTTCACAGAAAGGGAGAATCATCAAATTGAGGAAATTCTTACAATGTAACAAAGAATTAATTTGTCGATTAAAAAAAATTGTTTAGAATTGTTTTTCACCATAAAGAATAAATTCTTGACTTATATTCTCAAAGTTTTAATGAATCAAGTATGATATTACGCGTTATACGTGCGTAAATAATTCAAAACATACTTGATTAATTACTTCGATTAGCGTATAATCAATTCCATGTACAAAGAACTCGTTTTAAAGGATCACGTGAATGTATTAGAAGTACGAAAGCATAGAAATAAGATCATAAATCGATATTAATGACACATATATGTCGGCTAAAGCTGAAGAAGAAAGGACTGAAAGGGAACCGAATGCCTGGCGCGCACGGGCCCGTGATAGGCTTACCCTCGTTAGAGTTCATTGTTGTGCAACCGACAATGAACCATGCGCAAACGCTCGACAGGCGACACCTTTCCTTACCCTTGAGAGAAGGAAGCCTCTTTGTAAGAGATCGTGTGTACAGAGTGCGAGCAGCCTCCTCTTTGTATAATAATCCGGATACATGATCGGCTGATACCGATTTCGAAACGATAATTGCAGAATTCAGTTGAAAATCTTGGCAATCACCGTAACGCAAACTTTGTGTGCGCAAGACGTTTTAAATTTTGAAATATTCTTATTGTCATCTTTAATGTAATCAAAATAATATACATTTTAAATATAATTATAATTTAACAATGTAAGTAGTATAAATAGTATTTAGATATTAATTATTTGTGATTTTCTATTCATTAATTCTTGAGATCTCAGAAGAGAAGTAAAATCGAGCAAAAATGTTGCTTCTGAATATTTTTAAATAAATATTAGTTGCTTATATGTATATGAAAAAAATTAATATTACATTCCTCGAACGTATGCTTCATCTTCAGATATCGTTCCTGACGAAAATACTTTGGAAAAATTTCGACAGAAAAACGAGCAAAATATATGTTTATACGTAAATAGAAAAGAACTTAAATTTTTCGCTCTTGTTTGCCTTCTTGTATGCGCGGCTTCTGACACAATTGAAACCTACTGCCTATGGAATTATAAATAAGTCACGTAATAAATTCAACCGGAACCAGCACCAGCGAAAAAAAAAGAATAGATTGCGCACGTGACACGTATGCCATACGGCCCGAGTTTCGCAACTCTCGCGCGACAATTCCATGATTCACGCTTGATTATGCACGCGTAACGGTCGCAATAAATTCGTTATACGCATATGCGCAAACGATTGTTCTCCCGTGTGTCAGTTGCGACAAATTTGTCGCTCCAAGTCGCGAGCGACATATATGAATGGCAATTACTGTCGGCGACGATTGTCCCGATTAAAAAAAAATAAAGCAACGCATTATTGTACTCCTGCTCGAGATTTTAAATCGAATCGAGAAATGAAACGGAATTCGAAGGTGACAGGTCACGTTAAGTGCCAACGCCCACATACTTGAAGTGTCGTTCTTTCGATTATTCATCATAATACACGACAATGACACTTATGCAAGAGAGCGTTCTCCGTTATAATCAATTTTCGATTATTTCGATTCTTATCAACGGAGCTGCTATATGTCCACATGGCCAAATGTCAAATCCCATATATAGTTTTGTTTTCTCGACTTCCGCGTCATTCATATTCCTTTTTTCTCTTTGGCGGCTCCTTGGGAAATTTATTCGCAAAAATTATGCACACGTGTGTTGTCGATACGTAAATTAATCACCATGCTAGTTAGCTAGAATGTTAAATTAGTATTAGGACCATTGTGACATCGAAGTGATAGCGGTTGGCCTTGACGTTCGCGGGGGCGTGAACAAAAAAAAATCCTGGTATGATACATATATCATATCAGGGTTTTTTATTATACATTATATATATAATGCACATGTGTATTAAACCGTGATAAATAATGTTGTCATGTTCTGATAAGATTTTTTTGTGCGGAAAATTAAATTTTAAAACGAGAAATTGCAAAATAATGCAAAATTCCTCTCGGTTGTATACAATAAAAAAGAAATGGTTTATACACTCAGGTGGCCAACTACTATACATGGACGATCCAATCATTTATAATCATTCGTATAAAACAATTTCCATATACGTTTGGATACAAAGGAGATTCGATTTATTTCTTGATCTTATGCTAAAAAAAACAACGTATAATTAATCATATAGCAATCATTGGCCTAACAGCGTGTTCAATGATCTGGCCACATATTGTACACATATATATCGCAATATTCTTTATGGATATGGTTATAATATGTGTTAAATATAGGATGACAACACACGTTCAAGTTGAAAAAATAACACATATGCATGTATCGAACATTTAAAAACTCTCTAAACAATAAAACATCATAATATCATTTTAAATATCTGTACTTGTCCTCATAAAAGATATACATTTTGTTTCAAGGCGTTATACCCACATACATACATGTAAAAAAAGTATATATCGACTCGAGACATGTGTGGCGTAATACGTTTTTCATTAAATCATTACAGAGGAAGCCTATATCGCTTCTATGAATATTATTGACAAATACAATCATGTAATAAATCTTTATGCCTTCGAAGCAGCCTTTGCATAATATCGCAAAGCACCAATGATCATGCAAACACTCATGGGAATTAGTGATTTAGTCGTGCAATTAGATTAATTAATGTGTTAATTGTGTTAAAAAATAACTTAAATACTGATCAAGTATACCAAAAATATCATAATGTAAAATTTAAATTACGCATACTATATTAACAAAATACGAAAAGAATTATTTTGTTCGATACATGAAGTCTACGAAATATTAGTAAAATTCATTTGCGTCGTATCTTGTATAAAAATTCTATATATTTTTCTCTATATATTTTTTGTTTTCTCTCCGAAATTATTTTCTCTCAGTCATGCATTCAATCGCACTCGTTTCACTTCGAAAAATTTAAAAAGTACACGCAAACAAAAATCTAAAATTACAATATAATTTTTAGGATTAATCTGTTAGAATTAAACAACCTAATTTATATCACAGCTACTAGATATCGACTTGGTTGAACTTGTCAATGTTGAATGTCACAAAGTTGAAAAGTTCATAAGCTCTATTATTTTTGTAGACATTTATATACACACAGCGACATGAATATATATATATATATATATATATATATATATATATATTCAGATAATTATTCGAATAAGAGTACTTACAAATGTTTATCCAACTGCATGGAATTCCTATAAATAAATGAAATAAAATGAATAAATAAAATACAAATGAGAGAGCACGCACACTATACTATATATGTATGTACATTGTATAATAGTATGATTCTATAGAGAGAGATATTCATATATTCGTTAACTAACAAGCAGAACGAATATATAACATTCTAATAAGATATGTAAGATGAAATGAAAATGCATAACACAATTGACAAATAATCATCCAGATGATTATTGCTTCGAATTAAAAAAAAAAATAGTCCCCCAATAATATCCATTAAATATATTTCGAGATCGCAATGTATGAATTTATTGTCTCACGGGGGCGTATATTTAAAGTTATATTATTATGTCGCTAAACTATCTCCACATATTTAAGCATGCTTCAAATATCTCAATATCGCTATAAATTTATGCTAGTTGATGAGAAAGTCAACAAATCGTAATCACATGATGAATATTGGAAATAATGGAAAATGTATTGAATATTTGAAACGCAGACAAAACAGACAAATGATAGAAAGATTCCTTGATTTAAGAATCGTCGCTATCGCTCTCTCGCTGTTCTCGTGATATTTCGTCTACATGACACGATCTATCGTTATCCACGTTTCTATCGAGATTGTGAGAGTTCCATAACGGAAGCCATTTATTCACGAACCACCAATGTACCGAGAGTCTCCCGTGATTGCATTCCGTTCTCTCGCATCTACCGAGAAGCTGACATATTCCCGCTACATTGCCACTTTGGCTGCGAATACAAGAATCGTCGCAAGTATGTTGGCGTTCTACGTATCGGTTTACGGGACAGATAGAAGCGTTCGACGTGGAAGCGCCGGGAGCGAATACAGACCGCAAGATCGATGACGGATTCGACTCACCGAATCTCGTATTAGATGCCGCGTTAGAGGATGTCGAGGGGCCAGGATCCGCCCCGCTCGGCGGATTCCCACTGTTGGATGCGTTTCCGTGACCAGGAAGCATCGAGGCGCGATCCATTCTACCGACGTGAATCATGGCGTACAGAGGATTATTGACGGATTGCCCGGTCCGATTAATCCAATCCAAGTATCTCCCGATGTAAATCGCAGAATTCGAATCGGACAGAATCTTACCGCGACAGGTGCAATTGGCGGGATTTCTACAGTGACAACACTCCATTTTGAATAATTCGGCGGCGCGAAGAGCGTTCATGGGTAACTTTGCATAAGAGTATTCACCGCGACAAAACGGGCATCTGCAATTTCTCGAGACTTGATATACGTAGTGCCTGGAATTAGTAGCGTCCTGATACCGTAATCTATTGTGTAAATTATTACAATGATGACAAATGTATCTCGCGTCTGCGTGTCTACAATATGGGCACGTGCAATTATACGCGAATGGATGTGCGGAGCGTCTAGTGGAGGCATACGCGATATTTTCCGTGGAAAAGCAATTACGACCTAATCTGTTCAGAGAGCTTTGGTGTAAATTACTACTCAATCGAGAATAATCAATGTAGATGTGTCTCGGTTGATCATATTGGTTCGCATTTCTAGTACCCTCTACGTCATTCAAAAAACTATGAGCGGGTACATGATATTTGTAATAATGACAATGCGCTCTACTGCTACACGATATCCGTTCGTGTATTCTCTCGTATGTATGATTATCCCCGTTATTTTGATTGTTTTGAGCTAATGGTTCATTCCGAGGAACCTCAGCGTTTTCATTGTTATCCTCGTCGTCGTCATTATCCAAACGTTCGTAAATATTCTCCTCCGGTTCCTGTTGTTGCTGCTGTAATCGACGATAATTCCGTACCAAATCAATCGGATTTTGATAATTTGGATTCAAATTCGGATGAATCTGTAGCGTGTTGTTGCTAGGACGATTTTGTGGAAAAGCGCGCAAACCTGCGTTTTGATAACCGTCTTCTCTTTCTTGATTATTTCTACCTTGATTCATTATTACCGCGGCTAATTCGCCATTCTCGTATCGCTGACAAACGCAACGCGGGCCTTGACAATTATGACTCGCGCCGCGATTTTGCATACCGCTGGGCCCGGCTTCCCGTGACGAGTCTGATACCTCGACACCCGGGTCCGTGTTCTGTTCTGTCGCATGCCCAGCGGATTGTAGACCTCACATTGTCACCGCGGGGGCCATCGGTTTATCGATGATAGCTACACCAGCGTAACTACGCCCCACTCCCATGCAAGTCGGCAAGGTGGTCCAGGTATCGGTTCTTGGAGAATACACTTCTACCGATGCTAAACTGGAAGAACCGTCGTCTCCACCCACCACGTACAAAAGTCCGTTCAATGCCACGACACCTATTCGTTGTATTTATATTAGATTTATAGCTACAGGAAAAATAAATCAAACATCCAAAAGCAACAGCTTACCGGCGTTACGACGGCAAAGTGCCATGTCACTGACGGGAGTCCATTGGTTAGTTTCTGGATTAAATGCTTCTACGCTTTTTCGAACCAGTGGACCATCATGACCTCCCACTGCATATAAAATACCATCAAGGACACCGACACCCGCACCGCTACGACGCGCGGACATCTCTGGTACAGGTTTCCATTGATCTTTCTCTGGGTTATAGCACTCGACACTGGAGAGGCATTGACGAGATTCTCCATCATAGCCGCCAACCTAATTACAAAAATGTTTCTCTACATTAAATGTATAATGAACAAGATTGTTTTCTAAGCAAGGATGTCTCAACTTACGGCATACAACAATCCTTTAACAACGCCTACTCCTACACTACTGCGCCGCGTTGACATTCGCGCTATTGGTCTCCACTCGCGAGTACGCGGGTCATATACTTCGGCTGAATTTAATCCCGTCGAACCATCAAAGCCACCAACCTGCGGCATAAAAAATATCAGTTTTAATTTAAAAAAAAAAAGAAATATGTCACAAGATGCCACAAGTGTTTTTTAGTCGACATTTTCCAATTGTAAATCGTATCGATAGAATACAGGAGAAAAAGTATTAATAACATACAGCGTAAACGCAATTTCCGAGCACTGCTACACCGAGCGTCGATCTCCTAGCTTCCATCTCAGGACAGGGTGACCATTGATCCGCCGCAGCATCGTAAATATCAACTGTTCGTACTCTCAGTGATCCATTAAATCCACCAACGGCGTACACACGTCCGCCGAGAACACAAAGTCCTATAAAGCAATACAGAATTTAGCATTATTTGTAAGAAAAAAATTATAATAATATTGTTATCGTAAATACATTAGCTTACCGGCTCTACAACGTCGTGTTGGCAATTCGGAAACTTGATACCATTTTTCTTCTTTAAAGTCATAGCACTCGACACTCCTAATTGCTTTCGGAGCTTGTCCACCGACAACGAGCAATACCTTGGGCAAGCCTCTTGGCTGTCTTGGTTTGGTACGTGGGGTTTTAAATAATGATTTTTGCTCACCCTTCAGTAAATGATATTTTAAGGCTTCAATCAAGAAATCCTTACCTATGGAAATTCAATATATACATATGTATATATGTATGTATAATCTTTTTTTCAAGTCATACATATATTATAATAGCAAATTTACATTGTAAATTTGCCTTCAGAAGTGGTTCCTCCTCTACACGTTGCACCAAATATTCTTGAGACAGCAAAGGTAAGCGTACATATTCCATTAGCAGAGCTAAATTGGACTGTCTTTTTTCGAGATCATGATGTACCCATGAAATGACACATTCAAATACTTTTTCTTCGGATGGTACCATTAAACGATCACTACAGATAAGCTTTGCTACTTGCTCAGGTGCCAGAGTCAAGAACTCTTCCGCATCGACTACTTCTCTACAAGATTAAAAACATAATTATTATCAATGCAATATATTCTCATTTGACAGATTAAAACTCGAATGTACTTACGAAAAATGCTGCTCAATGTAGCTATCTGCATGCGTTAACAGTTCGAGACACCCATGAAGATCTGCAAATGCCCTAATACCAAGACAATTAGATGGATGCAATTGAGCTTGCAAAAAATCACAGCAGGCATCTCGAACATCTGTTAATTGTAATAAATTTGCAGCAGGTAGGAGCACCTGTACATTTTCCTCCGTAACATGGACTTCAGCAGAGTAAACATAATCTACTAATAGCTCTAGCGCCGAATAATCTACGCCTTGTAACGTTATTCTCTCCTGATCACGTTCCTCGAAACTTGTAAACATGGCATAAAAGTAAGGGCTACACGCAGCGAGAACCATTTTGTGAGCAGGCACCTCCATACCACTGTCTGCTACTAAGATAACATCGCAGAGTAAATTTTTCCTAAACAATAGTATCAAAGTGTTCAATTTTTCATAAAGATATATCTCCAATAATATTTTAACAGATAAATGAAGATATATACTTTCTCATTTCATTAATGACATCAAAGGCTCGATTCGTATGATGGTGATTCCTATATGGTGGCTTATCTTTTCCATTCTCACGAGGAATATGTTTCTGTGAGCTTTCATCTAGAGAATTCTGGCTAGCGTAACGAAGTAATAAACAGCTGCAAAAATAAAAGACAAATTAAACTTTTTGATAAGTGTTCTCCAAGTTATTATAGATTGTATTAATAGACATTGTTTTCTTACGCTGAAATATTTAGATATAAGTAAAGGATGAAAGACTCACCTGCCCTTGGTATCGGAACCGTCGCCAACATTATTCAAGACGTTAGGCAGTTGATTCTGTCCCGCTGATTCCATTTTAATCGATTTTAATTAGATTTCGATACTCAAAGCGTTTGTAGTTGAACACAAGATAATTAGCAAGCCAAAACCAAGTTAGGCTGTTTACAATAATTCCAAAATGTCATCAGATTTCTCGATCATCATTTGTACACTGTGCTTTATCACGATAAAATTCAAACAGAAAAATGATACCATTGATTTTATCAACTTGACAGGTAATAAATCTTCGCACGCGCGCGTTCTCGCTAAATTCCGAAAGCGAAATCAGACACGAATGCTTTGCTTCAGGTTCGGCTTCTCTATTTTTCGGAGCCCTGTTCCGGTTGGAACAAAATATACGTATCACGTTTTTTTTTTAAATATCACTCGCAATAATTTTCTTCTGTCTTGTAGATTCTAACGACAGTTTTTGTCCTTACAGAGATTTTGGATTTCTGGGCGGTGAGATTTCTCTTTCAAGGCGGAAATACACACATATTAGGTTTACTCCTACTCGTGCAGCGAAATTTTCATACTTCCCTCCGACGAAATTTTGTTCTTATCGCAGCGAGGTAATATTCGACTGCACAGCTGACGAGTGAGAGGGGAGAGTCGCGCAATCTTCAAGGAGATCCGTGCGCTCTATTTTGACAGCACGTCATGCGCGCGCGAGTTACACGTGCGTATGCATGCGCATGTGTATGTATATATGCATATATATAGTACAGTCTCGAATTTTTCTACTTTACATCGTCGAGCATCGAGATCTCTCGCTATTCCGAAATCTCCCCTCTATTCCTGCTCCGTATCAATGGTGTATGCGCAGAATGTAAATGTCATCGCGTCCACCGTCTCTCATTCGCTTTCTCGCTCAATGTATCGTCACGTGCTTCCGTATCGAGTAGGGGGAGAGAAGCGTAGAAGGGGAGATTTCAGGTTACCGAGAAACAGCTGATTCAGAATAAGAGAGGCGTTCCACAGACGTACAAGGTCCAGCGTTTTCGTTTTCTATTCCGACAAAAATATAAAAATAAAAAAATCGCGCGAGACATGACGCTTTTACCCGAAGAGGAGATTCGATCTCGATTATCGATCCTGGGAAATAAAGAAACCTAAAATTCTGAATCCTCTTACCATCCGTCGACGTGGTCCGCGCGCGACCTACCTTACCGACCTCAGAGGGCGCCGGCGAACGGCGAATTTTTAAAGTTACGTAAACTCCCGTGAAAGAAAGGGGAGAGAGAGTGTGCGTCTGTAACGATGTTTCATCGATGTGTCAGTTATCAGGCGGTGCAGCCCGGTGCAGGCGGAGGCAGTCTGCCGTGGAAGCTGGTGGAGACGCCACGCCAGCGACGGAGCCACGCCGCGCACGCCACGCTACGCCACGCGACGCGCCGCGCCGCGCCAAGGACGCGCCAACGACAGGGACAGGCGTCGACGCTGCCTCCTTCCGTCCTTTTTCTTTTCACTTCGAGCGCGGTCTCGGCTCTTGAAAAAATCTCGACCGTTGGTCTCGCGGTACGTGTGTACCGGGGGGAACGCGCGCAACAACGAGGAGCGGGAGAGAGAAAGAGGGCTCTCGGTTGGAATCCCGGCTCACGGAAGTCGATCGGAATTTCACCGACGAGGGTACAACCTCGCAACCTCCGCTACCGCAACGTTTTTGTCTCGAAAAGGTACGTCCGCACGCCGTTGGTTCGCGGTTGCGCGTTATAGGATATCGGATCGCGACTGCGGCTACCAAGTTGGCGCCCGAACCACTTCGGAGCGCAATAGGATGCCTGTACATTTTGCAAAAATCAACGGTACCGTCCGCGCTGCATTATGCACGGAGCGACGAGACGCTAGAGACGGGGGCGAGAGGGAGAGGGACGCGAAAGAGGAGCACGATTATCCGATAAGATGTTACCTCGATGCGTGCGTAAAGAATTTGTTGAAGAAAAGAACCGCGCGTCTCTTAAAGCGGCGCAGTTGAAGCGACGAACGTCGCCGAAACTTTCCTCGCGGGACGTCATATTTTTATTATTTATATCTCGAGTTTATTATTTATATAAGGGAAAATAATTGTATTAGCCAATGCCCGATCCACTGAATTATTCCGTGTTATAATGTATAATTCCTGAGCCGATCGTTTAGATTACGGTGGGATGCGTTATTTACGTAGGTTCTCTCGGCCCCGGTATCGGCTCCCTGGAATTGCGCGCGCTCCGAGTAGTCTTTGTTCGATGCTGGAGCGCGTTAAAAATATACTCGCTTTATTCTCGCGCATCATGCGATGCGCTATAGTTCCGTAAATATGTCAACCACCTCGAAACACCTGTAGACTAAGAGACATAATGTGCGAATAAATATGCAACGATGCAAAATATGCTCCTTTCGTATACGAGCACGGGGATTCGTTATCTTCGAACCGGGGGAACGCGCACGTTTTTCCGTTTCTGAAAAGAGCGATACATTTTACTCCGGAAACAAAAGCGATACGCGCATACTTCTTCCAAGCACACGGAAAACAATAAACTTGTGGAAAAACAGGAGATAACGCATCCTCTCGCGGTAATTAGCTTTGCATTGTCGATAATGACAGTCGTTGCAAAATTGCATAAGCTCGAAACTATCGCGAGGAGATAAACGAGCGAAATTAACAGCGTCCGTTATCTACTTGGTTTCGCGAAACGTTGCAACGGACAACGATTGCTTTGATTTAATACGTAGCGTATTACGGGGCGTTAATATATACATGAGATGGACGAGATACCGCGATAAAGTATGGTGGATAAGATCGCGGGTTCGGCGGGACGGAACGAGACGCGAAGTCGAGGCGCCGCGAAATGCGCAATATTGTTACAAGTGCAAGGTTAACGTGACTACGTTGCGCGGATCCGGCTGATTATTTCCTGCCGGTAAACGGTCTACAACGTCGATTGTTGCTATGTCGTTGCCGTCTTGCGTCGAGTCATCGTCGCGATTACTCGAGAACGCGCGATTTAGGGCTTACCCTAAAAGCATGAAAAAGATATCAATCATTCTTGAGGATTTTCTTTATTCTTCTTCTTTAAACTTTAGAAATTCATCTTTTTGACGTTTTCCAATTTATATTTCTATTTTTATATTTAATTTTTTTTTAATTCGATACGAACTTTTGCGAACGTAGGGTGTTTAACAATGACATATAAGATATATTATCTTTTTTTAATTATTTAAAATGACAACATTTAATCTAGTTTTATTCCGCAGAGTATTTTTGGGATGTAAATATGATTAAAATTTGAAGAATTAATTTTTCTCAAGAAATATATGAAAAATGTTAGCGAGATTGAGATATCTAATTTTAAAATGACATGATTCTTTTTGGATAAAAATAACAGCTATTCCTCGTGTAATTATCTGAAATGAAAAAGTTATTCTAATTTTATTACGTAGAATATTTTTGGATGAATCTAATTTTATTTAAAAAGATTGAAAAATAACAAAGCAGTGTCATATTTTAAAAAATGTTTCAATTTTGTTGACACATCTTTTAAAATATGACACTGCTTTGTTATTTTTCATTTTTTTATTTCCTCCAAGATCAGAAAAATATTAAATATTATTTTTTTTTAATTTTAACTAGGTTCAGTAGTTAAAAAATATCCTAATAAAATAAAATTAGAATAAGTTTTCTCATTTCAGATAATTGCACGAAGAGCATGTCATATTATCATTTTTAAACGTTAACATAGAAACTCGTATCGAATAAAAAAAATTAAATATAGAAAATTTAAAAATACTGACATGTTTACACATCGATATAAACATGTGTAAAGCGCCAAAACAAAAAGACCAATTTTTCATATTATTAAAAAAAAGTCCTAAAGATTATTTGTTGTTCATTCCATTAAAATAGACTAGCCTTTCAATCGTCAAATTTTCCTCCGATTCCGCGATCAATAAAATATAAAGCCGTTCATTTAGGATGTAATCCCAACGGTCTGCTCTCCCCTCTATCTTGCAACTGTACCTTTTCTCGCTGAAAACGATAGCTGTATTTCTATTATTGAAGATAGAAAAATTGAAAGCGTTGATAGGAGCTTAAAAAAAAATAGATCACTTTTTTTCAGTCGCACTTAATTAAGCGGAATAGGCTGCGCCGGTTACAACGGGGGAAACCATTTGCGATTCGAATGCGATAACCTTATCTGCGGGTATTGGACGGAAAACACATTATCGCCTTTTACCCATTTTATCTGCGTGACCTCGGAACATCATTTTGTCGTATCTGAGCGAAATTTATTCGTGTGAAATTGACGAACCGCTTCGGTGGCCCCCCTCGTGAGCGCGAAAGTCAAATGTTTCGATCGATATGAGCCACCGTGAGATTTCTAATATGTGTTCGAACGTGCCACGACTCACTAACGGAAAGTTAACACTCTCGACTAAGTTGTCCAAGATAGCGCGTGTTCAGTGAAAAAGAAAGCGATGCTCGCGCAATAAACGCACACACACACAAACGCAAATGACGACTTATTCGATAAATACTATCGCAGCTGTTTCCAACCTTTTGGAAGGTTGGAAACCTTTTGGAAGGTTGGAAACAGCTGCGATAGTATTTATCGAAACATCGTAGCACACTTTCGAACTGGATACTATTTTGGACAGTATTTTGTAGCATTCAGAAAATATGTATTAGATATGAGTTATATAGAGATTCGTCAACCACGCAGAAAAAAATAAATGTCAAGTCAAAACTTATATAATTAAGCTAACGCGTTCATAGTTTCGTATATACGCAACAATTTATAATCTTCTTAGAAGAATTTAATAATTTTAAATTTCAACAATATTATAGTCTTGTGTTTTAATATTGTAATCTCAAGAATATATAATTATTTAATTCTACTTTAGGAAAATTATAATCTTTGATTTAAAAATGTTATTTTCCATCTAACATTATTTCTTTTCCATTCGAGAAAATTAAATCTTAAATCTTTAATAAGAATATATTTTTCTCGATTGAACTATGTAAAATGGCTTCATTCAAGTAAGCAATTATTCAAGCAATTATATTTTTCTTGAATTTACGCGATATGATCTCATTTCAAGATTTCCATGTTAAAACTAAATATAATTTCAAAATAAGAATGTTCTTTTATTCTGTGCATTTCCGTGTATTTATTTTTCTAACGAAAGTGAACATAAAAATTTTATAAATATATGAACAATATATCAGAAACGAAATTAAAAGTTTCTCGTCTGATCTTTCGTCGTCATAAAACGTTTAGAAAAAACTTGCTGTAAAGTAATACGAAGAAAACTAGATGTGTTACATAGTTGCTTGAATGTTTAGTCAACTACGTACGTGAGGCGAATCGCGAGTTTTATCGTGTATTTGTTCACGTTGCGTTTCCGTTTTTTATGACGGAGATAAAAGATTTATGTATACCGAAGTATACAAGAGAGATATGTATTTATTTCTTTTGTCGTAGAAAATGAATCCAGGTGATTCGCGCACAGGATATCCCAAAAATCTCGAAACAATCCCTTTAACAACAAATTCATTCAGTAATTTGAAATTTTTCTTAGCGAGAAAATTTATTGCACAATCGCTATCTCTTTCTAATATTCTATATATTTTCATTGTATACATATCATATATCTTTATACATAAAAACTTTAAATTGGACATTTTCTATTAAAATAAATTTCTATCAAAATTAATGAGTAAGAAATATATTTGTT